AATTTAGCTATAGGTAATCGTTTTCTCTTTTCAACGTTCTTCAAGCGTTATTTTACTGTTAGCCTGTTAGGTTATAATACTACACTATAATCAATCAGTAACAAAAGTGAGTTTTACGAAACCAAAGAAAGATCTTGAACATCAACTATAAAGTGATTATGTATTACAAGTCGACCACGGGTTTGTACATTTTTTTTGTTATAGTTTGGACTTGGAGCTCGAAACCGAGTTGAAATAATATTAAGACACGACAAGTGTACGGATATGTGATAGTGGTGTGTCGTAACTCGTAAGGGTTGACTTTAGATGAAGAGAGAAAATGAAAGAGTGAGAGAGAAGGGTTCCTGAACTAATAAATGTGTAGATAAGCTCGATAACTATAATAATTTGACAGTTATCCATTTTTGTGTGTGTTTGAATCTCGTTTTTTACTATTTAGATAAAAGAAAGTAGAAAGCATACTCTAAATTATCAGAATATTTGGCTGTTTTCATTTTTAAATAATTGTTAAACCCGAATACTGCCTATAGTTCCTAATTAATGCTAATGCTTGTCAGTTTAGTAACGCAATCATATTATGTAGATGATCGTGACAAGACACCAATACTAACAACAAAATGATGGAATTTTGTTGAAATTTAATACCTTATACGAAAACCATCTTCGATTTTCATAATTTATTGAACGTAACATACTTATAGATATAAAAATATTTACATATAGTTTTGATCTTATGCACTTTGATATCTTTTTCAAGTAGATTGTCTCACCTACCAATATGCCATTCACTGAATTTTAGGAAAATTTCATTTGATTTCACGGTCTGGTAAAGTGTTATCTGGTAGCCAATCTTTATCGCCAAAAGTTCTACTAATAGCATTATTTATTTTCTTAAATTTTAATTTCACTGATGCATCGGTAGTATATATATTACAGAAACCTGTAGATTCAGTAATTCAGTAATTTATGCTCTTTTAGTTTGCAGTAGAAATAACAATCCACCGTCGTGTTAATAATGTGTTGTTGTACGGCAAATGGATAATTTTAAATAATTTAACACGTTCTCCAAATGAGAATGTTGGTTAATTTCTGTAATCTGTATATACGTTAATGATAAAAAATCGTAATGTCAAGGGGCCCAAAAGAAGGATTAATTAAGCTCCGTTGCAAACTCATTAAAATCATCATAAATATTTCGTCAACTCTTGGAAGAGTCACTTTTTTCACTAATCACTAATGCAAAGGCATTTACCTTTATGGCTGCTTCTATGGAAGAGTCGAAACAGTTTGGTCTATCACAAAAAGAGTCATCTTTGGATATTAACGAGTGAGTGTGCAGAAAAATTCGTGAGAAACCACCACTTTCTGATTGGACGAAGTTCGACTATATAATGGAATTTTATTTATTACAGAAAGCAGAGTTAAAGCGGGCTAGATCGTCCGAGACGATAAGGACTTAATTTTGGGGACGATGATAAGGAGATCAAGTTTTGCTCATGTCGATTCAACATTCTTGGAGTTAGTCAGTTAGCCAAAAAATAAAAACATTGTTGGAGTTTTGCTCTTTGAACGAAAACTGTAAAGTTCTTAACAACCTCGTTAACTAAAATGAGAAGACAAATTTGATTCGACTAACTGAATATTGGAAAAGCAAATATTTGAAAAATATGTTTTTAAAATTAGGGGAAAGTATTATTATTACGTGTGAGTGTGTGACGATGACAATTAACTATATGTATGAACCGAGTCAAATCCTTTATGTCGCTACAAGTGGAAGCAATCTTACAATCTTATCCACACCAAAACAAAAAAAAAACCTATGATTGAGATGAAATCAAAAACATCATAAGCTACATTATGACTGTTGACAGTGAGTAGTAGAAAAGAAAAACGGGTCGTAACCAAAGACCTTAAATGGATTTTATGGGCCGCTATAATTTCTCCACTGGCAAATTAACGGGCCTTACTTTGGAACTATAGATGGATTTAAACTTACGTTAGTGAATACATTCACTGTACGAGGGATATTTTTGTGTGTTTTCTTGTTTATTTTCACAATGCATATTAACGACTTAAGGCCAGTACAAGACTTTGGTTATTTTTTTTCTTTTTCAAAAACGTTTATTGATAGAACAAACTACTAAAACCCAACGTCTTTAGTTGATTTAAACTATAATTTGCTGAAGGCCCAGCAAGGGATGTTCTTTAGTTTTGGAAGAGCTCTTTCTAGCTCAACTGAAATCACATTGCTCCTTCATGTAACCAGCAATTCTGGACTTAAGAAGGCATGCCGTGCGTAGATAACAAGTTACCTTCGCACTTCTTTATTGTCTAATTTATGAGCTCTGAGTCCGATAACCCGCAAGAAATCAACATTTCACTTCATATTCAGGTAAATGAATATACCAGTATACAACACGTTAAACAATAATGTCTCGTTAATTGATTTGACGACAATAAAAGTTCATTTGATAATTTCATTATACATATAGAAAAAACTAACATATTATTATTCCACACCAGAAAATACATATCCAACATGCTTAGTTTCCCGGACAAAAGAAAGCCCTTCAGTTTCTGTGTTTATTTATCTACTACAAATTTCTCCTTTCTTTGGGTTAACTCATCAACTTAAAAAACTAAAGTGTGACTGATAATTTATGTTTGCTATAGTTATTACTAATTATCCGTATTAGGCGCTATCCCGCACTATATGGGGAGATAAAAAAAAATCATACAAAAACAAGTAAATTACAGTGAACCTTTTTCACTGTGTCTAGTAAAAAGAATTTAAAGGTTATGGTCTTTTTGATTATTGCCAAGCGAAGGATGAACCATTATACCGCTGCATCTTGCAATTTCAATTTGAAGGATAACCCGTCGACCAACCATGTTTTTAAATTTTATAATTTTTCGAAATGTTAATTTTGTATTTAATTTATAATCTCCTACAATTAAACAAAAGATCTGACAAATGAATCATTTTTAAAAAAAATTATGGCAATACCGGTGATACTACAATATCCGATCAGATCATTATTTTCAATTGATATGGGAACATGTTCATTTTCGCAATTGAAAGAATTAACCATAAACAGCAAGTCAACGATTTTGGTAAACCAAGAACGGAAAATTTAAGCAATCCAAACTTATATGGATCTTTGCATATACCGAGACATCTACATAACTATAATTACAGACAAGTAAAAAGGCAATGCAAAATCACATTACACAGTGCTTAAGAATAAAAACCATCGACATAACGAACATATAATCTGTAAATTAACTAGAAACACCAATCAGTTATCTCCTTGCTAATACAAAAATAATCTCAAAACCACGACTAAATAAATTACTGTAAATTAAGATAAAGTGAAAGAAGATGTAGAGCTCCCTTCAATCCAAAGAAGAGTAAAAGCAATTAAAGGGCAAGTTAAAGCTCCTGAGATATGCAAGCCATAGAACCTTATCCTTTTTTTCGTTTTAAGGATTAGGGCTTATGGGATCCATAGCTTAGCAGCTTTTCTTTACCCTACTAAACTCTCGTTTGAACCTAAAGGAGCTCTACTTCCGATCTTCTTTTCTTCTCGAGAAAATCACTTCGATCTGAACAAGATCCACCAAGAAAGACAAATACACTTATGGATCTGATATACGTAACCATAAAGGCTTACAATATATTATGATCTAAAGCCTAAAACAAGTTTTGTGCTAAATCTAAACAACAAAGCAAATTCTCTCTTGGTGAAATAGAAACAATTCCCTAAGTTAGATCCTAGAAGAACTAAAAAATTGAAGAGTAAAAAAACATAGAGAATCTATACATCCAACTCTTGAAAACATGAGAAATGATAGCTATCAGAAACGAAGATGAAGAACCCTAGTTAACCCTAAAGAGATTTAGAGAGAAGGTGAGAGAGAGATAGACGACAAGTCAAGTTTTGAGGAGAAACTAATGGACAGAGAGTTGTAATTATAGTGATTTAGATATTCGTTATTGAAGGAAAAAAACATATAAAAAATAATAAAATGAAATAGAAAAAAAAACAGGTGGGTGTATCTGAAAAGACATGGGAAGGGTTCTGACATTGTTTAGTGTTTTAGATTCCCTACGCGTCACATGCGTCCTTCTCGGCTTTTGTGCTTCACTCTTCTTTTTTCAAAATTTATCATTATTTATATAAATATACTAACTGTGTGTTATTCTTTCCAACCACTAGTCCACTGTCCAGTACAATTTTAAGATCTAACTTTAAAATTGTATAATATTTTGGCCTACCAAATTTTCTAATAATATTTACAAATTGTTTCCGTTGTCTACAAAAAAATTGGTATCCCTAAAAAGTCACAATTACTACTAATTGCAACACGAAATACTGAGAAATATAGCTTGATGTGCGGTCAAGATTAAGTCAGATAATGTGGGCACGAATGCAGGTAATAATTACTACTCTGTATGAAAATCTATGGCTAGATTTATTACAACGAACTTTTCTTGTTACCAGTCACAAGTCTGGTCTCTATCACAATTCACGCCGATGCTTAAACTTTATTCAATGCCTTATTTTGAAGTTTGTTAAATGGTTTATGGTACATGGAAAATGCCTAGAAATAAATACTTGACCGAGCAAAAAATCTGAGATATCATATTTTTAAATTTTCTGGTTCATGAAAATTCTTAAATGATAAGCACTTACGTATAGTTTCTTTACTAGTTTTGGATAAAAAAGAGGATATACTTTTGTCCTATATATGTGATGATGATGCTTGGGCAGTGTAGTTTCTTATTGGTCCATATTAATGGGTCTCAGAAGTTAACTTTTTGCTTGTATATAAATGGAAGTATCAGTTGGGCCTTACTGTTCGACTTGGCCCATAACTCATCAAATCTCAAACCGAAGAATATTGACGAGTCAATGTTGAGGTAAACCGGACCGAGCCGAACAATTTTGTTTTTTGGTTTATGAACCCACCAAGACGACGTCGTTACCTGGGACGGACGCTTCCAGCTGTTTCCATTTTTTTATTTCCTTTAGAACAAAGACGCAAAACCCGTTTTCCAGCTTTCGAGCGTCGTCTCTTTCCTTTTTTCGTTTACTTTTCAATATTTTCCCTCAAATGTCGATTTCTTCTGTAAATCATCCTCCAACGGCTACTTTTTCTCAGGAGCCGGAGGTTCCAGCATAAAGCCAGCGTTTACAACGATAAGAACAAATATCAAATTTCGGTATTTTGGTTGTAATCGGGTGGAGGAAAACAGTGAATTCCGGAGATGGAGCAGCCGAAGAAAGTTGCCGATAGGTATCTGAAGCGAGAAGTTCTTGGCCAAGGTACTTATGGAGTCGTCTTCAAGGCTACTGATACCAAGGTGATTCCTCACTCAATTCTTCAGTTTCTGTGGCGATCCCATGAAACTAGGTTTCAGATTATGCCGGCGATTCTTAATTTCATAAGCTTCTGGGTTTTGAATATAGCTTTGAAGGCCAATTTCTCAGATTTCTTTTGTATATGCGATATGGGCAATACTTTTTTTGAATCAAACTGTTGATTCTGAGTGTGGATTTGAAGTTTTTAGTGTTTGTTCCTTTGGATTGTTTTCTTGTGGGGGGAAATCTGCAGAACGAACAAACTGTAGCGATCAAGAAAATAAGAATTGGGAAAGAGAAGGAAGGTGTAAACATAACAGCTCTCAGAGAAATCAAACTGCTCAAAGAGCTTAAGCATCCGCACATAATAGAGTTGATTGATGCGTTCCCTCACAAGGAGAACTTGCATATTGTGTTTGAGTTCATGGAGACTGACCTCGAAGCAGTGATTCGAGATCCTAACCTGTTTCTTTCCCCCGCCGACGTCAAATCTTACCTCCAAATGACACTAAAAGGTCTTGAGTATTGCCATGACAAATGGGTTCTGCACAGGTACTTACTGCTTCTAGTTTATATCACTAAAGAAGTTTCTGCTTACTCTCTGTTAAGTTCTGTTCTGATTGATTATCTTTTGGGTTGTGTGTGTTCAGAGATATGAAGCCGAACAACTTGCTGATAGGTCCCAATGGACAACTGAAACTTGCAGATTTTGGGTTAGCTCGTATATTTGGTAGCCCTGATCGTAAGTTTACTCACCAGGTAATCTTTCTTTTGTGCATCGCTAGTTTATCTAGTTGCTGCGTTATCTTTCATATCTTTGGTTTGATATATCCAACTATTTTCATAGGTCTTTGCTAGATGGTATAGAGCACCTGAACTTCTGTTTGGTGCAAAACATTATGGTGCTGCGGTTGATGTTTGGGCTGCTGGCTGCATTTTTGCTGAACTTCTACTACGCAGACCATTTCTTCAGGTGAAAACTCAGTTTTTGTGTGTGCTCGTGATCCAATTCCTTTGTTATATGCTTACTTATTCCATTGCAGGGGAACAGTGATATCGATCAATTAAGCAAAATCTTTGCCGCTTTTGGGACCCCTAAAGAAGATCAGTGGCCAGATATGTTATGCCTTCCTGATTATGTAGAGTATCAACCTGTCTCCGCGCCTTCTCTACGTTCTTTATTCCCAACGGTTAGTGAGGATGCTCTAGATTTGTTGTCAAAGATGTTCACCTATGACCCCAAGTCTAGAATATCGATTCAGCAGGCTTTACAACACAGGTACCTAAAAGCTTTTCCTATGGAGAATGCATTAAGAAAAAAAACTTCACTTATATAGTTTTGTGCTTTAGACCTTCGTTTTCTATTTTATAGATACTTCACGTTGGCACCTTCTCCTACTGACCCTTTAAAGCTTCCAAGACCAATTCGCAAGCAGGACGCTAAATCATCTGACAGTAAACTGAAAACCATTAAAGTGTTATCACCTGCACATAAGCTTAGAAGAGTAATGCCTGACCGAGGAAAGCCTGTGAGTGGTTTCAAGGACCAGAGTGTTGATTCCGTGAGACAAGCTAGCCATGATGGACAAGCACCAATGTCTTTAGATTTCACCGTCCTAGCCGAGCGGCCACCAAACCGACCAACCATCACCAGGTATAACGCAGACAACTGGTTCAGTCCTTTTTGCAGTCAGCTCTTGTTCTGCTTTATAGAAGAAAAACTTCTGATGGGTTCTTGATTTTTTGGGTTTTGCAGCGCGGATAGATCTCATCTGAAGAGGAAACTCGATCTCGAGTTCCTGTAGGATATAACGGTATCAACAAGATGGCTTCTTCATGTCATTCTCAGGTGTTCATGGCTTTTACTGGTTGGTTTTGGTCACCGATTCCTGAAATTTTGTCATATACAATACAACTTAGTATAGTGATGAAGAGTATGGCGAATCATTCTTTCTGTTTATCTGTAATACAAAAAGCAAAGAAACCTTAATTGACAGATGATTAACTAATCATCATGTACACCCTTCATAAATAAATATATCTGCTTTTGGCCTCTGTTTAGATGCGACTTACAAAGAGAGTTCTGATCCCAAACTCATTTCTTTGTCAAAGTTTTGTGTTCTTTCATTTCTGTTACAATTAAAACTCCATATATATTGAGTTTATGATGCATGAATTTCTACTAAAACAACTAATACTCTATAGGCAATCCGAATCGAACATACAAAAGGGACAAGAAAATACAAAAGATCACAATAGATCAGAAAGAAGACAATAAGAATGACAAGAGATCATGATAACCCATTACATAAATAATACTAGCATATAGACTGTTGTTTCAGAAACAATTCCTGAAGAATCAAATACAATTCATTAACGTAAAGTAATACATGCTCATTTTCAAATTCCAATGTTTTTCCTCATTGTGGAATTGATTATTCGACATTATCATCTTTGTCATCTGAAGATCCCACTCTGTTTGTAGCTTTCTCTGCCTATTAGAAGATAACAAAATCACATCAGCCACAGTTTTGAATTTGCTCATGTATAAAACTGAACTGATATGGGTTAAAAAAAAAAACTCTAAATAAGTTACCTCTTTATCCCAGTTTGTAAATATAGTGACTAGGGAAAGACACAACACTTGAACAGCCAGTGCTGTTACTATTCCAAGCCAAAGCCCCTAAAAATGATTAAAAAAAATTAACACCAAACATTATACTTACTGAAACTGAGAAATTAAGCTGAGTTTAAGATTATTACCCGACCACCAATGTGGAAGTGGAAACCAAGTAATAACCCTAACGGAACTCCAACAAGATAATACGATCCAAGATTCACACACGCTCCAATTTTCTGCCATCCACATCCTCTAGCAATCCCTATGCAACCATAAATCAAAATCATTTAAACTGGATTAATATAAGTTAAAAGAGCCAAAGATATGTTTAACTGTCACACAATAAAAAACCTGAGAGAACGCATTGGAGGCCATCAAGGAAGTTTCCACATGCAACAATCGGTATCATTGATGCAGCATATGCGATGATTTTCGGGTCACTGCTAAAAGCGTGGCCTAGAATCTTCCGAGTCGATAACAAAACCGTCACGACCACAATACCCTTACAATACCCTCAGCGACTGCTATGCCCACGATGACATATACAGCCAGTTTTGCCACTTGTGGGTTCCCTGCTCCTAACTCATTAGAGACCCTTATGCTGCAAGTTAACAACAGAACACACAAGTGTAACAGAACTGAGATAGGTTGGTTTCTTAAGATTCTTTCATATATGTTCTTTTGGGTACTTGTTATTGATGTACTAACCTCGCAGCACCACCAAGACCAACCGAGATCTGCCAGATTGTTAGTGAAGTGTTTAGACTGCAAAGTTGCGAAATTTGGGTTGATCAGTATATAACAACAAAGTACAAACTCTCAAGACAATGATAACCAAAACTTACCAGATTGAAAGAACGGAAGTTTCTAAAACAGGGTTAGGGAGAAGCCCTGAGGCAAGAACCAGAAGCTCGAACGACCACAACTCCAAACTGTCTTAAACAAAACCGAACAAAAATCAAGATTCTAACTTAGACCTGAACAATGCAGCGGTTTTGTTATTTAACTTACCAGACCATGACTGCTGAAGGAAAAGCAATTTTAGAAAAATCATAGAGCTCGTGAAAAGCCTCTTTTGAAAACCCGGTCCAGCTATGCGAACAAGAAGGCGAGAACTTGACATAGCACGAGAGGAGAATGACATTGAACCAGTAAGAGACGGAGATAGCGAGAGCAGCTCCTCTGTATCCTAAACCAGTCTTCAACACAAACAACCAACAGAGAAGCAAATGAAGACCAGTGGTGATTCCAGAGCAGACAAAAACAGGTAACACATTGTTCTGCGCTTGCAAGAACCTGTTGATGCATTGGAGTAGCCCGTATGCGAAGAGGCTCGGGATCATGTATCTCGCGTACGAGCCAGCAACACTTGCAATGGACTTGTCTTGGTGTACGAGTACGAGTATCTGTTCTGTGTAAGCCCAAATGATCGAGAGAGGAAGAGAGTGTATCAGAAGAACAAACATTGCTCTCTGCATTTGAATCCCTAATTTGCCGTACAGTTTGGCTCCGTACGCCTGACCACATAGCGTCTCCAACGCACTCGCTGTTCCCAACTGTTCACATACACACACAAATGCGTTGAATTCGAAATTTGGTTTTCACATAACAGAGGAAGAAGACGATGAGGTTATTATTACACGCACAAGACTAAAACGCAGCGTTTATGATCTAAAAACTGAATGCAACCACAAAGATCTAGGAATAAAAATGTGTCTTTCTTTTAAATCGGATAGAGAAACGTACGAGGAAGGTGAAGCCGGTGACGGAGGCGAAGGAGGTGGCGATAGAGGAGGCAGAGAGGGGAAGAGATCCGAGATGGCCAACGAACATGACGGAGATGACTTGGAGAGAGTATTGAAGAAGGCTTACACCAATGAGCGGTGCCGAAAGCCATAGCTGTTTCTTCACTTCCTCTTTCACACGAATCATCGTCGTCTCTCTTTCTGTGATCAGAAGCGGAGGAGTCACACCATCCTCCATCTTCTCTGAATCTCTCTCTCTCTATCTCCCAAAAGCTAAGAAATCATGTAAAAATAATCAAAACAAATAGAATCCGATTTAGAATCCAGACATTTGGGAAATGGTTGCGTCTTGGACAAGAAACGCAAGGATGGATGATTCGTTGAACTATAAGATGGAAAACTGTAAGCATAAGAGAAGACGGACCACACGATATCTCGTTTTGTGTGTTGCGTAACGTTCACTCTACTTTTGCTCGTTAAGATTGGCCGCACAGTTCTCTCTAAAGGACCAAGTATCTCCCCTGGGACTTGCTCGTACACACAAAACCTAGCTTTGGATAGAGAGTACTCATTCCATCCTCTTCACTTTATACTGATTTTACGTTGTGACAGGAAAATTTTCATGATGCATGATGATCCAAGACTTTAGCAGAGAGTCAAAGGTGCTTGCATCTGGGTCACAAGATGGGAGGCTTAAGGTAAGTTTCAGGCTTTCAGCTACAAATGTTTTCTTAAAGTTTTCAGGCAAGGAATGATTCCTCGCTTTTCTCATTATATTGTCTTCTGTTTGAAGATAGACCTATCACAGCATCTTAACAGTAGCAAACTTATTTCATTTACATTTACAGCATCTTAAGAGTCAAGTTTAGATACGCTATTCTACACACACACACACACACAAAGAAAAATGAAAACAATCGATCTATGGTTTAAAACTCTGTTTTCTACTTCCTCCTACATCGTTAGGGGTCCCTTCCTGGTACAAAAGTACACAATCTTGGTGTCAATCATAAACAATCACAGAGAGATATGTGTAAAGATTGAAAACTGATTGGTGTGGTTTTGACTTTACCTGTTCTGTATAGGGCTGGATCCGTTCCTTGGGATCTTCTGGAAGCTATCTTTTTCACCTCTTAGAGACTCCTCCTTCATCTCCTTGCTTATCTGAAAATCTTGATTATTGGCTGCACGAGGTGGATTGGCTTGGATTGGCCATAAAGACTTCACATTCTCAGAGGTGGAGTAGCATACATGCACCAGACATAGTACATAGAGACGGCAACTCCAGCAACATCCTTCTTTGGATGGGAATTTCAAGGAATCTTAAGTACAAGTCCTAAACAGAGCATGGAGAAATAAAAAGTTAACTGAGATGAAGAATCGACAAGAACAAATGGACAAACATAGGACGACCCATTATAGCAGAAAAGAAAAACCCAATAGTCACATGATTTGAAACAAAAGCTCAGTAACATCTTAATGACATCGTTACTTAAGCTTTGAGAACATCAATAACACTTGGAAGCTTATGTATGACTGAAGTGCAAATTATATAAATCATCACACTGCAATTAAAAACAGTAAAACACACACACACGAACATAACTTACAACAACTTAAAACCAGCATATAAGACCCTAACGCTATCTGAGTATGAGAGAGGATCAAGCTTGAAGACAGCACCGGACCAGTCAATGTTCCCCCAAACTTGGAGTCCCTCGCTTCCCTCGCTTGTCTCCAGGGAAATCTCTGCAGACCAAAGCTCAAAGCTGTCATTAGGACCTTGAGGCAGCACGTTCCAGAAGATGACAAGATTCCCATCATAGTTTCTGCAGAGTTTGGTGATATCACAGTGGCTCCAACCAGAGGGAGAGCCTTGCTTCACTTCCTTCCAATCAAACTCATCTGGCAAACACCACAGTATTGTCCCGCGGTCGCCACGGCAGAATAAGTATCCCTCAATCAAACACCAGTCGTCTCTGAATCCTGGCTTACAATCCGTTTTGCCGCTCGCCACGAATGCACATTTACTTGGTGAGAAGGAGAAGCTTTGACCATCCTCATCCACCGCGTAAACCTCCTTCCGGTCTATCACCACGCTTTGTTGGATACTGAGTGGTGGCGTAGACACAGGCAAGAAATCCCAAGTTGCGGTGTCGGGATCGTACACCTCTGCCCACTTTGAGGGATCGGCGTCGTCATCCCCGCACCCTCCAAACACATATATCTTCTTCCCTTGTATCAGGCTTGCCGATGCGGAAGCACGAGCCATCTTCATGGGCGGAAGGGGGTACCAGGTGTGCTGGAAACAATCGAAATACGTGACAGCCGGAGTGGGCTTGCCGTTTACGAGTCCACCGACGATAACGATCCCACAATGCATCGCCACGAAAGAGGACGATGATTCCGGAGCCTGAGCCTGATACGAGCTGGGTGAATGGATCGGTTTCAGCCGACGTTGCACCGGGTGAAGGATGAACCACCGTGGGGTTGGCTCTGGAATGATGTGCAAGCATACGTACAGGGATGGCTCGACGCAACCCATCTTCCATCTCAAGTTCCAGAGATCAAGGGATTGTACCAGAGACCGGTGGGCCTTGGAGGCCAAATCAAAGGCCGCGAGGTCCAATCTCGACACATGAGCCAGGCAGCTCAAAGCCACCGCATCTGGCAACGACCATAACCCACACACCTCCGACTTGTTCTTACTCGTTTTCTTGTGCGAACACCCCCGAATCGCCGTCAATCCCAATTCACTACATCCCCGAATCGCCCTTCTTCCTTTCATTGATTGATTGCCGGACGGATCAATAGGATCCAGACACAAACTAAGATAGGGCTTTTGTGAGAACGGAGACCAGGATCCAGACACAAACTAAAAGGAAGTTATTATATATAATAAATTGTCGGAGAAAAGATAAAAGGAAAAGGGAGAAAGGAAGTTTTTGTTTTTCGGCAAGGAAAAGGAAGTTGAGAATTATAAAAAGGAAAGACATTCCTTCCTTCGTGCTCGACTCTCTTTACCCCTTCCGCGTCTCCGGCGAAAACCCATTATCAAAGCTCGAGAGTAAGATTCTCGCTTTTTTTCCAGTACCCTAGTATTCTTCCTAGTCGCACTAATTGTGATCCAAGAACCATCGTTTTCACGATTGCTCAAACGGATCGTAGGTTAAATGTTTGGAGAACACCTCTCGAATATGCCTTTTCTTGGGAAAGTCACTCTCCATTCTAGTTACTGAATTACCCAGTGACAGAACTATTAGCCATTTCGCTAGTGAAGAACATTTATGATGCTCCCAATTTTAGTCACTAAGATTTTGATACTATATGTTAACTCTGAAAAGATATTCATATCTTCTAACAGGGATCTATTTTGTACTACATCTCAGTGTAACTGTAATAAAGATTGTGCTTCAGTATTGCAAAGAGAACTCCTTGAAGCGAGTGCCAGGTTTCTTTGTATACAGTAGACAGCGTCGAGACGTTTGTTTCTGATATTGATAGTGGAAGATGGGACTCGGTACTTCCTCAAGTGTCTCAGCTTAAGCTTCCCAGGAACAAACTAGAGGACCTTTACGAACAGGCTCTCTCTCTTTGTGGGATTTTTAAGTGTATATATACTAGTGATTGTCATTGCAAGTTTTGTTCATTCTACTGCTAAGTCTCAGGGAAGTATATTTTCCATTTGGGGATGATTTGTCCAGACTCCAGATTGTATTGGAGATGATAGAAGTTCGAAAGTTGGACACTGCCCGAGCTATTTTGAGGCAAACTCAGGTGATGGGTGTCATGAAGTAGGAGCAACCAGAAATATATTTGCTGATGGGGCATCTTCCAGTCAGAAGCTATTTCGATCCGCATGAGGTATGCAAGCTACATTTTCGCTTGGCTATTCAGTAGCATGTTGATTGTTTCTTATCTGGTAGCTATGTCACCCAAGCATTGCTGTCCGCAACTGTTGAGCACTTTAGACAAACAAATGTTGGTATATCTAATACTACAAATTGTGTATGGCTTGCTTTTACTGTGCCTTGTTATGTTTGGTATGTGCGATTGTTGATATCCTTTCAAGTCTAAGTACTGTGAGCATATTCGGTTAGATATGAAGTTGTTAATAGATAAGGGTCTTAAACTATAACATATGTTCCGTGTTTGTGAGTAGAAAAGTATATTTACATTTTACTACCTCTGTTACATGTTCATGGATTTGCTTTTGTACCTTCATGCTACGTATAGAGAGCGCTTGCTTTCATGTAATCATTTCCTTGTGTATTTAAAAATCATGTTTTTCTGACAAGGCACAGATTGCTCGAGGTTGGCCATTTCTTCAAGGTTTACTGAAATTTCTCCCACTCTGCCTGCTTAGGGTTTCACCAGATGGACAGCTTCTTGTATCTTGTTCTGTTGATGGTTTTATCGAGATGAGTTTATGGGGAATCTGTTTGTACGATTATACATCGTAAAAGTTGATGCTTCTTTGTTTATTTGATGGGAGAATTTTCATTTTTTTCTTTTCTTACTTGTGTCTGGTATATTTTCCTTTCATTGATTAGTTATGTATGCCTCGTACTAATTGGGGGTTAGCAGAGCGTCTGGTTGAGTGTAATATCGAATTCACATTGACCCCTCTGTAATTTGGAGCGTTAAGTTCAGAGAGAATTCGATCGGAAGCATACTTATGCTGAAACACTTTTTAATCAAAGCAAACTACGAATTTATATTATTGCTCTCTTTAGGACCCTAACCACTTCAATCAAAATCACTTAATTACTCTGAAGTTATAGCTTGGACTTGATTTTTACCAACTAATCAACGTTATGTTCAATCCCACCAACAGAAAAGGGGAAACGACAAAACCAAATCATTACATGGTTAACTCCTTGAGAAGCCCACCAAAGAAAACTTTGAAAACTTAAGGGCAAGAAAATGTATATGAGATATTTAAGTAAAGATCAGTATGCTTCATCAAGCTCTTGTTTCATGAAATACTCTCTGTCACTCATTGACTCAACCAAACATTCTATTATATCATACATCAATTTTAAAAGCATGAAATACTCTTTGTCACTCATTGACTCAACCAAACATTCTATTATATCATACATCAATTTCTTGTGTATGAGTCATCACCTAACAACATTTATGCAACAGATGCCGTGGAAGTCACTAACCTTTCACATGTATTGGGTGTAAAATCCCTTGATTTTTACTGTTTAGCTATGTATCCCATTTTCCTGTTCTTCTTCAAGTTCTTCTTCAAGTTGTTCAGCTTTTTCTTTTGGAGCCTGTTCTTCCTTTTCATCTTCTTCTTTTGATTTTCTCACAGTCTCATAAGACTTGTGAACCTGCAAACACAAACAGACCAAACAATCAACAAGTTTGATTCTTCTTTTCACCAACAAAAACAAAGAATCAAGCAATCTTCACCTGAGTGAGACAGCATCGTTGAGTGTTGCCCTCAGCAACAAAATTCTCATTAGGGTCGTCTACAGCATATTTTGTAGGTTTTTGGGGGTGAAGAGGAGCAGGAGATTCTTTGATTGGTTGATTTTGTCGCTTGAGCCCTTTCAAATAGGAAATCTGTTGCTCATTCTTCTGGAGCCCTTTGATATACCTCTCCTCAGGACATTTATCAGTGTGGTGGGTGATTGAGCCACAGCTGACAATAAATGGATCAATTAATGGAAAAATTAAGCAACGGAAAAATTAATTGAATCTTTAAAACAAGTAACACAAACTTACAGATCGCATCTAGAATGGAAAACTCTTCTCTCAGTCGAGAATGGCATTCGTGAGCTGATGTTTTTAAACGGATCTTCATCCTCTGACAATAGCCTCGAGGTAAAGAGACCTGCAAAAGAAAAAAAACTGTGAGAAACAAGAAACTTCAGAAAAGAAAAACTGAAAAAAAGAAGATCTTTACTTTTTTTTTTTTATACTTCGCGGATGTTCGGGAGCATCTGAGCGATCTTTGCGCAGAGTCACTATCTTAGGTTCTTCTGATTTTAGTCATCGAAGAGAGTAAACACCATAAATCTTCGGCAGAAAACTTGGAAGCGAGTTACCAAAATAAAATAAAAAAAGAAAGAAACTTGGATTCACAATTACTTGGCGGATCTTCTTCGGGACGATTTATACTTGGCGGATCTTCAGGAGTCCGAACTTTGAGGAGCGTCACTCTCGTCGACTGTTCTTCTGCTTTTAGTCATCCAAGAAAATTAAAAATAATAAATCTTCGGCAGAAGAAACTTGGAAGCGTAACAAAAGAAAGAAACTTACTTGGCGGATCTCCGGGAGGATAATCTCGCGGATTCACTTTCTTCTCCGATTCTTTAGCCATCGCGAGAGACGTGGAAGTGAACTGAAATTTTCTGCAAATTCACGTTGGAGAAGAACAGAAAATGAGAAAAGGAAAGAGAGACGTCGAAGTGAACTGAAATTTTCTGCAAATTCACGTTGGAGAAGAACAGAAAATGAGAAAGGGCTCGTTTTTCTGGGATTGGAGAAGTAAGGATTGTTTCTCTGAAACAAATGCTGAAATGCAACCGTCTGAGAAAGGGTAGATCCGGAATTTTACATGCTTCTACTAGTAGACCGACGAGCGCGTCGACTTCACGCAGCAAGTCAGTGTTGGTAAGAGACGAAACAACTTACTTTTTAACTCGAATGGTAGTTTTTATTTAGTTTTTGGTTTTTAAATATATATTTAAACCGGAATTTTACATGCTTCTACTAGTAGACCGACGAGCGCGTCGACTTCACGCAGCAAGTCAGTGTTGGTAAGAGACGAAACAACTTACTTTTTAACTCGAATGGTAGTTTTTATTTAGTTTTTGGTTTTTAAATATATATTTAAATATAATGACTTAATTATAAGATATAGTTTTTGGTTTTTAAATATATATTTTAATATAATGACTTAGTTATAAGATATAGTTTTATGCTTTTAAAATTTTTGTTATATTAAGTGTCTAAAGTTTTTGTAATATATAGATAAATTAAATATTAATTGATATAATAGTAATGATAATAAAAATAACTTATAAATAAATAAAAATATAGTGGCAGTTTTTAAATAAAATACTTACAAAATGTGGGTTTGGGTTTTTGTTTGTTAAATGCTAAAACCCATGAAAATTTAGTTATCCTAAATTTTTTAGGAAATACATATATGGAAAATTCAGATTATTTTAAATTATTTCGAATTTTGTTTTATGTTTAACAACATTTGAGAAGACACTTAAAACAAATTTACATTTAAGGTTGGATTTCAGAAAAAGATTAATGTTTTTTTCCAAATCTATGATTCAAATCCCCCTTTGAGATTTATCTGTGAGCGACATGTTTCAGCCAAATTGTCGTCACTACTCTTGCTACAGAGATGTAGCCTCCTCGCTGAGTTCAAGAGCCATGGTTTTCACCGCTCCTCCTCTTCCACTTTTACTCCCCTGGAACTTCCCCTCTAGGGTTTCTTTTGGGTTTCAGCTTCATTGCGCCTCGTCTTCCTCGGTTTCTCCAGCACGATGTTCTAAACCTAATCCCAGCTCTCGCCACCGCAGATACGGCGGCGCACTCCCTTCGATTCTGCGCTCCCTCGACTCATCCGCCGATATTGAAACGACCCTCGCTTCTCTTTGTCTCAATCTGAGTCCTAAAGAACAAACTGTTCTCCTCAAGGAGCAGACTCGCTGGGACAGAGTTCTTCGCGTGTTTCGATTCTTCCAGTCTCACAAAGGTTATGTCCCCAACGTGATTCATTACAACATCGTGCTCAGAGCCCTGGGGAGAGCTGGGAAGTGGGATGAATTGAGGCTTTGTTGGATTGAGATGGCTCACAATGGCGTTTTGCCGACGAACAACACCTACGGGATGCTCGTTGACGTCTATGGCAAAGCTGGACTTGTCAAGGAAGCTCTTCTTTGGATTAAGCACATGGGACAGAGGATGCATTTCCCAGATGAAGTCACCATGGCTACTGTTGTTAGGGTTTTCAAGAACTCGGGAGAGTTCGACCGCGCTGATAGATTCTTCAAAGGCTGGTGCGCTGGTCGAGTTGATTTGGATGATCTTGATTTGGACTCCATCGATGATTCTCCGAAGAACGGCTCGGCTTCGTCTCCTGTGAACTTGAAGCAGTTCTTGTCCATGGAGCTCTTCAAGGTCGGTGCAAGGAGCCCTATTGAGAAAAGCCTTCATTTTTCTTCAGAGTCTTCTCCTCGAAAGCCAAGGTTAACTTCTACTTTCAACACTCTGATTGATTTGTATGGAAAAGCCGGTCGGTTAAACGACGCAGCTAATCTCTTCTCGGAGATGTTGAAATCTGGAGTCCCTATAGATACTGTCACGTTTAACACGATGATTCATACTTGTGGAACTCATGGGCACTTGTCAGAAGCTGAATCCTTGTTGAAGAAGATGGAAGAGAAAGGGATAAACCCTGACACTAAGACATATAACATCCTTCTGTCTCTTCATGCCGATGCTGGGGACATTGAGGCAGCTCTTAAATACTACAGGAAAATCAGGAGAGTGGGGCTTTTCCCTGATACTGTGACTCATCGAGCTGTTCTTCACATCTTATGCCACCGGAAAATGATTGGGGATGTTGAAGCTGTGCTTGCCGAGATGGACAGAAGTAGCATTCGCATTGATGAGCACTCTGTTCCTGTTGTTATGCAGATGTATGTTAACGAAGGTCTGATTGCACAGGCGAAATCTCTGTTTGAGAGGTTCCAGTTGGATTGTGTGCTTTCGTCAACCACACTTGCAGCCGTAATTGATGTCTACGCTGAAAAGGGACTGTGGGTTGAAGCTGAGGCTGTGTTCTATGGGAAGAGAAACATGACGGGTCAGAGGAATGATGTTTTGGAGTATAATGTCATGATCAAGGCTTATGGCATGGCCAGACTTCATGAGAAAGCACTTTCTCTCTTCAAAGGGATGAAGAACCAGGGGACTTGGCCTGATGAGTGCACTTACAACTCCCTTGTCCAGATGCTTGCTGGGGTTGACTTAGTGGACGAAGCGCAGAGGATCTTGGCTGAAATGATGGATTCGGACTGTAAACCGGGATGCAAGACCTTTGCTGCTTTGATTGCTAGCTATGTGCGGCTTGGCCTATTGTCTGACGCAGTTGACCTGTACGAGACAATGAAACAAACAGGGGTGAAACCGAACGAGGTTGTTTATGGTTCCTTAATTAATGGATTTGCTGAGAGTGGCATGGTCGAAGAAGCCATTCAGTACTTTCGAGTGATGGAAGAACAAGGTGTTGAGTCCAATCATATCGTTCTGACTTCCCTTATCAAGGCTTATAGCAAAGTGGGGTGTCTTGAAGAAGCCAGGAGAGTGTATGACAAAATGAAGGATTCAGAAGCTGGCCCGGATGTTGCTGCATCAAACAGCATGCTAAGTCTCTGTGCAGATCTCGGCATGGTCTCTGAAGCAGAAACCATTTTCAACGATCTGAGGGAGAAAGGCACGTGTGATGTTATTTCGTTTGCGACAATGATGTACTTGTACAAGGGTATGGGCATGCTCGACGAGGCCATTGAAGTGGCTGAAGAGATGAGAGAGTCTGGTCTACTAAACGACTGCACTTCGTTCAACCAGGTAATGGCATGCTACGCTGCTGATGGTCAGTTGCGTGAGTGCTGCGAACTGTTTCATGAGATGTTGATTGAAAGAAAGCTCTTGCTGGATTGGGGAACGTTTAAAACGCTCTTCACACTGTTGAAGAAAGGTGGGGTTCCAAGTGAAGCTGTAGAGCAGCTACAAACCGCATACAATGAAGCTAAGCCACTGGCCACACCAGCAATCACTGCAACTCTGTTCTCAGCCATGGGTTTGTATGCGTATGCGCTGGATTCATGCCAAGAGCTCACAAGAGATGAAATCCCTCGCGAGCATTTTGCATACAATGCGGTGATATACAGTTATGGTGCATCAGGAGAGATTGACATGGCCCTCAAGGCATACATGAGAATGCAGGAGAAAGGGTTGGAACCAGATATCGTCACGCAGGCCTACCTTGTAGGGGTTTACGGGAAAGCTGGAATGGTGGAGGGTGTCAAGAGGGTACACAGCCGGATTACGTTCGGGGAGCTTAAACCAAACCAGTCGTTGTTTAGAGCGGTGAGGGATGCTTACGTGAGTGCAAACAGACAGGACTTGGCTGATGTGGTAAAGAAAGAGATGAGCATTGCTTTTGAAGAGGAAGATGAGTATATTTCGAGGTCTGGAGAAGAAGAAGGAGACGAGGAATCAGGAGAAGACGAGGCATTTTGAAGTGTAGCCACTAGTAAAGATTGTAGAATTTAGAGTTTAGTGGGAATGGTCTGTACAGTTTCAGAGAAGCCAAAGGAAATATGCATACTTTCAGTCTCAGGTTGATTCTCTCTCTAGTAAAGAAATGTGATTGTAAACTGTTATAGAAAGAAAAAGAGGTTTCAGAAGGTGTACTCTATATCGGTCGGTGATTGATCTCTCAAGGCATCAGTGCTAAACTGCGAATCGAACTTAGCGATGAAGATGATGATGGAGATTGTTACACTGTTTTTCTACAAAGAATCGTGATAGTCATTTACAGATAAATCCTTCAGTGGCCGGGGTCGAACCCGGGACCCTCTCCAAACAACTGAAACAATGGAGCGAACCCTTCGAAATTTGGAATACTCTTGAGTCTTGAAGACCAGAGTCAATGAAACACATTTCTCTTTAAATTATAAAAAGGATGTGAAGCTAAAGTGTAAGGTGTAAACAATGTTTTCTGAGAATTTAATTTCTCTTTATAAATAAAAGATTTTAAACAAGTTACAAAGTAGCACTCCGAGTATCTGAACATTTAATTTTGACCCCTTAACTTATTTTTATCTTTGACATTCGCCGGATTGTTCTGGAATTAAAACCCAATTAAAACTCCTTTCTTTTGTCTGCTCGACTCTTTACCCCTTCCGCGTCTCCGGCGAAAACCCACTGCGACTGACCATGGCGCTCGAAATCGAAGCTCGAGAGTAAGATTTTCGCTAAATTTCATCCCACTAGTATTCTTTCTACTCGCACTAATTGTGCTCCAAGAACCATCGCTTACGAATGCTCAGACGGATCTTAGGTTAGATGTTTGGAGAAAACCTGTTGAAATATGCGTCTTCCTATATCCGCCATACTAAATTTCTGATTTTTCGTCTACCCAGATTTTGTATACGTATGGTTTTTCTTATGTATTAGTCTTCTGGTTCTGTCTTCGTAGCTGTTCTCCGTTTGAATTGTTCTTAATCCTCATCTCGGATTCAAAACTATTATTTGTTGGGGAAAATGACTCTCTTTTCTAGTTAGTGGTAGTGAATTATCCAGTGACAGTACTATTAGCCATTTCGTTTGTTAAATTGAGTGAAGAACATTATGCTGCTCCCAGTTTTAGTCACTAAGATTTTGATACTATATGTTAGTTTTGAATAGATATTCATCTCTAACAGGGCTCTATTATGTTTTACATCTCAGTGTAATAAAGATTGTGCTTCAGTTCTGCAAAGAGAACTCCTTGAATCAGACGTTCCAGACATTACAAAGCGAGTGCCAGGTCTCGTTGAATACCGTAGACAGCGTCGAGACGTTTGTTTCTGATATTAATAGTGGAAGATGGGACTCGGTACTTCCTCAAGTGTCTCAGCTTAAGCTTCCCAGGAATAAACTAGAGGACCTTTACGAACAGGTTCTCTCTCTCTCTCTCTGCGATTTTTAAGTGTATATATATTAGTGATTGTCATTGTAAGTTTTGTTCATTCCACTGCTAAGTCTCATGGAAGTATATTCTTCATTTGGGGATGGTTTATTCAGATTGTATTGGAGATGATAGAACTTCGAGAATTAGACACTGCCCGGTCTATTTTGAGGCAAACTCAGGTGATGGGTGTCATGAAGCAGGAGCAACCAGAAAGATATTTGCGGATGGAGCATCTTCTAGTCAGAAGCTATTTCGATCCGCATGAGGTATGCAAGCTATACCAGTTGCATGTTGATTGTTTCTTATCTGGTAGCTACGCTACGTCACTAGATAAGGGTCTTAAACTATAAGTTTATAAGATATGTTCCGTGTTTGTGAGTGCAAAAGTATCTCAACATTTTACTACCTCTTTTACATGCTGATGGGTTTCACTTTTCAACCTGATTTGTCTTTTGAGGTGCATGGTCTCCTAGTCATTGTTCATGCTATGCATAGAGAACGGTTGCTTTCATGTATAATATACTTGTCTATTTAAAAATCATGTTTTTCTGATATTACAATTGTTTTCAAGGCATACGGAGACTCAACTAAAGAAAGAAAGCGTGCACAGATTGCTCAAGGTTGGCCATGTCTTCTTACTTTTTTTAAAGAGAACAATTCTATCAGCACATTTTTTTTGTAAGTTGTTGAGGGATTATTTACCTAAGTGATGTCCTGGAATGTTCTCTCTATCACAGGCTAAGAATATTTTATGACATTAAAAAACTTTATGACGAGAATTTATGTCCTGTTTGATTGGTTATGAAGTTTTTGTTTTTCTCTTGCTCAGTATGTATTCAAGGTTTACTAATTGGTTTTTCTCCTACTCCGTCAGCTGTGGCTGCCGAGGTTACTGTGGTACCACCTTCACGGTTAATGGCTTTGATAGGTCAGGCTCTAAAGTGGCAACAGCATCAAGGTGAGCATCTAAGGAACTGTTCTGTATAATTTAAGTCAAACCTCATCTCATTTTCTTTTCTTTTTTTGTCAATATTTATATATATCAAGGGAATCGACATATGTATCCTCTCACTCAACTCTTAAAAATTTACGTACACTTGTGTGTTTTATGTCAGGCCTACTCCCTCCAGGAACTCAGTTTGACCTCTTTCGTGGGACGGCAGCTATGAAACAAGATGTCGAAGACACATATCCTACTACTCTTAACCATACAATAAAGGTTTCATATTCATCACATCAACTTTAATAGCTATTCACCTTAGTGGCCTATTTCTTAACAGTTGATTTCTTTTCTAATTTGCATACCTCGTTCCTTGTGCTGATGCAGTTTGGTAAAAAAAGTCATGCGGAATGCGCTAGGTTTTCACCAGATGGACAGTTTCTTGTATCTTGTTCGGTTGATGGTTTTATCGAGGTGAGTTGATAAGAAATCTGTTTGTATGTTTATATATCTTAAAAGTCGTAAGACTCAACTTGTAACCAGGATTGCTCAGACTTGAAAAAAACATTACAGGTATGGGATTACATTAGTGGGAAGCTGAAGAAGGATTTGCAATACCAAGCTGAAGTAAGCTCTCGTGACTATTTTTCACTTTTTATCACAAGTCTCTCGTCTGAGACTTCCTTGTACGCAAAATACCTAGATTTGGATATGCCATCCTCGTTGCTTATAATGATTAAATTCGGACAGGAAACTTTCATGATGCATGATGATCCTGTCCTTTGTATAGACTTTAGCAGAGATTCAGAGATGCTTGCATCTGGCTCACAAGACGGAAAGATTAAGGTTAGTTCCAGCTGCAAATGTTTCTTAAAGTTGATTTTGCTTTCCTCTTTATTTATTTTCAGCAGCTTGGTAGACATTCTTCTCATTCCACTCATTGGTCTCATGTGAATTCTTATTGTATACAGTAATAAGATTCTAGACTTAGATGCATGTCACTTGTACAGGTCTGGCGTATAAGGACTGGTCTATGCTTTCGTCGTCTTGAGCGTGCACATTCCCAAGGAGTTACAAGTCTAACCTTTTCTCGGGACGGAACCCAACTACTAAGTACCTCCTTTGACAGCACCGCAAGGTTTTAATAGTTAAATCTTTTTCTTTTTTGTCTTTGCAACAACGACCTCGTCCAAGGTTCTTTGTTTATCTGATGTTGGAATTTTCTTTTTATCTTATCTTACTTCTTTCTGGTATATTTTCATTTCATCAAGTAGTTATTCTAGTACTGATTGCTGGTTAGTAGAGCGTCTGGTTGAGTGACATTTTAATTTTTGCTATATTTTATGCAGAATCCATGGTTTGAAATCTGGGAAATTGTTGAAAGAATTCCGCGGACATACGTCTTATGTAAATAATGCTATCTTTACAAGTGATGGAAGCCGTGTAATAACGGCCTCCAGTGATTGCACAGTGAAGGTACATTGCATTAGTATATTCTTTGGTTTTGGCTGTCTACTGTGGGAAGTATAGTGTTTCCCATTTGGACTCTGCCTTCTCCTCTGTTACAGTCTTGTTTCCTTGCACAGGTCTGGGATTCAAAGACGACAGATTGTCTACAAACATTCAAGCCACCACCTCCATTAAGAGTATATTTTCTCTTACTGATTCATCATGTATATCTTGTTATTACCCTTTCTGGTCTTCTATGACTAAGTCAGCTTCCAAATATGTGTTTTGAAATTTAGGGAGGTGAGGCGTCGGTCAATTCTGTTCATCTATTCCCCAAAAACACAGAACACATTGTTGTGTGCAACAGGACATCATCTGTGTACATCATGACACTCCAAGGACAGGTGAGTTTCCAGCAATAGTCTCCTGCAAACCAGTGTATCTGTCATGGCAAATCTAAGTCCAGTTCACTTTAATCCTTTTGCAGGTTGTGAAGAGTTTCTCAACCGGTAAGAGAGAAGGAGGAGATTTTGCAGCAGCATGTGTATCTACAAAAGGCGATTGGATATACTGCATTGGTGAAGACAGGTATGGGTAAATTGCAGTAGTTTGTTTTGAAAATGGTTCTTTTCTTTTGTGGTTTCATCCACAGCCTTTGATGCTCCTAACACTTGATCTACACTAACCCTACAGGAAATTGTACTGCTTCAGCTATCAAACCGGTGGACTTGAACATTTTATGATGGTAAGTTTATAACCAATAGATTCTAGGTGGTGGCTGAAAATTTAAACGTTGCGCATTTGACATTTGACCCAAAAAAAAACACTAACTTCTAGAGTAATGAAGACCTTTACATGGACGATACAATATTTTCTGCATATAAACCTCAGATTGTCATCTATACTTTCTCTCTCCCTCTCTCTGAATAGCTGTCTAGTCTTTTGTTAGACCTGGTTTCTGACAGTCTATGGTTATGACAGGTGCATGAGAAGGATGTGATAGGCGTAACACACCACCCACATAGAAACCTCCTTGCTACCTATAGTGAAGATTGCACCATGAAGTTGTGGAAGCCCTGAGTTGCCTCATCATCAAGCCTTACTTTTATTATATGATTAAATCTCTGACTTTGTTTGTTTTGCAACTGAAACTGCAACAAAGACACTTGGTGCTCGGGTTAGAACTAGTGTAAGTTATGTCAAACAAATGTTTTTGCCGTTTCAAAAGACTTTGACTTTTTGGAGACCACTACTCAGAGCCGTGTTTAATATTTAATAATATTGTTTCACGGTAATCGGTTTGCTTGTCCACGTGAGGGTCACGCAACATACGTAAAAGAAGAAGCGCGGAAATTGAGCTGTGATTATTAGGCTTAAACAAGCGATTGTGGTGCATGTATAGTCACTTCAGCAGCAGAAATTAATAATCAGGTTCCTCGAGATGATGTTCCAATAAATGTTTCGCACATGGAAAATTATCATCTTTTAATAATAAAGTTCATTGGAGAAGATTGATGTCAACCATCATCTTTGCAAAACAAACATTTTAAGGTTAAGGTCAAAGATCTCATAATCAAGTTCATACTTAAAAAAGAGTCAAAACGCGGATATTGCAACAAGTTGAAATTGAACAGCTAGAAATCATGATACTCTCTTAACTTGATGAATTACTCACAAAGGTTAATTTACAAAAGATACACTAGCTGCTGCTTTCCTTGACGAACATTACAACGGGAAAAGCAGTGTGTGTGGGGCGAATTATTCAAAAGGAAAATTGTTTCTCTTAACAAATCTAAGAAAAATAAGAAAACGAAGAATTTTAAGATCAGCAAGGAGAGAATGTAACTGTACTACCCCAGACTACTGCCATGTCCCTTTGAACCTGCAACATAATAGTAAAAAAAATCAAAATGATTAAGAACGACAATACCAAAAAAAATTATAAACTACGAGTAAGATATATATATGAGATGGTGTGGTGTGACACAAACTTACCATGTAACCTCCCAACAAAAATGTCAAGAAACTAAGCTCCAAACCATGAGTAGTCATCATCAAATGCACCATAGGAATCAAACCCAGAGTAAAAAGTGCTACTATCAAACGCCAGGTCGTTGAATGGAGACAGAATGTTACTGTCCAAGAGCTTCTCTTGGTCACTCTGAAACTGAGGAGGCAAATCTCTTCCTGTGACGCTTTCTTCATTCCCATGTAGACCATGGGGCTGAAGTACTCCTCCTGGAGCTTCGAACGCGCTGTTGTGAGGCGGTGCTTGTGCATCATTCATTTCTATCTGAGTATGATGGATAAGATCTTCTTCCTGATTATGCACAAACACTGCAGAGGGATTGTAGAAGTTATAACCTGACCCAAATTGCAACTCGTGGTTAGGGTTTGGTCCGTAAAGCATTGGCATTTCCTCTACAGGCATCATAGCTTGTCCGTTGACAGGTGGAAGATACGTATAGTCGTTATTGAACTCAGGAACCACCAGTTCCAGACCGTTCTCCTCTGCTTCTAAGGCGCTGTTTGGTTCCACAACACCATCCTCATGAAGAGTTCCGCTGATGTTATAATCTAGCAGATGGGCATCAACATGATTCATATCGGGTAATATATTTCTTTGCTCTGCTTCTGGTTGCTCTTCCTCTTGTCGACTGACAGCTCCGGATCTGACTCTGGGTCTTTTTCTTCTCCGGTGTTTCTCTGTTTTATCTTGAGGTGAAGAAGTGTCTGTTGGCTGTTCTTTCTGAATTTGGTTTCTTCTATTGTCTTTAGACGAAACTGAACCTGAAGCATCCTCCGTCCCATCAACATCATAGTCACTGTCACTGTTGATCACGGTTTTTCTCCTGTCAGCGTTATTACCCCTTCGGTGCGTCTCGGTTACATTAGACGTCCCATTGTCGCTGCTAGGCTGCTGAATGCTGGACTCCTCTTGGTTCAAAACCGCCAACCAAATCGCACTCTCTTTCGCCGTCATCTTGTCCTGCAAACACTTGGACTGTCGAACATGCCTCTTGATCTTGGCGATATCAGGCGACATGTGGTTGATCACAGCCGTTAAAACCCCGACTTTCCACATCTTCTTGAGATCGTGCGGTTTCCTGTACGGAGGACTCTGGCTTTGCGGCAGGCCGAGTTTCACCCACCACTCTTCATTCCCCGTTGGCCACCAGGGAGGAGGAGTCCCTTTCTCCAACGGATACTTCCTCTGAGGAGGATCACAATGCTGCATCAAGGAAGACAACAGAGACCCAAGAGTTGCATCTTGCAGGTCTTGCAGAACAAACTGCGAGTTCCTATTACCATCTGATTTCCCAAAGGCTAAGCACTCTTCCTCGTATTTAGCAATCGCAGCAGGCCCGTTCTTGTCGAACTTCACTTTCTCTTTCCACCAAGCTCTTATGTTGTCAGAGGAACCGCTCACTGGCTTTCCCTTTTCAGGTATGATACCGTAGACGAACCCGCGGACTTTGCAGACTTCCATTAGCTTCAGCATGTACTTGAGTATACCGTCTTGAGCTCTAGACATTTTCTTCCTCTGCGCTTGTTCAGAGATTTTCTTGGGCGTCTCCTTCGTCTGAGCTCCCTGAGAACCTCCTTTCTGCCGTTCTTTGATTCTCTTAAGCCTCACACGATCCTTCCACATACGTCTCTCCAGGTCTTCCGCATCAATCTCTTCGTCACTCACATCAATCTCCGCGACATTGTCACTAGCCAAGTCATCAGGCTCATTCTCCATCCTACACCAATACATTTACGGTATTCAGCGAATCGATTAATAAAGAAACTTTAATTTCGAGCGACGTAAACAAAGATCACGGATTCAGTTTGCTTTCGATGTACAAAAGGCTCCACTTTTGCTGTGAGCAGTGACTCAATTTAGAGGAAAAGACGATCTGGGCAACTCAATTTTTCATTGATCAATCAATTTCGATTGAGATTTGAGCCCTAAGGCCAAATTGTGTCCAACGATCCCAACACCTCCAAGCAATGAAAAAACTGTTGAGACTCAATTCAACCGAAAGTCATCTCTGCGTATTGAAAGTTCTAATTTTTTTTGGGAATCTTGTCATACTTTGCATAAACCCCCAAAATCCTGAATTTTTCACAGCATAATATTTGGAATTCGAAAGCAGATCGATGAAATTGAATCCAATCTTCCTCACCTGGTGTCTGCTACGGACATGGCGAGATCTCCCATGTACACAAAGTCTATACGAAAAAAATGATCAAAACCCTTTCACCAACAAAATCTGAAACGCCGTAATTGCAGGAAGCTTCACCAATTTAGGGTTTTTTTCTCTCTCTCACGGGACCTTCAGGTGGGAAGAGTTAAAAATGGCTGCGAAATTAGGAAGAGGGCAACGGGATTAGTCGGGGGGCCAATTCCAAAGTATTGTGGCAATAAACCAAAGGCCAAAGTTGTTTTTTTTTTTCTTCGTAACCAATTTTGTTGCAAAAACCAAGTTGATTTCGTTCGGCTCTGTTTTTTTAATCTTCTTTTAATTGTAAGATATATATTCTTACTTTAGCTATCTCCTTTTTTTTCGTCCATGAATATCAACAATTTCTTTTTTCATTGCAAAAGAATGTTCTTTTGGTTTTCTTTTTACCCAAAATCATGGGTGCCTTTTGACACAAACACTAATGATTTTGGCTGACAAATATAGTAGAGCATAAACAGAAATGCAATTGCTATTTTTTCCCCTTTATTATTTCTAACAACCTTATCATTTTTCTGAACCACAATTGTATAAAGAATAAGAAAAAAGTTGTGGGGAAGACGATAACATTTTTTTTCTTTTTTGAACAATAAGAAGATGGCATGTTCAGGCAAACATTGGGACCAGTTTTTTCATTTAAAGACCACACGACCTACCCACAGACCACAACTATAAATTTCTTGTACGGCGACCACAACCTTAATACATCACTTCTAGTCGTCATTTATAATTCAAAACAGTATATCTCTATCTTTGTATTGACTTTTAAATATAGCATAATACACGCTTAACGTGCATCAAAACAATAAAAGAAATATTTTTATAAAAAAAAAAAAAAAAAAACAATAAAAGAAATATAAAATGGACTCAAATGGCTTATTTAATTTCTCACTGGAGAGAGAGTCAGTCAGAGATAGAACCTGAGCTTTGGTGGGATAGCAATCGCGTTGAAGCACTTGTTTCTCGCATTTTTTTATAACGAAACTAATTTGAAAATATCGAAGATAGTATAATTAATATCACATTATTAAAAGTTTCTTAAACAGTAGAACCATCTATCTCATTCGTTGAAAAAAATAAACAATCACGTCTTCCTTAAACAAATTCAGTACGGAATAGACTTTTTCAGATTGAGGTTGCAATTCTGACTGCAATTTTTTCCTATTAATAATTTGGGTGTAGAGGTTTTAGTTGGAGAGTTGGTTTTGGAAAAGAAAAAAAAAACATGAACAAAAAAAGGGTTGTGATATTTTTAAAGACTATATTATATAATTTGATGTAATCAACACAACAATAACACTAAAGCCATAGAACACAATAATAACACTAAAGTCTCTCTATGGCTTGACACTTCAGTTTTTTTAAGCTTTATAAACATGACATCTCTCCAAAAATAATTATCAATCAAAATATTTTATTAATACATTTCATCTACTTATTTTAATTTTTAAACTTAAACCCATTAAAACCCAAATATTTTTTCTATTAATTTTTGTTTTATTTTTTACCAAACTCAAGCCCAAATAATTAATAACAGCAATTAAAAAAATCATTATTTTATTTTTTGTCAAATCCAAACCCAAATAATAAATAAAAATAAATAAAAAATTAAATCATTGTTTTCTTTTTTTTTGCCAAAACCAAATCTAAATAATAAAAAAAATTCTAACTATCTCTTTGTTTGACATAAACGTATACGATTGAAAAAAGTGTAGGCTCAACATCAATTGTACTTCCATGAAAATAACGCAAAAAACTTTATGTTATAAGAAGCTCATACATCAGCAAAAATTCGAACCGATAAAAACATAACAATTTCTTAGTTCTTGCGAGAAAACACAATTTCACGAGAGATAATGCAATTTTTGGTTTTCATGGGAAATTGTAGTTTATTTATTTTTGTAGGAAAGTGTGATTTTGGGCTTGACGAGAAAATAATTTTTTTTTTTTATTTTGGCAGGAATAGACGATTTCTCAGTTTTCGCAGGAAAAATAAATTTTTCGATTTTGGCAGGAAAATATAATTTTTTTTTTGTTTTTGCAGGAAGATGAAATTATTTGGTTTTGCGAAAAACGTAATTTCTCGGTTTTGGTGGAAAAACACAGGTTCTCACGGGAAAATGAAAATTTAGGTTTGACGAGAAAATGAATTTTTTGGTTTTGGCGGAAATAGCCGATTTCTCAGTTTAATGGGAAAATGAAGTTTTTTTTATTTTGACGAGAAATGCAATTTCTCGATTTTTGTAAGAAAATAAAATTTCTCTGTGCTAAATTTCCAAGTTAAAGTATGTTTACAGTAACCAAAATTAAATTATTTAACTTTAACTAAAACGATATTTTAAGAGTTTAAACATAATTTTTTATTTAGTTCTAAAGCAATAGCAATGGTTTTGATATGAATGTTATTGATTATAGTTCGGTAGTTTTAGAAACATATGTTTATAATAAAATATTTGATAAATAATTAAATTTTATAATTTAAAATAATCATATTAATTAATAAATCCTTTTTTAAATGATATTTTGCTTTATATAATTACAAAAGAGGATCATGTGGCAATTTATCGGAGAAAATATATTACATTTGCCATTAGCATGAAGGTACTAAAAATGTATTGCTTTATTCTCATATATTTTATTCCTATATATACATTTGTAATTAGTTAGCTAACTAAATTTAATAGCAAATTATAATTTTGAAAAAAAAAAATATATATATAAAGTTTATTCAGATTTAAAACATATAAATACATAACTTAAGCTAATAAAAAAATAAATATAATACCCATTTACATTATAAAAATAATTTTATTATATTAAAAATATATTCAAAATTTAAAAAAATATCCTACAGCATAGTACGAGTAAATACCTAGTATGATTTAACACAGTAACAAAAAACAGAAACTATGATAGGATTTAAAAGTCTCTAAGAAAATTGTAAACCAATGCACTTTAAAAATTACCCCTGAAAAAACATCATTTACAGCTTTTCCTATAGTTTTTATTCGACGTTCTAATAGTTTTTCAACTGTTATTATTTCTTGGTTCTGATAACAAATATTAAAAGTTTAAAATTTTGAAAAACAAAAGTTTAAAATTAGTAGTAGTATGTGGTCTGGAGTAACTATATAAATTACAATATTTTCCTCGTGGCAGCAAAAATAGAAACAAAACACAGTAAAGTACAAACAAGTTAGACTTTTTATGGCGACAAACTTTGACTATACCGAGAAGAAACCTTGATCAGGATCTCATCGCTCTTTATTTTCTTACAAGTAGTTTTTAATTCGTAATATCGCGTCTCCGATCATCGTCTTCCTCTCAAGAATACTGATAACTTCGCATTGCATCTCTCACCAATTCGAGTTTTCTCGGGATTAATTCATATGGTTTTTGGTTTCCACTTCCCAGCATTATCACTGTCTTCGTCTCTCTACCCAAATGTGGCAGTGAAATTCTGACTTGGAAGCTTCTTGTTTTGTCTCTTCCAGCTTCTTTGTCTTGATCTACCATGGCGATCTCCTCCTTCCTCTCTCCAAAATTACCATTTTACCCTTCAACCAAACTCGTTCCGAGTCGACTCACCCTTTCCTCACCCTCCGTTTGCTGTCTCTCAGTAGACCGCCGAATCAACCATCCTTCCTCCGCCGCAAGGAACGATGAACTCTCCAGCTTACGAGTCGTGATAACCGCCGGAGGCACTGCCGGACACATCTCTTCGGCGCTCGCCATCGGCGACGAGCTGAAATCAGCTGACCCACTCACTCGGATCCTCTTCATCGGGTTCCCAAACAGTATGGAGAGCACGACGGTCCCATCCGCCGGATTCGACTTCTCTGCAATCTCCACCGTCGGATCATCATCCTCCCGGCCATTCCTCTACTTCACCTCCTTCCTCCGTTTCCCTCTCCGCCTGGTCCAGTCCACCTTCGAGTCCTACAAAATCCTCCGCGATTTTAAACCCCAAATCGTCGTCGGCACCGGAGGACACGCCTCCTTCCCGGTCTGCTTCGCCGCCGTGATCATGGGACTCAAACTCGTGATCCAGGAACAAGACTCGATCCCTGGAACGACCAATTGGATTCTCTCCTTCTTCGCCGACACAATCTTCGCTCCTTTCAACTGCACAGTCACAAACCTCCCCAAAAGAGCCGCCGCCAAGTGCGTCGTCTACGGGAATCCGATAAGACAAGCGCTAAGGCGGTACTCGTCGAAAGGAGCGGCGCGTGTGAGCTTCTTCGGACAGTGGGCAGGAGCTGTGTCGGATGCGAAAGTTGTGCTTGTGCTTGGTGGGTCTCTAGGAGCAAACGCCATTAACATAGCTTTGCTTAACTGCTACTTGCAGATTCTGTCCGACCACGAGAACTGGTTCTTCGTTTGGCAAACTGGCGTTGGAGCTTTTGATGAAATGGATAGTCTTGTTCGAAGCCATCCTCGTCTCTTTCTATCTCCGTGAGTTCCAACATTTGAAACTGTTATAGCTTTTGAAATCTCTTTTTCGGTTTTGATGATGATGTCAAAGAGATAAACTTTATTCTATTGAACAGTTAAAAGTCTCACACAGTAACTCAAAATGTGGTTTTTTTTGGGTATAAGGTTCTTGAGAACGATAGGTGTAGCTTACGCGGCTGCAGATTTGGTTGTCTCAAGATCCGGTGCTATGACTTGCTCAGAGATCATGGCTTTAGGCAAACCTTCTATTCTGGTATGTTAAATCTTTTAAAGCTGATTCATCGAATCTGCATCTACAAGAGATTGCAACGTGTGAATGTTCTTTTGGTTTTTGTTTGTTATAGATACCATCGCCACATAGCGATGAAGGGGATCAAGTAAGGACTGCTTCTTTGATGGCGGACATTGTTGGCTCGAAGGTTATAACAGAGGAGGAGCTAGACTCGATCACTCTTCGAGCTGCAATGGAAGATGTTCTAGGTAACTGAAACTCCACAAAAGTAGAAAACATTCTCATCTTAGCTCTTCTCGTTGTCTCATTGTGTTGGTTCCAAATGGTAGGGAACGAAGAACTGATGACAGAAATGAGCGAGCGGGCGTTTAAATCAGCGAAACCTGACGCTGCATCAGATGTAGCTAAACACATTATTTCGATAGTCAAATACAAAGATAAGTAGATTCTTCTGTTGTATAAACTCTCTTTCTCCCTCTTTTAAGAGTTTTGATTCAGTTTCCAGTAGCTAAAGACCTCTCTGGATCCAACAACCCCTAAGTAAAACATCAGTTAGGTAAAGTAAGTGTGCTACAGATTACAATAGTGTTGTGAAACAAAATAAACGTGTATCATTGTCCATTGATGAGAGCCCTTGAAGATTATGAAGAACTTTTGTTGTGTGGGCCAATTTGGTCTTTTGAATCTTGCAGTGGAGAAACTATAAATAATCTAAAATTTGGTGGCTTTTTTGAAAATATCCGAAAATTGTTGCATTTCTTTTTCCTATGATCTTCACGTCTAACTAAACGTTTTATTGGCTCAAGAGTCTCTCCTTTGCATTCGCGTTGGCGTGTATAAATGAAGTTGACCAAATTTCAAAATTTCAGTGATCTAGATCAACCACCCACTTACACAATACACTATATAAGTTACCGATTTCGTGGACAGTAGTAATAATATAGAAAACACCTAAAAAACAAACAGCAGCAAAAATACAAAATTTGAAACTTTCGTAGTAGTTTGTAATTATTAAATTCGTTCGAATATGTAGAAATTATTTACGAGACAACAAACTAGGACACAAACTCTATAATCCTAGCGATATATATTTAATTGATTGATAAGAATTGCACCGACCTTTTTATCTTAAAAAAAATCACTAACGTATGTCATTTTTGTGGCAAAGGATTTAAAAATGAACAAAAAATTCACTAATACAAGTCATTTATCTATATTTGTGGCAAAGGATTTAAAATGAAAATCTTAACCACAAAAATTAATAAGAATAGAAATAGAGCGGAAAGCGACCGAGTGAGAGGAGAGATCTTTGATCGTCTATATATAATCAAATTAACCGTTCTTCTGCTCCGGCGACATCGTCGGGATATTGGTAGTGATTCGCGGTGGTTATGGAAGCTCTCCGATTCGAGCTAAGCTCGTCTTCCCTCACTTCCTCCGCCGTCGTCCCCTCTTCTCTACTCGCTCACTCTCGGCGTTCCTTCTCCTCAGTGCAACTCGGCCGATTCAGCTCATCTCCGGCGATTGGAGCGGTTACGAAGACGGCGGCGAATGAAGTCTGCACGGCGGACGAACTCCACTACGTTCCTGTACCTAATTCCGATTGGCGCGTCGCTCTCTGGCGATATCTTCCTTCTCCAAAGGTAAACCGATATATACTCATACATGTGTATATGTGTAGTTATAATCGTATTATTCATGGTTTATACACTTGCAGGCACCGAAGAGGAACCACCCTCTGCTCCTATTGTCTGGGATTGCGACCAATGCTTTTACATATGATCTTTCCCCTGAGGTGATTTTGATTATTTTGAAACGATCGAATTTTGATTATAGTGTAAGCTTGACTTACTAGTTCTGATTTTGTGGTGTAATGGATTCTTGTAACACAAGTCTGTATTTGGAACCTAAACAGTTTTTGTTTTGTTCTGTTTCTGTGGATATTCTCATGTGTGCAGTCTTCCTTTGCAAGATACATGTCTGGTTCAGGATTTGATACATGGATTCTTGAGCTCCGTGGAGCTGGATTGAGTTCTCTAAGTGTTGATTCAGATCTTGGTAAAGATTATATGATCAGTTTCTTATGATTTGCTTATGTGTGTTTATTACACTTTCTGATGATAAATCCTGTTTGTTGATGAAAAGAGAAACCGAGAAGGATAGATTCCAGAGATGACAAGCAGCGGATAGTTTCGGATGTACTGGATAATCTCATAAACGTATCAGAGAGGATGGAGAATGTTCTTGATGGAGGTTGATTCACTACCTCTCTCTCTCTCTCTCTCTATTTAAAATTTGTCTTGTTATGTCGAGACTAGTGAAGAGAATCTTTGTCTGGTTACTGAGAAAGAAACCTGCAGGTTTCAAGATCCTCGGGCTGCAAGACCGTTTATCCAAGAGAGTGGGAGATTTCAAGCAGCGGCTTGAACTTATCCCTCGTTACAATTGGGATTTTGATAACTATCTAGAAGAAGATATTCCTTCTGCGGTGAGGTGACACCTCTTGTTTATTCTTCTTCTGCATTAACTGAACTTCACTTTGAAATTTTTCTCAAACAATATTGTCATGAAAAGAAAAGAAAAAATATGCTCAAGTATGAAATGTTGATCTCAGATGGAGTATGTGAGGACTCAAAGCAGGCCTAAAGATGGGAAATTGCTCGCAATTGGTCACTCAATGGGTGGTATCTTGTTATATGCCATGCTCTCAAGATGTGGTAAGTTCTCTTATACAACATGTAATTAAATATTCTCGAACAAATGTAATGCTTAGTCAGATTTGGGCTCAATCACTTAGGCTTTAAAGGAATGGATTCGGGATTCGCTTCTGTCACCACTCTAGCATCAACATTGGATTATTCATCCTCAGGAACACTCCTCAAATACATATTACCCGTGGCAAGTATTTCAGAACCAATCACCGCACTGTTACACTTTCTTAAAGGAAAAAAAAATATGACTGAGAAAATGATCTTAAATGTCATTTTGTTTCAGAAAAATCCCGTGCAAGCTCTGAACTTGCCTGTCCTACCGATTGATACAATACTCGAGATGGTTCACCCTCTAATGTTTCGTCCTCCATATGCTTTGTACTGGTTAACCGCTAATATCTCTGCTCAAACGATGGACCCTGAACTGACTGAGAAACTAGTTTTGAGCAGCTTATGTAAGCTCAGTTACTTACTTATAACTTCACTACAAACTTCTTAGTATATTGCCGATAACAATAACCTTCTTCTGGAAAATATTAAAAAAATAAACAGGTACAGTACCAACTAAGCTTCTCTATCAGCTAGCAACAGCCGTGTACCACGGTGGGCTGCGTGACAGAAGCGGTACTTTCTATTACAAAGATCACATCGGCAAAACCAATGTCCCGGTCTTAGCTCTTGCAGGGGACTGGGACATAATCTGCCCTCCTGATGCAGTATACGGTAGTTACTCTGCAATCATAGCTCAAGATTCCTGTCTCTTGATTGATTGTAGTCATTAACCGGTGTGTTGTTCTGATGGAGCAGATACTGTCAAGCTGATTCCAGAACATCTAGCCACTTTCAAAGTTGTAGGATCACCCGGAGGTCCACATTATGGCCACCAAGATATGATTGCTGGTCGAATGGTATGTATATGATCAAATATCTCTCTTCATTCTTTTTTTTTTATTATTTCTTAACCAATTCTGTATGTTTTGATTATAATTCACTCTTCCATTCTCATTACAGGCCCGAAGCGACATATATCCTTTGATTGTTAAGTTTCTTCAGCGCCATGATGAGAGTTAAAAGATCAGCGAAATTTCTAATGGCTTTTGATTCTTGTTTCTGTATTCAAAAAAAAAGGTACATATAACATTCCCTCATGTATAATATTCTTCGCGCAGTAAAATTGAAGTAAAACATTTAGATGTTAACATATTGAATTGACCTCGTGTAAGTGTGATAACTGTAAAGCATGGTGTTACTTGCACGTAACCATTTCATCATTATCATGTGATTTAATTATGTTAGATCTACCTAACATTTTTTGTAGTTGACGACCTAATAATCACCAACAAAACAAAACAAAATTGATCTAAACCCACACGCAATGTGGGGTTCACAATGTCTCGGAGACTTTTCCATAGCTTTAGTAAGAAATTGGTGTTTCTTACAATCCCACAACAGTTGTTTCCAAAAATAAAATACCAATCATGAATAAAATCCCCCGAGAAAAGAATCTAACACAATATAGTGATTGGGTTCGATCGAAGGAGGAGATGTATCTATCTAAGGCTGAACGTACGGCATCGTTTTACAGACAGGACAAGAGTTCTTCCTCGACAGCCACTGTTTCACACAGTCGATATGGAACCTGTGCCCACATTGTAATTTCCCTACCTCATCCTTTGCCTCATACTCTTCCTGTCGGCAAATAAACATATTTAATGAACACATCCTGTTTTCTCAACAATTTATACATTGATTATTTGAGAAATGAAACCAAATCTGGACTTACTTGACAGATGATGCACTTTCTATCTTCTAGTGGTGTATCTTTCTTGAATGCTTTGACTTTCCGGAGACAGCTTTTGATTTCTTTTTCAGTAAGTCCAGTGTCCACATACCCAATTCTATCACCAAGCTCCAACAGTTGCTGTTTTTTTTAGACAGAAAACACACACACACAACGCTCAAGAACATAAGAGACATCAGAGCTCATTTATGATACTTTTTTGAGATCGCACACAAACCTCGTATGACATGTTATCCACGTTGAGCCTCATTTCACGGAAGTGATCGTAAGAGCTTAAGATCCCTCCCATTACAAAACCATTCTGTAGCATCATCATCTGCAAATGAAAAACATCCAGATGACAATACTGCACAAGCTACACATGATCTCTCTAAGACCTGAAACTTAGGTCAAGAACACTCTTACCTCGGAGAGTCCATCCTGGTAAGGTTGTCGTAGATGACGATGATATCTATCAGAGAACAGCGTCTGTTCAGCCCGTGGTGTCAAAAAAGTTGAATCAGAGTCGAAGTAAGGATTGGATTCTTGATTGAGAGATCGTCTGGAGATAACAGAAGAACCCTGCCAAAAATGCAACAGATGAGTCTACTACAAAACTTAAGAACCAATCAAAGGAGTCGTATGTGGCATCTAATTCAACTTTAATCAGTTCAATCAAAAGAGTCTGAAGTTAGAATCCGAACAAGAAACAGTTTTAAAAAACTTTAATTTCCTCGACTTAAGTTTGTGATTAAAAAAATCCCTACGAGAATAGACCAATTAATGTTATCAACCGAATGAAGAATAGTAACAAGTGAGATGTGTTGAGGTACAAGACGATAAACCTAAATCAAAACGAAAAACCCTAATTCTCGAACGATTGGATAACGGCAAATCATATATTCTAGATATTATTATAAACTAACAAATCACAACTATTATGAAAAACCAAAATAAACCCAGCAAAATAAACAATCTTTCTCTAATTTTTTTTGGTTAAATTTTATTTTTTGGATGGTGTATCAATTACCTCCGGATATTCAAAAATCAAAATTAAACAGAAAGGCAACGAATAATAAACGGAATTCAATTATGAAAATTTTCGAAGAAATCACAAGAGGAATGTAAAATGTACCTCTCGCTGATTAGAGTTGTTATTACTGCTGCTATTGGTCTTATCTCCATCGATTTTGCGTCTCGCCGGAATATTCCTTCTCGGAGGATCCGACTCGACGGGGTCAATCGAGCCGCCGACCACCGCATCGGTGGAAAACCCAACTCCGGGTCCGCACCAAACATCAGGAATCGCCGCGCAAGCTCCTCCTCCGACGCTTCTATCTGCCTCGCTCAGTATCTTAATCGAACCGCCATTGTAGCCACCTTTGTTCTTCTTCTTGCTCTTCGTTTTCTTAATTTTGAGATTACTCGAATCCCAGTCGGCGGAGGAGCGAATCACGGCCGGGACGGAAACCTGCTGAGATGCGGAGGCGGTGCAGCCCAGCCCACGGAACGCCGAGCCCGTTTGGGAAAAACCGTTGGGTTTTTTCTTCTTGGTGGTTTCGTTCGATGACGAGGGCAGGAGGAAGAAGGAAGACATGGCGGATTTACAGACGCGGCTAGGTTTTGGAATTAGTGGCTCATCGGCGGCAAATGGTGGGAGATTCCTGGGTCGGAGTCTGATGTGCTGACCGATTGTCGTTGAAGAAGACGAAGGCTCTGCAGAGACAGGCATTGTCTCCTCACGCTGAGAGAGAGAGAGAGAGAGAGAGAGAGAGAGAGAGAGAAGGAGAAAAAGATAATGGAGAGGTGGGGAAAGAGACACCGCGCGGGGAAGAAGGGAGTGATGGACTTTTTAAGTTGGTTTAGTGAAAACTAGTTAACGTATTAGTTAATTAATCCTTAATTAATCAAATCCACTTTTCATTTTAGTTTGTGCCTGAAGTCTACAAGTAACCGAATAAGATATTTTTTTCTTTTCACATGCAAAAGTACTGTATTAGTAGTGTATCTGTGTGGTTTATATATAATTTGTTCTTTAGAGTTCAGCACTGTTGGTATGTTTGAAATTTTGAAGTGTATGAGGGTATAATAGGCATTTGCTTGTTCACTTAATTTTGGAACTTTTCTTCTATTAATTTTTACTTCCAATAAAAGTGTCAGTATTTTGACTTGATTTAAATAACTTTTTTATATTGGATTCGCTTTAGTCCAGAACCAAAAACAAAGATAGGTCGAGGAAATTTTGATTGTCTTTGCTTACATAGATAGAAAAGGTCTCTCATGTCACTTTTACTTTTTTCCTTTTTTTGTCAGATGTATTTTCAATTTTTATTTGTTCGAGGTAAGAAAGACAAAAAACATTAGAGGTTCACAACTCACAAGTCACAGGTTTTCACACACAGGTCACAGATCACACAACTCACAAAATCAAAATTATGTCTGTATATATTTCTTTCTATATATATAAAACCTGCCACTTGATTATCCGAGGAGTATTGGTCAGGGATTTGCTGGAAAATATTTGTTGTTAAACAATTACTGTGATTGAGAATTTGTGAGAAAATAAAAAAAATTGATTAATCGTCGAGACTGTTAGGTGCGCCACATAAGTGATGACTGATGAGTCCAAACCAGAGTCCAAAAAGTCGTGTGATTAGCAAGAAGAATCTAACACAAAGTAAAATATTAAAATCGTACTTTTTTAACTATCTACCAAATTTACACCAGTTAGAAAAGCAATAAAATCAGGTTAAACAAAAAGGGTATAGAGAACTTAAGCATATTTCTATTTTTAATTTGATTGAAAATTTATATATTAGATAAAGAAAAATATACTAATTCACTGTTTGAAACTTTCAGTATAGATCTTTTCCAATACGATAGTTGGTCATAATATCTACATCACACTCATCTATATGTTCTGGATATTAAATATAAAGTTTTAGGTCAGAAATATCTGATAATGTAAAACAAAAAATGATGAAGGCAGGTAACTCAACAACAACTTGACTGTTTTGATTAGTTAAAGTCAGTGTTTTAGCCAAATCATGTGACTAAATGTATGAATTGACAGGTTTTGTAATTTTGTGTATGAATCTACAACTCTATAGTTTATGTTCATATACTTGGTACTGGTAAGTTGTCACAAAAAAGTTGTGGATGAATTGGCTATTTTTTTTTTGCGCAACAGAGTCGAAATTGGGCTGGGCCGGGGATGAGCTAAGTCCATCTGGTTTTAAAACGGTTAAATCTCGTCCAATCCGGTCAGTACTCGGCCCAATCCGGTCCGATCAATTAAGAAAATCGGATAAGAAGAAAAAGAGCGGTTAAAGTTGGAAAAGAAAAAACCCTCCCAATGTCTCTCTTGTTCAAAGCCCTAATTTTACAATCCTCTGTTAAACCCCAAGTCTCGAGGCGAATCCCATGAGACGATTTCTGCAGAGGTTTCCCAGTTTAGTGGCTCGAAATTCCTTTCACTCACCCACAATTCTACGCCATTCGAGCGCCAAGCCTTGTGTTGTTCCTTCCCTCGGCCGAGTTACTTCCCGGTTCGTCTTCTTCTCTTCCGTGCCCGAGTCGGCGAATGGTTCGAAAAGCGACGATGTTCTTTCTAAAGAAGGTGTCATTTCTGGAAACCAACTTTTCTTTTGCTTTGGTTCCTTTGAAAAAAGTAAAACTTGAGGAAATAGGTTAGATTTATGAACGAAAATGAAGAACTTTGCGGCGACTTGGAGTTGATATGCCACTATACAGATTACAATGTGTTTATAATTTCTTAAGCTTTCTTCTTTGATTTGGTTTTACAGAGCTGAAGAAGAGAATACAAAGCTTTTTGGATGATGGAGATGAGGATGCATTGCCCGATTTATTCGAGGCAATGATGACTAGGAAGTTATCGGGGAAGCACGACGATAGTGATGACGAAGTGATGGAGGAGGTGCGCAAGTATCCGGTTAACGATGCTCATAAGGTCGATGGCACTGATTCAGATATGGAGAGCGGTGACCTGAGAGATGGTGATTCGTCTGATTCAGATGTCGAGAGCGATGGTCTAAGAGATGGTGATTCGTCTGATTCCGAGAGTGATGGCCTGAGAGATGGCGACTCGTCTGATTCCGGTGCCGAGCTTGATGGCCTGAAAGATGTTGACTTGTCTGATCTGGATATCAAGATCGATGGCCTGAAAGATGCTGACTTGTCTGATCTCGGTATCAAGATTGATCGCCTGAAATCTGACCGTTCGTCTTATTCTGACTCTGAAAGTGATTAACTTGGTAAGTTTTTCGATTCCCCATGATTGCACCATATTGCTTAATCGAAATAACGAAACTGCAGTTGATTTTTATTTTTGGTTTGCAATCTGGAGATCATTAACAAAGAAAACAACTCTTTTGTATATTTACTTGTATAGAGACTATTTGATCTTTAGCAAGTGATTTCTTGCTTAATTGCATGTCTCAGACTTCTTTTCTTGTCCCAAAGATGTTTTTTGGCATCATCTGTAGAATTATTCGGGAATTAGACTTTAGACATGTGATTGTTTGATTCTATCTACTATGATCCGTCTGTGCAAGTATGAAAATTTTATTGGCTAATAGCACACGCAAAATATACTCTTATCATTGCCTCCTTCTAACTAATCATCTGAGGCTAACCTTTGTTCAATTCGTTGCGTGATTGTCCCTCGTTGCCCAATCTCTGTTAAAACATTGAGAAAATGCATTTTGGTTGGTGTTTGGTTACAGACTTAGCGTACATCCCGGTATCGAAGATTTTGAAAGGAAGCAGCTGCGTAGTGAAATGAATTGTAACAGAACAGTTTTTGGTGCAAGTTGGCTGTAAGTTCTGACTTTTGAATAGAACTAGCAATTAGAATGGTGTTTTGTACTTTCTGAGTTGGTAATACCTTATATTATACTGTACTAGTGTAATGAGTTTCTATATAATTTTGAAGGTGTTTATATTTGTTTAATTGGCCAACAAGTTTATTATACCTTCACGGGTGTGTTAGCCGAAAGCTGACATCTATGTTGGATGCACATGATTTCATAACTTCTCCCAAATGGTGTTTAGTTTTTATATGCTTTGTCTGGTAATTTTTTTTAATTAATAATCTCCTTGAGCTTAGACAGAGATAGTATTAGACATCATGAGATCTCGTGTAACCACGAATCTTGTTTGAGTAACGTGACCCACACAAAGCCATTCCCTACTATATATAGAACGAGAGAAACCCATTTCTAACTCCAAACCAGCAGAAATCTTCTTTTTCCTTTTCTCTGTAAAAACGTCAAGTTAGAGAGACAATGAAGGGTTCTTTCACAAAACCAGTGTTGTTCGCTTTTGCAATCTTTCTCTTGCTCATTGTTGCTCAAGAAAACAGAGTCGCTGCAGCAGAGCATTGTGATGCTATGCAGCTTATGCCATGCGAGGACGCCATAATGAAAGGCTCTAATCCGTCGGATCTGTGTTGCACCAGGGTGAAGCAGCAACAACACTGCGTCTGCCAGTACTTGAAGAACCCTAATTTCAAATCTTTCATTGACTCACCAAAGGCCAAAAAGATCGCCAGAGATTGTGATTGTCCTTACCCCAAGTGCTAGTCTCTGTTTTCATTTTCTTCTCACTTCATCTTCTAGTCTTGTTGTTCTTGCTTTCATGGATGTGCGTAGCATTGTGGTTTTGTATTGGTCAGTAAGTTAAACCCATCATGATTAATGGGTTTTCCTCTTCAAGCTTCTATGTCATTTATGCAAGTGTTTGTTGTCAAGTAATGAAATTTCCATGTCCACGGTAAATCCCACGAGTCGGATCTTGCTTCTATGCCATAAATCTCAGATTTAGCTGTCTTTTGATAAAGTATGGTTGATAATTTCATTTACCATTAACATAAAAACCTAGTTAACATTTCAAAATTGATGATAATATTGCAAATCTAGTCCCTAAAATAGTAATATACCAAAGCTACTCCTGATTTTGACGCCGGTTAAATATAGCCGACAACTTTCTCCGAACCGGCCAAATGGTTAAAAGAATTTTGCCTAATTTATTTTATTCAAATGAAACGCCGTCGTATTAGAGGTGAAAAGCCTTTTTTTTCAAAATCCCTAGAAATCTATTTTCTGGCCCATTTTCGCCAACACTTCGTCTTCTTCGACTCGTTTCTCTCAACCTCGTTACTCTGAAGCTCCGAGATCTCAGATTCGACGCCGTTCGTTAGTCTCCGTCGCATAATCGGTTGGTGTATCTCTGTTCTTTTGTTTCCTTAGACTTTTTAAGGATCTAATTTATCTCTTGAGCAGTATCCAGTCGACACTATCCGAATTTGCTCCTTAGGGTTCCCACTCTATGCACATCCATGGAGATCTTTACAGTTACATGATATTTGGAACTGATAGAAATTGAATCTTTTTCTAAAATTTCGGAAATCAAATTGATTTTTCCCTCTGGATATAATCTTGGTTCAGAGAAATGGATCAGGAAGCAGCTGAAACCGCGAGGGAGTCGCTGGAGCTCGTGTTTCGAATGTCGAACATATTGGACACTGGGCTCGATCGACATACCTTATCCGTTCTCATAGCGCTCTGCGATCTTGGTCTTAACCCTGAGGCTCTAGCTGCTGTCGTCAAGGAGCTTCGTCAGGAATCTGGCAACAACCACGCCACCTTAAGATAATTCATTATGCTTTTGTTTGGATGATGATGATGGATGGATCCCATTGAAATCTGCAATTGATTTTCTTCTTTATGCTTCAATTTCAATGTCTGGAGAACAAAAAAAACAAACGAGTGTTCTTGGGGATATTTAGAGATGAAATGGTACGAATCTTTTATGCATTTCTCCTGCCACTTTACTGTTTTCTTCTTGCTGCAAAGACCCGTTGGATCAATTAGCAAAAACTCGTCTTTTTGGTAAATTAATCTACCAATTTTCCATTTTTTGGTCCACAAGTTTGGTGTAGGAGAGACACTGTGAGTGATCTCTAAAGCGTAACTACATTAAGATTAAAGAATCTAATTCCGTAACTCAGACTTCACTTGAAGCATCGAATTTCATTTCGCCGAAAGTGAAAACTCTGAAAAAGATCGCACACTTTCCTAGAAATGTGAACCAAAAGTGACCCAAAGGCGCTTACTCAACTCCACTCAACATTTCTTTTGAGGCTTTCTTTTTTAAAGCGAATCACAAAGTTACCCTCATAATTTCTAATTCTTTGTGTGTCACCCAACTAGTAGGGTTGCCAAATGAAAAGTAAAACGAAGGAATATCAGTAAACATAGTCATTTAATTAAAAAAAATTGATTAAGACTTTGAATGTTAAAAAAAACAGTAAAAATTACATTTTCAACACATGAAAATGTAAACAAATGGGTATTAACCATTCAGCTGAAAATATTACTCTTTGTATATATATGTTACACATCTATCTACAACAATGATTCACAAATATATATATTATACATGTTTTTCTTACCAAGTGGTAAAGTAAACCCTTATTTGAAAAGAGTCTAATCATCGATCAAGGCGCAAGTTCAGCTTTGTATTCCAATACTAACGTAGATGAGGATTTTCGAAAGGGTTTATATGATTTTGAGACGAAGATCCAGTAATATTGAAACATATACCGAATTCCATTGGATTCGACGTAATATACCCTTCGTTTATCATCTCCAAATTGTTCGTAGATCTCTCTGGAGCATATCCGTTTTGTTGATACGCTCTACTGATTTCGATGTTGTGGTAATGGTTACCACCATATTGTTGTTGGTCCAAAATATCACCTGCATGATCAGAGAATCATATCGTAAATTTTGAATTTAGTTAAAACGATAACCAAATCCCTAACAGTTGTACTTGTACATATCATATTGTTAGTATAATTAGCAACTGTATTCTAAATTACCTTGTGTCAAAAGAGGAATCTCGTTCGTTTTTCTTTCGAACACTTTTAATAAATTCCACTTTGAGTAAGCTTGTCGAACTAAACTCTTGATAGGGAGCTGCAACAATATTTTACCAAAAAAAGAAATCAACACAGTTTCTTATAAATAATATGAGTAATATTCAAAGTACAAAAATAACGCATTATAAGCTATATATATATATACCTGATTCAGTGCTTCTCGGCTGGAAAAAATCTGACCGTTGATCACTGCTTCCAAAACTTCGCAAATCGGATTCAAGGTCAATAGAAAATCCGGTCCTCTGTGAATGTATAACTTATTTCCCAAAGTACACTCTCTAGCATGTTTCAATGTGGCTTCCCACATTTTATCAGACATTCCTCCCATAATCTATTATTAAGAAAAAAAAAAAAAAACCATTAGTCAGACAATCAAATTACTCATCACAAAAAAAAAAAATGTCTCTATAACTCTTTGTTAATGGTTAAGACAAAATTGTAGTATAAATAATAGGTTTAGTACCTGACGGAGTTTGTCGAGGTCAACGACGGATAACTTCAAAAAGTCTTGTACGTTGTTGATGTTTTCAGAAGAGAGCTTCTTGTGAAAGGCCCCATCTTTGCCTATCTTCTCTAGCCGCCACACTTCGTCTTCTAACATTGGTGGGTAATGTTTCTTGTACACTTCACCAACCCCAAGTTGTAGAAAACAAAATCATTAATATCATTTATTCAAAAAAATTGTTTTTGATTGTCCCTATGTACTTTCTATATCAGCAAATATCATGTGTTTGTGGAACCCATTAGATTAGTACAGTATTTGCTTGTGATTTTAAGATTCCGAAAAAATTGATTCCACCATGTATTAACTAGTAAGATATAACTTATAAGCAATGACCAAAGACCTGTTGCATTTTATATAAAGTGGACAGTCGTTTGCTTATGGTCCACATCAAAAATACTTTTAATTTGTCTTTAACATAAATAAATAGTGTGTGTGTGCGTGTAGACAAAACAACGAGAATATTATTAGAACAACTACAAGACTCAAAATTAATTGACCAAAAACAGTAATTTTAATGTAACCAAATTTTTAGTTAATTATAAAAAAAATTAGTTATTAGAACTAAGATCTATGTAAAATGGGACAAAACCTGAAATATATATATCCATAAGAGGTGATAACTGTAACATACTTCTAGTGATATGATATGTTACTATCACATCTCTAGTGGAATGCTTTATCAATGAATAAGCACAAAACCACTATATTTTTGTAAATTTGTTATATATATATATTCATTAATTGCTAAGTAAAGAAATAATCAATAATTAAGATTTAAGATTTAAGAAAAGGAACTTACATTCGCCACGATGATCTCTAACAACAAACGCCTCAGTCATCGCTTCACAAACCGCAACGCCTTGACCGCTACTCCCTTTCGCTACTTTTAATCCGATTCTAAACTTGCGGCTGCGAATCCAGCTCGAGTTATCTGTGAACTCAATTTCTCCGATCGTTCCAACGCCATTTCTCACCGTTACGTTTACTTCTCCGGCAAGTAACGGCCGTTTGCCATCCCTTTCTTTGACGATGTTACGCTCAAACTCATCACTACTCCATTTATCATCCGAAGGAAAATCTCCGTGAAGAGCAACGATGTCTAGTCTGATCGGACGGTCGAGATTCACCGGGGCGAACGAATAATCATTGTCTGAATCATCGACAAGGATGACCTCAAGTGGATTGTTGTCCACGTCACTGATTTTACTTCCGGTGAATATTGGTGTCATTAAGTTCTTACGGAACATTAGCTTTAATTTCGGAGTCTCCGGAGCTTCGACCCGAAACGACGATGACCGAGAAAATGATCGAAGTCTTTTATTTATTCCATGTTCCATTTCTTGCCTTACCTGTTCGGATCACCAAAACGAGTACAGTTATATAATATTCTGATGATCTTATCTGTTTTTTTTTGTTTTATCACATAATTTAGTTAAAAATACTATAAATTCTATTAATATTTGTTTGTTACTATTTTCGAGTAACACTACTATGTGTATTAGTTAATCTCTCTTATAACATATGTGTTTGTGTATATGAACATTAAAAAGATATCTAAGATTTTCTTGGAACAAAATCATATAACTCTAGAAATGGCATTATTTAAAATGGAGCTCCTATTAAATATGTAGGCATATATATGTAGATCTCGTCAATAATACTAGCTAGCATATATGTCTATGTGTGTGGACCGTTCTTTTGTCTTTTCTTTCTGGACACATAGTTGACTGAAATGTTAGGTTAGAGAGGTCTTATATCTTACTAAAAAGATCTGTTACTTTATAAGTATTTATTACTGTCTTCATGAAGTTATGATGCTATATGTAAATACAATAATATGTATGCAGCTATAGTATATGTTGTACATAAAATGTTAAGTATTACACGACCGAATCTTTCTTATTTTATATCAAATTATTTAGACGTCGTCAATACTAAACTTATGTATATTATATAGATGCATGTAAAACTCTTGTTACTCGAGTATGTGTAATGTGTATGTAAAACCGTGGTAAATATGTATCTTCAAATTTCTTTATCCATGAGAGTTTATTAGTTAAGTGTATGCATATATATATATATACATATATGAATGTAGCGCTACTTAACATGCAATATTGGAAATGTGGAGTTAAACTGTACTTACAACTTTTCTAAGAAGTGGTTCTAGGGCTGAAGAAAATCTCTTCATGGTGTTCTCTGTAATCAAATCCCCAACCACGCTGAAATTGGCCGGAAATAAAACATAAAAATAAACTAAATATTATCAGAAAAATTAATCCAGATTACATACAAAAAAAATCAAGAGTAGTATGTATATATCTAAATAAGATATTGTTCTGGATGATAAGAGAGAGAGAAAGAGAGCATATATATACATAAAATACAAATATATGAGTGACAAAAAAAGGATTGAACAATGAACCTGTCAGTGACAAAAGTTGAGGTTTGTAGTCTTAATTATAGTTATGACTCATCATAATTCATGAATACAATTGAAGAAAGAAAAAATCAAGAAATTCTGAGAAAACTTACGAGGCTAAGGATGGTAGAGCTTTCATCTGTTTCTCAGTTTTGTTTCCCTTATCGGATTCTAGATCTTGAAATAGCCTCTTACCCGCCATGGAATTGCTCTGGTGAGTTGAGAGAGAGAGAGGAAGAGAAGAGAGAGCTTAGATCAAATCTAGGTTTTATCTAATCTGTTGGTAGAAATGTTTTGATTTATATAAAGGGGAAATGGATATATATGGTTTATAGTCTCTAAGTCTTGTAATAAAAAATTTAAAATAGAGAAACTAAAAAAAGAAAGAAAGTTCGTAGAACGACAAAGGAAACAACCTGGCAGCAGCATCTCACAGAAGTCCACGCGAATTTTCATATTATGGCGTCATAATTAGAGAGACTTTTGACGTCAACCCCAAAAGAGAAAGGGTCATTTGTTGACAAGTGGACGAACCTGATCTTTTCATATGTTGTTTCTAGATCCAACGATTGATGTTTGGCACGATCCCTATTCCACCTGATCACTTCTTGTGGAGAGCAGAGCAACACTAGATCCGGTCCGTTCTCCAAAGAATTTTTTGTCTTTTTCTCCATTTTTCGAAGAATTTAACATAAACATACTTTATTTATGATAAATCTATCATCTAGTAAATTGCCATTTTCCGAATACAATCAAATAAGTTTAAATTCATGATGGTCTCGTCCGACAAATAGGGCTATATATATATAACAAATATAGAATCAATTTGATCGAACTATCTCGTAAGCAAATCTAACCTCTTTGGTAATCATCGTTTTCCAAAAATATCCTAATAATTTCGTTGCTATTATTATTAAACCGCAAATATATAACAATCATTTTTCAATATAGAGTGCTTTGCATTAAAAAAAAAAAATTAATCTTATCCAATTTATTATCTGTTCACTAATATTAAACTATATATTTATAAAGGTCTAGTGAATACTTTCGAAGAAGGATCGTTGAATTGATTTCTTTTTCTCGGGTAATTTCTTGTCGGGTGGGTTAATCTCAATCCTCCGCCCAAGACTTGTCGTTCTCTTAGCTTTACTCGACTCTGTTTGGTATTGTTTAAAAGATGAATTGTATGGTATTGTTTCATAGTCTTTGTCACAATGTTATTGTCATTATACAAAAAAACAGAATAAGAACTATCACTTCAGTTTGATGTAATCTTATGTTCTAAACGATGAAAAGCCCATACCCCATTTATTAACCAATAACTTTTTAGTCTTTATGGTGACGACCAATTCAAGAACTAAATTTATAATTTGTGTTAGTGTTGTTGTTGTTGCTGTTAATTTTGTACATTTTAATTTCATTCTAATTTTACTTTTAAAAAAGAATGGTTATAATATTTCATTTTATAAATCTGTAATGAACTTAAAAACTAAAATTTTAAAATAATAAGTGGGCGTTAAGAGAATCCTGATTGACTGTGGAGTCTTGACGAAACCTATATGACTGCCTCTTTTCTTGGAAGCTGCCATCGGCCTTCCCCTTCGCAAATTTTTGTTACTATTGACTAAGCTCCATTTTATTTTATTTTATCTCTAATTATGTATATTAATATATGTATAACAGCATAAGTATTAGTTTCTGTAGAATCTAAAATCAATGTATAATTTTCCACACACAAAAAACAGATAATCTTTAAGTGAACATTGTCCACCAAATCATAAGCTGACTGAGTTTTACTCTATATTTCTTAATATTATGAAATCTTTTAAAACGAAACTAACCGGCCGCGTACGGAACAAAACGGCCGCGTGCATATACAATTATTAGCTGATGAATTATTATATGAGCTCTTTGAATATCCAGTTACCAAAAAAAAATTATTATATGAGCTCAAGCCATCTCCAAATTATCATTAAGCAATAATAATTTATTCACGTGATTGAGCAATGAGTCAGCAACGTAAAATAAACCGTAAAGAATTATATATTGTGCTAACTCTACATATTACAAAATGAAATTATTTTTGGAAATGAAACATGTATTTCCGAGAACAAAACAAAAAGACGTAATTTGTCAGTTTCTATATGTTTGGAGTTTTGAAAAGAAAATAAAGTTTGTTTTTGAAATAATTAGTAGAATGTCAGTACAAAAGATAAGTTAGAAAACGTCATTATTTTAATTAAGTTTTAACTCGTATAACAAAGTTTTCTGTTAAGCTAGAGAGTTGTTGGTAGGTATATAAATAAATATATATATATATATCTTTTTGTTTTTTTTGTCAATAACAAAGTTTTTGATATTTTATAGAAACAGGTCAATGATAGACTTTCTAGTAAAAACACGCAGTAGAGAGGAGAAATAAAAAAAAAAGGATAAATACGCGAACATGTGCATATTTTCGTTGGTATGGATTATGAATTTATGAGTAGGTGGATCATCGAAGTTAATTATAGGTATATTCCACATGGTTGTAAGAAGATAAACAAGATTTATGTGAGAAAAGGAGACAGCGAAATTTGTAATTACAGATGTGTTTATGTATTCGACGAATGAACTAATGGGCCTTCCAAAACCCAAATCGTATGCTATGGGCCTTCATAAGAAAATACTAAAATCCCATAACTCTATGAGCAAAATGAATCAACCTATCCAAAGAACCATCATCGAATTTCCTAGCGAACAAGTAACATTTGTTACTCTTTTCCCCATTATATACACACCCTTCTTCCCTATTCCTCACCTTTCTAAAAAACTCTGCCGTTACCATCCGCCGTGTGTACTTCCTCGGATGGGGCCCTCGCCGTGACCAATCCGTCCACGTCAGCGACCTGTTCGCGTTCTTCCCCGGAAACATGACGTGGACAAACGTCGGCAAGTAATGCTCATCGGCGTAACAACCCCAAAGGCAATGTTTCTTGAACAAAGGGAAGTAAGTGGTATCGGAGACGACCGCTAAAGCCACCTCACGGTCGATTTCGAACCACTGAGAGCCTTTTCGCCAGTTGCGACGGCTGATGAGCGGGGACATACGGCGGTTGTAGCGGCCCCGACCTGCTGGTCCGGGAATGTCGTAGAGGTCAACGTAAGAGTGTTGGGAGTTTATTAGGTAAGAGTAAATAGTGGAGAAGTTGAAGAGAGGAATGTCCGATTCCGAGAGGAGGACGAAGCGGTGGTTTTCAGGGCTGAGCAGAGCGTTGGCCAGTAGCCGCCGTTCAGCCTCCACCATGCTCACCATTCCCCATTCCACTTCCTACAACAACAAAAAGAAAGCCTAGTTCATGACTCGTAATTACTATTAATCTATCAATTTTTAACTTAATTATTTAAAAAAATTATATGTCGGTATGTATAATAGACTACTCAACGGTTTTATATTTATATAGTATATGATGATATGTATTGAAAGGAACAATACGAGCCATAAGTAGACATATACGAAAGGAACTAAAATACGACTTTTTAACCTATTAATCAATGGCTGATATAAATCCCTTTATATTTCTTTTTGTTATAGAGAAACAATAAGGTCACTATTAGTCACATCACGTGATCTATAACGTTGATTCGAGTTGATGACGGTATAGAAGTATTTTTGTTTCGATGTGTATAAGTATTTTTTAACGAAAGATATTTCTACATATACAGTATGATTTTTGTCCATGAAACACCTATGTGGCATGACTAATGTCTTCTCCACTTTTCTAATTTCTGTGACACGGATCTAATAAAAAAAACTATATAAGTAGACCCGGTTCAAAACGTATAATATAGAAATGAAAAAAAGATACGGATCTACTTCTTTGAATTAATACGCCATGAACATTACAGCCACAGAATAATGTACTTGTCCTTTGTTTTGCAATCATAGCCAAAGCGTGACGAATTGAAGAAAAATTAAAATAATGCTAAACACTATTTCGTTCATTTTGTCACTCCCTTCTAAGTGTATAATACTTGTAACTAAATAATAACTTTCGACTTTATTTAGGCTGATTAATTCGTGTATCTCAGTTATATATAGAAAACAAAAAAAGGTTCAACGATATATTACTGAGGTAATGACGAAATTGACTAACCTTGCTTGGAATCCTCCGGCGAAAGAACGGCGACGTTTCAGGAACATCATCGTCAACGTAATAAGGGTCGCTCGTATGAATGTAAATGGAGAAAAGACCTTGATGGCCTTGGAAAAATCTCTCCCACAGTTTAGCCAAAGGAAGCTTCCCTCTCGTCAAGAACATAAACGCCACTTTCTTTGTCGTCTTTAACGGGTTTTCTTGAATCTTCGACGCACGCCACAAGAGTTCTCTCTCCGTCATGTTATGCATCACGTTCTCCGGATCCAGCAGAGAATGACCCTTTCGCCCTTCATCGTCATCAGTTGCAGCAACCGCTTCTTTTTTAAATACGCATTTCTCTGGCTGCGGCTGAAACGGTGGAGAGAGGGAAGAGGAGGAGGAGGAGGAAGGAGAAGAAGATAGACGAAAGAGTTGAGGACTGAAAGATACGTTTCTCATGTGGAAGTTGAGTATGAAGCCGAGTCCGAATCCGAAACCGATAAGAAACGAATACAAAACGAGAGTCTGGAAGAATTTCTGAGATTTGAATATCTTCGATAAGAAGATTTGGTGAAGATGACGACGACTTTCTTGTTGAAGAGGGTCTTCTTGGGTTTCGCAAGTCTTCTTCATCATTCTCTTTTTTTTTACGTATGTGTTGGTTCTAAAACTAACTTTAAGAACCGCGGGACGAACGAACGTTATATAGTCAAGAGTATGATCGTGACTGAATTTTAAAACTGACTTTTCGTCATTGAGTTTTCTTTAAATATATCTTATTACCTCACGGGCTTGCGATTTTGCTAGAAACAGTGAATTGACTCCAACAGGATTTTAGGGGTTGGGGTGATTCGATTGGTACACGAATTGGGTTTTATATAAACACGTTAACTTAGATTGTGACATTATAGATGAAGTAATGCTTGGGTTATGACAAGTAGTAGTGTCACCCATTCTGTTATATTTTTTTTAAAACTTTTATATACTTTCTGGAAAAGTTTCAACAAACAGAAACAGAAACTAAAGAGATTTGATTTGTAACATCAGCTCATCAAGATTCAGCTGCAACTTTTAGTTTGAATGATAAATTATGAGTTTCTAGCACACATTCTCTTCTACACATTTGAGCATACAACCTTAAGCATATCAAAACGATTAATTAGCAACGCGTTTAACACCACAAAACAGCAGCATTCTACATAATCTTAATGGAAAAAGCTCTACCTTGACAGCTTTCTCTGCGAGTGATGATGGTATCTTCAGTAGAATGAGATGCTATAGACAAGTTTCCGCCTGTGTTGTTTTTCGAAACCGGCAACAATGTCATCGACTGTATCTTCCCATGATTCATTCCCTTCAATCTATAACCACAACAATCATCGATGTTAATTCCTTATAGGATCACTCATTATGTCAAAAAGATGATTAATTGAGTACAATCGAATGGATATTTCTTTATAGGATTTATTGACCTCTTGACAGAGTTCCAAGGCAAGTCGGCCACCAATAGCTGCTTCTTCGTGGTTATCTTTAACCTCCAAGTTCATCACAAGTATGGTTTTCATCAGTGTTTGTTCTCTGTTATTAAGATCTGCAGATTGGTAGTAATATCCAAGTCGGTGAGATAAAGACAGAAAGTCACACCAGAATGTTCAAATTACTTTCACACGGCAAGAAAACTCCATCAACACTATGACTGCAATCATTTTTACTCAGCTAATGAATACAGCAAGATAAAAAAACAATTTTGACGTTTCCCATGACTTGTCGATCCTCTACGACTTCAAAGATTCATTTTTTAAACATCTAACCTAACTAGTTCAAGCTATTTTATTACCAAGTGACAAATATATCGATGCTATTTCTTCCAATATTATAAGAGTTTGTGATGATGAACATCAAGCAAGTATCACATAGTAAAATGGGGAGGATTTTAGATTACCTTCAAGGACTGAATCGAAGACCTTTTCTTCAAACGTCATCACAACATCAAACACACCATCGCCAGCATTATCTTGCCATCTCTGAGGAGCAAGTTTCACAGATAAATTCCTCTTAAGCATCTGCAAGATACCATTCCGCTTGTAACTGAAGAAACAGTTAAGGTCTCAAACTTCAAGTTTACAAAGACTCATACAGAACAATGGACAGTGTTCTAAGCACAAAAGCAAGGCATCACAGGTTGGACTAAACATAGACATAAGCAAGACTAAATTTTGTATATTTACTAACACACTCTTTCCTGAATTATGTTTACTTCTGTAGAGAAATTTCCGAAAGGGACGAAGCATTTGTTTTTCACCAGATTAAAAAAGAGGGTTTAACCATTGAAATTAGGGAATTTGAAGAAGGCAAGAAAATCATCGAACATCACGGCATTAGAAGGAGATTTGATACTGAAGAAGCGACTAAACACAGAAATTAGGGATTTGAAGCTAAGAACAGATCATGATCAGTACGCAACAGAACAAAGAACAATCACAGAACCGCGAGGAAAAAAAGAGAGGATACAGTTCAGGATCCTTGCGCCTGAGCTCATCGAACATCTGCTTGTAAGGAGTTCCAAAGTCGTAGACGTTAGGCTCTCTGGCAGACGGTCCAGGTAGTTTCACATGAGACCCAGTCCCGTACGAAGCAACGTCGAGGCCTTGCCTCTTAAGCAGAGCGTGAGCCTCCATGCTCCGGTTCTGATTCGACGAACAGACCATTGCGTACCGGAACCTCATGGCGAAGCCGCCGCGAAGAACGAATCTGCGATTTTCCCGGCGACTGTAGCGTTAGCGGCCGAAGCGGTTTTACAAGTTCCCGATTTCAGAGAGATGCATGTAATGTGAGGGGGATTACGTTGGGCCTGATTCTGGGCCGGGCTTTATCAACCAATCGAATATTTCTTTTTTTACTTTTTCGTCAAACGTTACTAGGAGAGATGGTCCAAGAGGAAAATTCTTACGACAAAGATGTGTTTCCTTTTTTTCTCGGACAGTTCCGTTCAAACAAAATGGTCCCTTGCGTTGACTGGACTTTTGGATATGACTACATACTTGTTAGATTGACTCCTTGACTTTTGTGTTAAAACTTTAGTCCCAACTCCACGCGAGGTTTGATTTTCGAAATGTCATGTCATTCATATCGTAAGCTGTCTTATTTTTCATCTTTTTAACAATTTGTCTCTTAAGCTGTCTATAATAGTCTATAATCTAAACACTAATAGCATTTCTTCTTTTGGCTAAAAGCAAAAAAAAATTCAACAAAAAAGCAAAGAAAAAAAAAGCAAAAATGAAAACGGAACTTAATGTAACGCGTATAAGTTAGTTATGTGTGCCCCATGCTGAGTAAACGATGTTGACTGGCTCAAAGACTTGTTTACGAAGGCATTTATACATACCACCAACTCGTATAAGCCACTCTGCTACAACAAGAACAACTCATCAGAAAAACTGGATTTTTTAAAAATAATATCTATATCCCGCAGGCCACACAACCTTCCTCTCTCCCATCTATTCTTCATTACTGAGAGTAACATAATAATTAAAATAGTCTTATTTACAATCAAACCAGCCACGTGCCGTCACCAGAGATGGTTCGCCGTCTTTGCGGTGGTTTCATGGCGATACTGAAGATGTGCGGTGGTCAGAACGCTTCTGAGGGAGATGTATCCGCTGAAGACGGCGGAGACCGTGGCATCTTCTTCGATCTCCAAGAGCTTGAGATTGCGACTGACTTATTCTCCGAGATGAATCGGCTCGGACATGGAGGATTTGGTCCTGTCTACAAGGTAATTAAACCTCTAAAAAAACTCTGTTTTTTTTTTTGGTTGAAAATAAAATGTTTATTTGATACGACATTACGAATAGGGATTGATGCCGAGTGGTGAAGAAATAGCTGTGAAGAAACTATCGGTAAATTCCAGACAAGGGTCGAGAGAATTTACAAACGAGGTTAGGCTCTTGCTAAGGATTCAACACAAGAACTTGGTTTCGTTGCTGGGTTGTTGCTTCCATGGTCCCGAGAAGATGCTGGTTTACGAGTATCTCCCTAACCGGAGTCTCGATTATTTTCTCTTCGGTACGTACATCTCTTAATTCACAAATTGTCGGAACATACCACACCGAACCGAATCATCGGTCCTCTTCTGTCTGATTCGTTCATATCAGACCGGCATGGTTCAACCATTGATTTTCTATGTAATTTTCAGATAAGATCAATCCCGGTTTACTTGACTGGTACAGTCGATGGCGAATAATTACAGGCGTGGCAAGAGGACTGTTATATCTACACGAAGAAGCTCCGATTCGGATAATCCACAGAGACATAAAAGCCAGCAACATTCTTCTAGACAATGACTTGAACCCGAAAATCTCTGATTTCGGTTTGGCCCGGTTATTCCCAGGCGATGGCACTCATACCAATACCTTAAAAATCTCTGGGACTTAGTAAGTACAATAAATCCCACCACAATGACAAAAATGTGAATGTATATATCTATAATTAAGAGGCTTATTATATACGTGAGTGTTGATGCAGTGGTTACATGGCTCCTGAGTATGCGTTACACGGGCTTTTATCGGTCAAATCGGATGTTTTCAGCTTTGGAGTCTTGGTTTTGGAGATAGTTACCGGAAGAAAGAACCAAAATCCTCGTCTTGGACCGGATATGGCCGATCTCTTGAACTACGTAAGTTTGAATCATACCGTTAAGGCATTAGCCTCCTCTCTTTAGCACAATATTATACAAATAAACCAATCAATTCAAGTTTGGCATTATATATAGTAAGGTTCCGAATTTCTATTATATCAACCCCAATATTACTATTATGTTCGGTAGTTTTGTTTAGCATCAGAACGGTGAGTCACTTAACCGGTTATTACTACAGACCCTAACCAACCGGATCATGGTTTTGTAACCATGCATGTATCCATTTGTTCTGCTTCGATGCCAACAAATCCTACATTTTGCTCGGTCTAACTCAATAACCGGAATTTATAATCGGTACAGGCGTGGAAGATGTACCAAGAAGGCAAAATTCTGGAATTGGTGGATCAATCTCTAGCAGGAGTATACAACCGCGACGAAGCAGCCACATGTTTCATTATAGGGTTACTCTGTTGCCAGCAAATCACAACAAACAGACCGGACATGAACAAGGTTCATCAAATGCTGTCCAGCGATTCATTTGAATTGCCTCAACCGGGTCGTCCCGGACTCCAAGGTCGTAGAGGAGGAGGCTATACAAGTACCGGGACCGGTACAGGAGCCGGTTCAAAAAGTTTGGGATTAACCGGGAGTGAACCAAACAGTTTTAAAAGTAGAAGAAGTGGAGGAGGAGCGTCTGGACAGAATAGCGTCGTTGAGGAATACTCAAGGAATTCCATTTCCATGTCTTCCTTCGCCGAAGGAAGATGAGTTTTAAATTCAAACATGTAAATGCACTCTTATTTATGTGTATATATTTGGAGACGAAGAGAGGGACTTTTTTTATATGATATGTTCGTGGATCGTTATATTTGAGTCCTTTCAAGTGTTTGGAACACGTTTTGGTATAAATTAGCAAAAACCTGATGCGTTTGAAATTTTACTTAACGTTTTTTCAAAAAAAAAAAAAAAAAAGGAGTCGTTTGCATAATTGAGTCGTATATCAGTGAAATTGTTTATAGGTAGCCTAGCTAAGTACTAGATTTATAGAAGGAAACGTTCAAGTTTTCATCTTTCCAAAAGAGGAACAGTTTGGCACCAAACCTAGCTAGTTACTGACCGTATGACTTTAATATTAGTTTGAAATTAATCTAATTCATGACCATAAGAACAAGTAAGTTTAGTTTCGGAAGCAAACAAGTCTAGCAACCTAATATTTTAAATTTTCGTAATCATTTTTTTTCTTCCAAAACCAAAACTAAGCCTTAATATATCTGGTTTCGTTCTATTGGTTTCTATATTTGGCCCCAGTGGAATTTAGATGATGGCTTCTATTTCCAATGATCTTATAGTTTAGTTTATAATTATACAGTTCGACTACCATATAACTAAATTACCAAACCGAACAAAAATCAAATCGGTTTAATGGTTCTCCCCACAAGCCCATCATTTCATTTTGTTATTGCCATCAGTTGTGTTTAAATACTTTGTGCTTTGCTTTTGTTTAGTCGAACACTTTTAGGAATTAGGTTTAAAATTCAATGAAGGTCTTAGGATTCGTTGGTCTTTATTCACAACTACCTTTGATTTTATGAAAAGGCACATTATGCATTAGATTCGGTACGTAATTTCAAAAGATTCAACTGTTTTAAGAAGTTTCGGCAAACATTACATGCATTCAAAACCATTACGTCTGGTCTGTCAGTTTGTTAGCTAGCTATATATACTAGCAATGTTCAAAGTCAAAATAACAAGATATGACACCTAACTCTAGAGTAAAAAATCCAGAAGAAAAACGTGTCTAAAGCAGACTAACATAACTATTTCAGCTCATTAGTCACAATAGATTAGGGAAATTAAGAAAGAAAGAAAAAGAAGCGCATCAAATGAAATAATTACTTATGAGGTCTCAAGTTCGTCCCCCTTGAGAAGTTGCCTAAACAGAGCTCAGGGGTCCCACTACCAAACAGTGACCCACTTTCTCTATTTGGATATATCTCCTGATAAATTAAGTGGGACACACTCCATTACAAAAATCTCATAACTCTCACTTTCATTGGCCCTCCTGTTAATTTTTGTTTTGTTTTTTTAACACCCCACTTTTATTATTCCAATTTTGAAAAACTAAAATAGCAAAAAAAAAAAACAATGTCTATATATATATACGGAGTTTACTAGATCGGAAAAAACAACCACTCTTCATTTTCAAAAATTTGTATATTTCGAAAAAAATCAATTATGGCGAATCTCTCTTCTGGTTTTCAGACATTCACAACGGATGATCCCATAACTCAACTTGCAGAACTCAACAACACTCTTCATCAGTTCCAAACAATGTTTGCTCCTCCTTTCTCTTCTTCTCTCGACTCTCTTTTCTTTCATCATCATCAACATCAACAATCCCCAGATCATTTTCCCGGACAATCTCCCGAGAATAATTTTCATCAAGGAGTTTTCATTCCTTCTAATATTCACTACAACGAAGATTCTTCTTCAAGAGTCGATATCAAGAAGAGGAAAACATTAATGGAGTCTATGTCTACGTCGGAGCATAGCGTCTCTGATCAGACTCTATCCACCTCTTCTGCTCAAGTATCCCTAAATGGACATATTTTGACAAAAGATGTATTTAATAACCTCGAAACCCTAATTTAATATGCTTAATTAAATTCTATCCGTTTCCATGATTCTAACTATGTTTTCTCTTATTTAAACCACAGAGTTCATCAAGGAGAGGGAAGAGGTCTAAGAATAGAGAAGAAGATAAAGAGAGAGAAGTTGTTCATGTTAGAGCCAAAAGAGGTCAAGCCACTGATAGCCACAGCTTAGCAGAGCGGGTAAAAGTTAATTATGTAATCAAATATATTGATTTTAAGAAAATTTTAAATCACAATATATAAATTGTATAATGGAAACTTATGAGTAATTAAAGAGATTTAATGCTCTTACTGTGTTTACAGGTTCGTCGAGGGAAAATAAACGAGAGATTAAGATGCTTGCAAGATATAGTCCCCGGGTGTTATAAGGTGATTATGAGATATTTTTAATCAAAATAGTTTGTTTAGACTGTAGACCATAGCAATTTATTTTAGCTTTTTTACTGAATATATATTTGGTGATACAGGCAATGGGAATGGCTACGATGTTGGACGAGATAATTAATTACGTGCAGTCCTTACAAAACCAAGTCGAGGTACAGTTATATAATAGTAGTAAATAGTTTATACTAGTGCAAATTATCTAATTATTTCCATTGGTGTCAATAATTACTAATTGGCTTTTTTTTTTGTTAATGTGGATTCAGTTTTTATCTATGAAACTTACAGCAGCAAGTTCGTATTATGACTTTAACTCAGAGGCTGATACTGTTGATTCCATGCAGGTACAGAATCTTCAATCTTAATCGAAATCGTCTAATATATATAAATAACTTTTTAATAGTGTGTTTGATGTGATTAATTAATTAGTTAAATTGTATTTTATTTGAATATTTAATGTTTGCAGAAGGCAAAGGCACGTGAGGCAGTGGAGATGGGGCAAGGGAGGGATGGGAGTACTGTCTTCCATTCATCATCATGGACCCTTTGACTTTTGTTTTTTCTCTCCCTTTTTTTTGTTGTCTTTCTAAGTTCTCCTTTTTTGGATAAAAATACTTACAAGATTGATTTCAATAATTTGGATGCCAAATGATATGTATACTGTGTAATGTCGACATTACAAATTTATTGCCTAGACATTGCAATTCAATTAGATCGGACAGTGACAAATGCTTTATGAAGATACTTTTAAGTTAACAGTACAAATTTTCGGAATTGTATTGTTAATTTAAATATTTAATTGTTCATGAGTTATGCTCCATAGATTTTAAAACTGTATATTTTAGTTGTCACGACTAAATTTGTTTATTTTTTCGTAACAAAATTCTACATCTTTACAATGTCAAAGTTGTTGTTAAGAGTGAAAAATCAATACAAAAAGGATTGTAACTTCCATAGACAATAGATTCTACAAAATGATTGATTACTAAGTTGTTGAAAGCTCATTAATCAAACGTTTTAGACAATTGTCATGAATCATGCGGAATGTTGCAATGCATCGATATTGTTAGTTCTGAATAATATTTGACTATACAACTAATTAAATACACTTAGTTTAGCATTATCTATCAGAAAAAACATAAACTATCAGAGATGAACTAATTTTTTTATTGATTAGTTTAATATATATTTTGAGTGGAGATAGATGCAAGAGGGGATGAGACATGTGGCGAGTGATATAATAAGTAACAAAAATCAATTTCATATGGGTTCCATGCTACATTTAAGTAATTAAGAAGATGACTTACTTTCAAGAAAATATCTATTAAAATAAATATCCATGAAAGAGAAGTATTTATACTACTATATAATAATATATAATTTTGTAATCTAATGCTTACAGAGTTACATACTTTATATATATATATATTCCGAAAATATGGAATCTCTTCAATAAATACAAAAATTGAAATATATAATTTCAAATTAGCCACCAGCATTTTGGAGAGTCAGAAAGAATGGTCATCAAAACTGTAGTTGGAAGAAAAAGGAATAAAACATGTAGCTAAAATGCAGATTATAGATTAAGGGGAGCCCCCTTTAAAAATGGGATCAGCAGTTTTGACTGGGGTCAAATAATGTGACAAGCAAAGATGATAAACTTGAACACCAACTGGCTTTGGACCTGAGGGAATAGTATACTGAATTGACTAAATTACCCTTCAAGTGTTGCTATCGAAAGTAAGACATAATGATGTGTGTCTCCGAAACGATACACAAAGACAAAGAGAGGTTTTATGCAATTTGTGGAAGATCGTGGATTGTGGATTTCGAAAGGACGTGTTTAATCATGGAGCAACCAAAGGTATTTTCTTCCTTATAATTTGTGGACTCTCTAAATATATCTAAACATAGCTTTTCATTTCATGAATAAATGCATGCATGAGTGACAGTTCATACTTCATAGAATCTGATGGATGTTCCCTATTCATCATATGCATGATTGGAAGAACATTTGTGAAATTCTGGATATTTATCCCTTTTTTTTTAGCATGTTATTATGACAGTTGTTATTACTAGCTACTCTAGTTTGTATTTAGTATTGTGTATTATATAATTCAAATCTAAACCGATAAGTGAAATGGTGAATTATAAACGATAAAAAAAGCAAAAATAAAATACTTTTAACATTACTTTTAACAATCAACCATTTGTAATACCTTTCAAGATATCTCCCAAGTAATGTGTTCTTTATAGTAGATTCCACTCGATCGTAGCGAGTTATCGTATATATAGTTTTAACTGCAAATAAATAAAATCTAAATAGTGAGACGTTGTGACATTTAATAAAACTGAGTCGAATCGTATACATGCATTGCTTCATGCAGGATATACATTTTTTTTGTGTATTTCTTTATTTAAAATTTCCAGTTGGATAAGTACTCATAAATGGTCAAAATTATAGAGAAAATTCCAGAAAGTGGGATGCATGTGTTGCTCTCAAAATGGTTGTGTCTTAGTTTAGGGCTTTAAAGATGACTATTGGTTAATTTGAGGTTTTAGTCGAAAGTAATAGATAAACCTGAACATAAAATAAGGAAAAATATAACAGGAAAAGAAAAAGAGAATAGATGCAATGCATGCATCCATGAAACTAGGGAGGACAGCTTCAAATGGACCATTACTTGCCCTAAAGAAGATGGAAATGATGTGGGGCTTCCTATTCATCTCCGTCTTATTGATGCATCTATATAAAGAACAAATATTTCTAAATTAATATCTAAATTTATATACCTATAATATTGAATAGTTCAATTGCTAAGTGGTTTATTGCTCTAGCTAGTTCTGTCGTGCTTATTATGTATATCGAAAATGATCCATTAAGAACCAAACTTAATAATTTATATAGAAAAACTGTTAAGGTTCTCTTTCATTATTAATTCTTAAAGCAAATTAAGGTTCACTAGATTAAGCAAATATACAATATATAATTCAATATTAATGTTGAAGAGGTTAGTTTTGGGAAACAAATAAAAATTTCGGAACAAAAAGTATTCTATAAATAGATTTGGCGATCACATCATTTGGTGACAGGGAAGAAAAGATGGGCAAGTTCAAGGATCCATAAACATTGTGGGAACCACCAACCACCAAAGTTTTGGAAGTGGCTCAACTTGAATGTGGAGGAGTTGTTAGCTCTTCAATTCTCTGAAGTCTCTACTCTTATTAATCCACAAAATCTTCAATTTCCATTTTTAAGTAATCTTAATATATACTTTTGTAATACCTATTTTATCATTATTATCTAGTTAACAATTATGATAACAAACAAAAAAGCATGTTTTATCTCAAGATTAATACTTTTAATAACATACGAGAGAAGTTTGTCTCTTGTCCAATATCAGAAAAAAACACCTAACAAAGCATCCTAACTAATTAATCTATATTAAAATCCCTGTTTTTAGTAATCAAAACAAATATATGCGACTATGTGATTAAGCCCTTGCAAAATTTTCAAACTAAATGATACTTTTTAGGTTTAATTTACACAGAATGTGAACTGAAGTGTTTATTACGCAGAATGTAAACAAAATTTCTTCTCTAAAAGCTAAATATATACAGAAATTTTCATCTCCATTTCCAAAAATTTACTCTTTTTTCATTTTCAAAAATATATTTTTACTTGAAAATTTTTTTTTCTCTATTTTTAGTGATAAATTATAAAGAACAATCAACAAAAAATGACGAAATATAGTAAAGAACGATTTTTCTTTCTTCACAATTGTTAGTTGTAGCGACGAAAGAAGAATAACCAAAAAAAAAGTATCTATGTGATGATCTGAAAAAATATAAATCTCAATATTTGGATGTCTGAAGAAAATATTGTTAAAAAAAAAGAAAAATAGAAAGCTAATGACCGTAAGTGATGCCTTAAATTTTAAAAACTAGTTACTTCTTTTTTATAAAGAGTTTTCTGATAAAGATCCTCCATGTAATTTCTTTTGCAACTGTATTTTTCATTGGTAAAAAATGCAAATCAAATAACTAATTTCTAATTAACTCGTAATATAACTATTTGTTGTATATAAGTTTTCTAATTCATATAAAACTATATATTATCAAAATTACATCGTAATGAGCAATTTTTAAAACATCGACATGTAAAATAGTTATTCAAACCATTGAGCTTTTACTCATTTTTCTCATGTAGATTATCAACCATGCCAATGCATTTCTTATTAGAAAAACACACCCAATCTAGCCTCGGTACAATATTATCTATACTTGTGGTCGTTGACCAGCTTCAAGATAAACAAAAACAACTTGCGGTCAAATCTTCTATATATTTCGCGGACACAATAAATATTGTCGTAGCAAAATGGTAGTGCATTTATTAATTTTACTCAAAGTTCAAAGGTTCGAACCTTCATTTCTCTTTTTTTTTTTTTTTTTTATAAAAATATTAAAACCTTACTTATAGTGACGCCTACATACATATAGTAAAATTTATACACGAACGAGATATGGCGGGGTTGACCTGCATTTTTTTAGTCTTTGGTACAGGTGCAAAAAAAAAAAAAAAAAAAAATCACTTGAGAGTTGATTTGCAGAAAACCCTTTTACAAATTATCCCAAAACTTGTCTGCGACCTTACATTCAGAGCTAAAACCTCTCTTTCCTAAGTGCTAACATGGAGATGAAGCGATGGATCATAGTATCAAAGAGCTTCACTGTCGGAGAATCTGTTGAAGCTGAAGGACTTGGTTTCTCTGTTCCGGTGGCAGTAAATTGATCTGCTCAGGCGTCAGGCTCATCACCTGTTGAAGTAATGCCTTCTCCATCTCTGCAGATATCTGCACAAATGCAAAAAACTATAATTATAAACAAAAAGAAGAAAAGCTCTTTGCTTTGTAATCAGCAAAAGCCACTTAGAATTCCGGCAAAAGACACAACTACAACATCTATTGGAAAAAAACACAATCATCGACAGAAATATATGGATCATTAGACGCCCAGAAGTTCAATGGCTGTGTCTTTTAGTTGAAATAGGGGAAGATAGATTACCGGTGCAGGGGGAGGTGGCGGGCCGCCTCCAGGCCCAACGTGACTTGGTGGAGGAACCGGTCCTAAGCCTGGGAGATGAGTAATGTTTGAGCTCTCTGATTGGCCACCCATCCAAGAAGGACCTCTGTCTGCACCCATCGGACCTCCTAATTGGTTATTGTTGTAGTCTCCACGAAACTGACCTCCTCCCTGACACACAAACGACAAGCAGTGAGACCCAACAGCGAAACCAAACACATGTCTAGTTTCCATTTAGATTATTAAATATGTTAATGATTCCGGAAGAAAACAGTTTCCCCATCTGATAAATAATCCTCTCATTAAATGGTGAATGTACTCACTGAAACTATGGCGCCGGGGATGCAGTACAAGAGAATAAAGCAAACATAGTTGCATAGTAAATCATCGAAACCAACGAATGTCGCCTAAATATATAAGACGGTAGGAGTATGAATACCTGATATGGTGGCTGACTAGGCAGATGTGGCTGCACCTGCGAGAATTGAGGTCCACCAGAAGCAGGGGGTCTGTTTCCTGACTGTACATTGGTTCAAAAAAAACATAAACCAAAATGACGGAAACACAAGAAAGCCGATAATAGCTACTTATATAATTCCTGACTCACATGAAACATGGGTTGAGAATGATGCTGAGGAGGTGCTCCATGGTGCTGAAACCCAGTGTTTGGAGCAGACTGGGCTGGTCCAAACTGATGATGATATGGTCTCGGCTGTTGTTGAGCCAAATGAGGACCTCCGCTTGAATGCATTGGCTGTTGTTGCAACTGACTCGAGGAGGCTGGTGTATCAAGGTGGTGGAACGGAGGTGGTTGGGATGTTGGATGATGGGGAACCGGAGGAGGCGCGCTTTGAACCTGAGAAGACTGCGGATGAGACAAAGAAGTGCCAGCAGGATTCAGATGTCCCTGACGCTGGGGATGCGAAAAACGAGGCTGTGAAGGAGCATTGTTGGTTGCAGAAACAGAAGGCGGAGGTGGCATAGGCATTGGTTGTGGCGTCGGGTGTTTCCTAATCGGGGCTTGTGGCTGCATTGTAGTTGCTGCTGGCTCTTGTGATATGGAAGACATATGAGCTTGAACGTTTGGCTTTGGTGGGATAGATTGATGAGACTGTTGAGCAGCTTGTGGCTCAACTTTCGGAATCTAGATGAACATGGTTGTAAATGTTAAGATGTGTGAAATGAACAACAAACAAAGAGACCTTAAGTAAAATTTGTTTTTCTTTAAAGATGCAAAGCAAATACCACTTGAGGAGGCTGAACCATTCCAAGCATGATCTGTGCCTGTAATTCAACAAAATATAGCATCACCATCATCATCAAATACAAGTCTCAAATCTATCTATAGATGAAATCTTTGTTACATTCGTAGTTGCCCAGGTATAACCACACAAAACCCTAATTTTTAACCAGCTGCTACTACAACGATACTAAACCCAAACAGAATGGCTTAAGAGTAAGAAGCTCCGGATCAGAATCTCCCTCGCTGATTATACCGCTCAATAATAGGATTGGAGAAGTTAAGGAAAACCTGGAAAAGAGCTTTCGTCAAAAGAGGATTCCGAATCAGAATATCCCTCGCTTGCTGGTGATTTTGATCAATCAGCGCCTGCGCCATCGGATTCAATCGATCAGAAACAGTAAGACAAGAAAGAACAGCAAAAAAATAAAGTAATCATCTGTTCAAATCCATAAAGGATTAAACCCCTCGAGAAAGAGTTGTAGCCGATAATTATCGGGCAGTAGAGAAAAGAGAGAAGTGCACCTTCATTTGAGACATGATATCGTAGAGCTGACTTTTGGTCATTCCGGCGAGATTTGCCGGTAAACCGGCCTCTCCGCCGATTTGCTTACCCGCCATTGTCCTCGTCGGTGGTCGCAGCCGTGACAAACGGAGCGTGCCCAGGCACTGGCAGCAGCATTAAGACGCGACACAACAATACGTGAAAAACAACTGGGCCTCGCACAAAATGGGCTCATATGTGTCAGCCCAATATGAATAGAACCGATCCTATATGAATTGAGGAAAATGGCGTTTTTAAAACTCTAAATTAACAATAAGTAAAGTGGCCCATGCCACTTTTATACTAGGTCAAGTCTCTTCTCATTTTCAGTTCGATTCAATTCTTCACATTTTTGTATAATGTGTTTGGTAGGTTCTCCTTAAATAATTGTAGCACAAATGTTCTTTATGTGAACAATGTTAACTAAACACGTAACATGCATTCATATAGATCTATAATATATAATATCTCTTTTGTAAAAAAGCAAAAGCTTAAACACAAGTTTGCATTACAAAGCGTGTGACACGGTTTTGGCCTCTTCACTTTCTTGTTGCTGCAGAGATCTTCTTTTTATTTTTGTTTCCATCCATAATTTTCGTACGCAACAATATATTTATTTCATCCCATAACATAGTATATTAGTATTAAAATTAATAGGATTCTTGCCTTTAGTAAGTCGGTAAACGTCATCGGCTTTATTTTATTCTTTCAGGTAAAAATAGAGACTTCCACTACATTCGTCTCCCACCTTGTTCTGCCAATTTCAAGTTTATATGTTTAAAACAAAAAAATTATCTCTTTTTTATTAGAAATTTCATTGAATGGAATCATCGTATAACAGAAGTCACGATTCTGCATGTATATGGGACTGGTAACAATTCATATATGGCACGATCATTTCATTTCTCAGCCATAAGATATATTTATAATTTAATCATAGCTATGGATATAAATTTCTATTTAACAATATATTATAAAACGAAGCGAAGGGCGTCAATAATCTTCATACTTGGTATAATTTCAGCATGCCCTTTAAGAAATGAGTAGGCGTATAATCTTGTCTTAAGGAAATTCTAAGAAATATATTTTAGATATATATAAAACTCATACTAATAAGAAAATTAAAGTGTGGGGAAAAAGAGAGAGAAGCACTCAACTCAAACACTTTATATTTTTTTTAGGGGTAAAAATCACAAACTTTGCTTTTGATTTTGTAGCTAAGGAAGTCTCTCTCTCTCTCCATTTGATAGGAAGAAGAAGAAAGATAAAAAGATAAAAGAAAGAGAGAAAAGAGAAATAATTAAAATGCAATGTTATACAAATGAAGAAGCATTAGCAAGTCTCTTCATCAATGTCTCAACCTCTTTCTTTCTTCTTCTCCTCCTCCTCTACTCCGCCGTCTCTCTCTTCCTCAAGCTCCTACATTTCATCGGCGGCTATCCTCTCCTCCAAAGGTACATATATGCTTACTTTACTATGCATACACATAAATACATGATATTAAAGAAAATTTTAATTATGTATTTAGCATATAGTTAAAACAAAATCCAAAACTATTACTGAATCTTATAGTTTTGGAAACCGAACAGAGAAAAACGTTAAGAAATTCTGTTCTCAGTTAGGAAAAACTTAATAGTTTTGTTATTGTGTAGGAATGAAGATGAATATGATTCCGCAGCGTGGGATTCCGATGAAGAAGAAGAAGAGGAAGAAGAAGAACAAAAAGAAGAAGGGAGAGAATTCAAGATGTCTTGCAATACAAGTTACCTTGTTATGTCTAGAGATCAAAAGCCAGATCATTTGATAGCCGACATAGAAGAGGATGGAGAATCTTTAGTGTTCTACAATAATCATTCCAAAAGTGAGCCAAATAAGATGAAGGATTTTATGAATGTTCATCAAACTCATGAACACGAAGAAGAAGATGATCAAGAATCCAACAGTTCTTCCACAGAGGAACACTTTTCTTCTGCCAACGTTTCTCCTTATCGCAGCGAATCATCACTAGAAGATGAAGACGAAGACGAAGGGGTTGAAGATCTTCATGACGATAGTTATGATCATGATGATGATGATGATGATGATGATGATGATGAGATGGGAGGAGTGTCACGGTACGACGTCGTTGAAGATTTGATTCGTAAGCGACCAAATAGAAGTAGTCGTGGTCCCTCTCCTCTCCAAAGTGGTTTGGTGTTCAATGACAAAAGCTACAATGGTATTATTTTCTTCTCCAATATCTTTAGCATGATTTAATTATTTAATTTTCTTCACATGCAAGTAGAAAGTTGTTTCCTTTCTTTCTACAAGTAACCAATATTAACACGGGTTCTTGAATTAATTTTGAAATAAAAGTCGGAAAAGAAGTCTTATATCCGAATTTAATTATTAGGTACTAGTATATTCACGTGACACATTTGATGAAACATCCGTTATAATTAAAAAAGTATAATATCCACTATATATTTTGGCTATAATGTTAAGTTTAATGATCTTCTGACTGAAATATTTGATAATGAACCGTGAAATTACGATATCAGCAAGCAACGCCCAACGGTCTCTCTACCCGGTTGAGCTAACCGTGCTTTGATTTGTATGTAATGTTGGTTGCAGGAGAGTTTGTCTCTAATGGAGGATTCAAGAATGTATACGTGGAGATACAACCATCATCGGGGCTTTCCATGAGAGAGATCAAAGCAGAGGAGTTAGATGAAGAAGAGAGAGGGGAGATATTCGGAGAGTCATGCACGAATGGGTCAACGTCAAAAAGCTCATCGGAGTGGAGGAATTCTGTGAAGACCGATGATCCATTCTCCTCCTCCTCTCGCCGGAGTTGCCCAAAATGGGAATCTTACACCGTCTTTCAAAAATACGACGAGGAAATGACATTTCTCACTAGGATATCTGCTCAAAAGCTTCAGGAAACAGGTGAAACATAAGTTATAAATGATAGCACACACATAAAAGATATATATTTCTAAACACGATAGATCAAGCTTGAAGACATCTTTATCTAATCATTCATTTATACAGAATCGTTGAAGTCAATCATGGTGGAGCCAAGATCGATCTCGGAGAGGATCGTTCACAAGCTGACATCAAACGGACACAAGAGAAAACAACAACATCCAGGCAGCAATGGTTCAAGACTCAACCCTTACGTGGAACTAGAATCAGCTTACGTGGCACAAATATGTCTAACATGGGAAGCTCTAAGTTGGAACTACAAAAACTTCGAGAGGAAAAGATCATCCACGCAACGAATTAGCCACAACGACATCGGATGTCCCGCCGTAATCGCCGACCAATTCCGTACGTTTCATATTCTGTTACAAAGATACGTGGAGAACGAGCCTTATGAACATGGAAGGAGACCAGAGATTTACGCTCGAATGCGAACACTTGCTCCCAAATTGCTTCTTGTTCCTGAATATCAAGGTAAGTAATAATGAAAGGGTATGTTTGTAGATACGAATGTTACTCGAAGGTAGTAGGTTCGGCAATGTTTTGATTATCTGGATATAGATTACGAGGAGGAGGAAGAGAAAGAAGAGGAAGAGGAGGGTTTCAAGTCAAGGATAACGTCAGCTTCGTTCTTGATGATAATGGAGGAATGCATAAGAACATTCATGAACTTTCTCAAAGCGGATAAAGAGAAGCCTTGTCAAAAGATCATCAAAGCCTTTTTTGGGAGAACTAAACGAGGCTCCGTTGATCCAACCCTTGTCCATCTAATGAAGAAAGTCAACACAAAGGTCAATATATATACATTTCAACTTGCATTTTCACTACAACTTTAAGGCCTATCATATCTTAAAAAAATTAAGATAACCAATTAATGATTTTTATATCTTTATATATAATCATGATAAAATATCAAATATAGTTTTAAAAGTTAACATTTATGTTTTTATAACTTTTAAAAGTAGAGTAAATGAGGATTTTTCTGAATTTAATCATTATTACATAGAATATGTTGTATACCTTTGTGTAAATTAGTATAATATCAATAACTTGATGCTAATTCTATTTTGGATATGCTATATAAATGTATTCGTGAACAGAAAAAGGCGAAGCTGAAAGAGATGCGTAAAGGAGGAAAATACATGAGGAAGAAAAAGATGAGTATAGAGGAAGAAATGGAGATATTAATGGGTTTAATAGATTTGAAAGTGGTGTCAAGAGTGTTGAGGATGAATGAAATGAATGAAGAGAAGTTACATTGGTGTGAAGAGAAGATGAGCAAAGTTAAGATCATTCAAGATGGAAAGGCACTTCAAAGAGATTCCACTCCACTTTTCTTTCCTCCACATTGACATTGACCCCACTATTTTTAATCAAATCTCAGAATATACCCTTTATTCTTTCCCCCACCTACATGCACATCCTTTTTTTCTTTCTTTTACACGTCAAATTGTAGGTGATCTATTAGACAAAACTACGAATAAATTAAGAACACCATACACTTTTTTTTACATATCGAATAAATAGATAGGGATATACTGTAGATTGCTTTAGTTCTTTTTACTTTCTCTTTGCTTTTCCTTTTTTCCTTTTCCTTTTCTTGCTCTATATATGACTATATCTTTTTACTTTTTAAAATAATGAAATTTCATGCTTTATTAGGTTAGGTGATGACTCATACACTCAAGGAATCAAATAACTTTTTCCATAGATACTCTGTAATCTGGACTATTCAGGAATTTTAAAGTTGTAGATGGTAATATATAACAAAATAATAGAATTTTAAGATATATAAAATTGAATAGCTGAACACCGTTAAAAGAACAACGAGAGGAACAGTTTGTTTCATTAAAGTTTTGCATCAGCAAAATAGCTGAATATAAAATTTAGCGAATTATGTGATATAGTCAAAATCGCTGTATGTATTGTTCTGCAATCCCATGCATGTACCCTAGAAGTTATACCAAAAAAAAAACCCTAAAAGATATTGATCCGTTATTTTTCATTTGTTAAAAACTACAAACCCATTCGTAAAATTATAAGATTCATGTATATACAAGTTTGTACATAAATCACATAAATTATTGGAAAATTTTGTAGTTCCAGTCGAGTATAGTATATTAGAGGAGACTGAAGAAAAAAGGTCAAAATAAAAATATTAAGAGAACGCACGTAAATTTTTCCAAACAAAAAAAGAGATATATGCAGTGTTGTTGTTACGTGTAAAGGAAGGTATGGCGGCAAAAGCGTAATTTACGCCCACCGTTTAGAAGACTTTGCCAAACTAGAAGCGTTACCTGTCTTCTTAATGCCTGGAATACATATATCAGTTAGACGACTTAAATTTGTAATTAATCGGATAATTAAACCTAATGTCCAGATCGTAATCTAAAGCATATGTAAAGCGTTTGTGTAGGTACTCAGTTTTGCTTACTTGATGACGACAAGCCGGACGTGACCTTAGCAACGGTCGATGTTGTCCTCGTAGCTACTTTCCGAAGTTTATCAAGTGGTCGTGTTACAGTCGTAGATCTTGAAGTCATCGACTTAGCTCTGCAATTGATTGCAAACGTTTTTTTGTTTAATAAGAAAAACACAAAGTTCTCATTCCACAAAGAACACAGTTTAGTTTTTACCTGTCTGAAATTTTGGGTGGTTTTTTAGCAGCATCAATGGATACTTGAGTTCCGAAAGAGGAAGCATCAGACGTAGCCTCGCTCAATCTCTCCTCGTACTCTGCTTCGACGGAGGACGATAAACTCTCGCCGTCAGTAACAGAGTGTCTTGATTGTGATGAATATCCTCCGGTTTCTGAGTTTATGTCATCGGTTTGTCCTAAGCTCTTTCTCCTCATCATTGTTTTGTGAGGTCTCTGAGGTCGATGCATGTCCTTTACCGAATTAAGCCTCTCTATCTCTTCATCCTTTCTTGCTATCGTGTCCTTAAGGGACGTTAACTGCAAATTGCGTAAATCAACATATGTTTCATGTAAGATCACAAAGAGACAAGAGACCGAGTTTGAAAGTACTGTGTTTACTTTTACTTTACCTGTTCCATTAAGTCTCGAACTTCTCTACCTTCTTTACTGCTCTTTGCAGCACCAAGTTCGACTCCAGAGACACGCTCTGCGAATTTCAAGGTACTCATTGACTCTGAATATGAAGTAGCGTCAGGATTGAGTTGTACAAACATTAGCGTCTTTGCTCGTCCTCCTATAAACATCACATAGCAACAAGTCTATGAATATTTTTTCTCCGGGTTATCACATCAATAAAATTTAACTTAATTAACTAACCAAGAGAGCTTTGGAGTATCTGTGTTAGCTTGCTGTTTCTGTATGGTATATGAGAACTCTTTGAAGCCAGAGAGAATATCACATCTCCAAGAGATGAGAGAGATTTGTTTATATGCTGTGCTTCTCTAAGCCTATCTCCTGTAACTTCAGAACGATCTACTCTCTCACTTCCTGCTAGATCCACCAAGTGAAGGTTACCGTATAGAACAGAACCGGTCTTCAAATCTTTACCACGAACGTGAACAGTGACAATGCTGCATAAGAAGTCATACAAACTCGGTGTAACATAACCTGTTAAAAAAACAGCACATGTCTTTTGTTCCATGTGAAGAAGAACCTGTGAGAGCGACTACTTCTTTCATTCAAGGCAGTAGCACCAACGGCTCGATTCTGTAGTCCAATTTCCATCAATGTAATCACATCTGAAGTTGATGTCACAGGATACATGCTTGCATCAGGCACAGCCAGACCATTTTGTGAAGTTGTAGAAAGGATCCCTAGTGTGTGCAGGTCAAGGATAACAAAAAAAAAAAGAATGGCTACAAAATAGCAATGAAAAAAGAGAAGAGAGAAAACAAGAATTTAGATAATGATAAGGATATTTCTTTTGAGAGTTGTCCTCCGTCAGCAAATCAAGCACTTGTTCATTGTATATCTCCACCATTTGCACACCAACTTCATAATTTATGTTTCCTTTTCGAGACTGAGAGATTTTAAAGAGATCATTAAGAGCGCGGTAATTAACTCCCCAGTCCTCTTCACTTGATCCATCTGGACCACTCTGAAAAAAAACAGGAATTAATGAAACTCAAAAGATGATCTTGCTTGGGCCATTGAATAAGAAGACGTTTCTTGAAGGCATACCATTGTATATGTTTTCCCTGATCCTGTCTGACCATATGCAAATATACAAACATTGTACCCATCAAGCACTGACCGAACCAAAGGTTTTATGTCAGAGAAGACCTCAGCTGCATGCAAGAATCCAAAACATCAAATGAACTTGGATTAATATACTTTGATGTTTCGTAATGTACCATACAGAACGTAGATGATAATGAAAGAAATGTTTAAGCAAGGACAGAAACAGAGCTGGTAAGAGATGAACACCTTGAGTAGCATTTGGATTATAAACTTTATTGAACCTAAACTGGCGAAGACCGTCTTTCCCTGGTTTAGTGGGATTGGTAACTACTAATTCTCCATCTTCACCAACGTATTCGACCACTGTGTTTGGTGCACCCTGTCCGGGAAGGAAAGGTCTCACACGACAAAACACTCTGATGTTTCCTGCAAGTCACATGTATAGAACTTATATAGACTGCATAACATTTGAAAAGTTACATATCCGAACAAATAGTTAACGTGATCCTCAGTGTACCTTTTAGCTCCTGAAGCTCGTTGAAAAGCTTTCGGTTTTCAGTTAGTACAGCGTGATAGTTTTCGGCAGCATTGCTAAGTTCAATCAGTTTCTTCCCTGAAGAGAAAGAATATTGATTTATAAACACTACAGAAGTTAAAAGGTCATGATAAATCCTTCATGAAGATTCACTCACCTAATTGGCTAAACTGTTCTGTATAGTTCTCTTGAACCTTCAATATTTCTTGCTTGATGGATCTTGAATAGAACCTCAACTCCTGGGTTTCAGCTTAATTAGCCAACTATCGAAAATACAATGGGTTAAACAGTTTATATAAACATATACCTGTAGTGCCTGAGACTGGTGATCAATAAAGCTTCTGTAGGAAACTTCTTTCTGACTCCAACTTTTTAGTTTGGACTCAGATTTTTCCTCCATTTCTTTGACCTTATTCTTCCAGCTGACAAGGTTTTGTTCAAGCTCTTGAATTTTTCCTTCAAGGCTTGTGTTAGCAGTTTTTGTTTCTTTCTCCATCTGTTGAAGCTCTTTCATCTTCTCCTCAAGAGCTTCTTTAGCAGTATGTGCTTCTTTCCCCATTTTCTCGAGCTCGTTGACCTTTTCCTCAAGTGAAGTCTTTGCAGAGTTTGCCTCTTTGCGCTCTTGTTCAAGTTCCTTCAGCCTGCTCTCAAGTCCTGTCGTAGCGACCATTGTTTGGCTTTCCATCTGTGAGCATTGCTGTTCATATGCTTTTTTAGTCTTCTCCAGTTCTTGCCTTAACGCAGAAACTTCGATGTTGAACTGATCGTTTTCTTTCGATAGCTTGGCCATATCCTCCTCCTCGTTTTTCCACTGGTCTTCCCACTTTGCCTTCTCTGCCTATAATCCATGTTAAGGTAAAATTTCCATGTCAGGCCAATGAAACAGAGCCATTTTTGTTTTACTGAAGTCAGTTCATAAAGCAATGTAGTACCGACCATAGTTTGGCTTTCCATTTGCGAGCATTGCTGTTCATATTCTCTTTTAGTTGTCTCCAGTGCTTGCCTCAAGGCAGAGATTTCGATGTTGTATTGATCATTTTCTTTCAATAGCTTAAGCATATCCCCTTCTTCGTTCTTCTTCTTTTCTTCCCAGTGTGACTTTTCTGTCTATATCATACAGAAATAAACCCCCAAGTCCAAAGTTAGTTTCATGTCACGCCTAATAGTTCTCACTAAGCAACTCCAAGTATCATGTAGTTGTTACCTTAATCTGTCGAAGCTGTTGTGTAGCAATCTGGATAAGTTAAGTTCATCAGCAGAAACAGAGGATGTAACACATTAGCAAGTTTGATGTGACAAGATCCTAACAAAATGATTACCTCGTTTTCTTCACCACTTCCTGATGCTAAGGCTTCAAGGACTTTGATCCTTGACTGGTACTTTTCCTCACGAGTTTTGAATATATTGTTTTGCTGCACAGAAACAAATTAAAAAAAGAGATTAACTCGCATAACTAGAAACATCTGCTATCAAAACACTTTCTTCAAGCAAACAAAACCATACCGTTCTTAGATGCTCAGCTTGAGTTGATATGCGTCTCTCAATCTCTTGTACTACTTTTCTCAACAGGCATGCAACTCGCTGTTACCATGATTAGCTTTTGTCATAATATATTTCCATGAAGCAATAAATAAAGTTATGAGCTGAATTGTTAGCATTTTAAAAAATACCTGAGGGATTTCACCATTCTTTCTTTCAATGCTTTCATCAAGAATCCCATTCACAACGCTTAAAAGTGACTGCGTAGGAGCATTCTGCATCAACAACAACAACAAAAAAGCCAAGAACATTGTAAAGAGGTTTCAAAAAAGAATAGACCAAAGCTAAGAAAATGCGGATGAGGTCGAGGGAAGTACATCTAAGCTACTTGATTTCATCATTTCAGAAATCTTGGAGGCTTGAAGATCATAACGCCCCTGCTTCATTTGGAAAACCTCATGAAACTTGTGTCCTCCATGGTGCATTGATCCAGGGGATAATGGATCTGCCGTGAACAGGACACCATTAAAGAACCACTAAACAACAAGGTTATACATCACACATACACATACACACTAGTACAGAGATTACACATGTGGATATGCATTCAGACAAGACAGAAATAAAGTACCCAATGCACCGGAAGTGGCGAGGGCTTGCTGAAATTTGGACTCTGCTTGAGTTTTGTGCCTTTCATCTCCAGATTTTGGAGAAAACGGGGAGAAAGGACTACGAGGAGTTTTGGAATCTGCAAGGTTTCTATGCCTTTCGTCTCCAGATAATGGAGAAAATGGTGAAAACGGACTACGAGGAGTTGAATCTCCATAAGGGCTGCCCGATTGTTCACGCATAGGATTCATTTATGCGTCGATCTCCTAAGCGCAAACTTATGGAAACACTTGTTAAACCCAAAACTGCTTCATCCTTTAGCAACAGCTCCTGAGACAACAACAACAACAACAACAACAAAAAAAAGACTTGAGCATTAGACCTAATCCATAAATATGAAAAACACTAGCTAGAAGAAACCCTACTAGTCTAGCTTCTTTCCTTTTTCCACAAGCAAAGATGGGTGTTTATCATTATGGTCAACGTTTATCTTTGACATTAGCATTGTAATTAGAACACCAATGACCTACACATTGATTCTGCTGAATCAGCCTTTTCTCATCCTTCACATATTTATATTGATGGATTTGAGATTTTCTAACGATGATCGAGTATGCAATTCCGAAATTAAGTCCAGATAATCACAGCTCCGGTTTGTTTCATTAATCCAGCGATTAAAAAGATGGATTATCTGCTAATTCCCAGTAATAAAATTTCACCACTGTACAGCATTAATCAAAAACATCATATAAACCAAAAATTAAAGATTGACATAACAATCTCCAGGCATAGGAATTGAGGATAATTAAGAGAAAAATCAGAAATGCGAGACGATCAAATAACACTAGCAAGAATATAAGCTTTTAGAGACAAACCTACGAGGAGATGGGAAAACATAAGCGGACATTAATTGGTGTAATAAGAGAAAAAATTCAACATTGAAAGACGAAGTCAAAACGTAGTTGCTAAAGTCGTGATCAGCAAAATAGGATCATGATCATGGCAATAAAGACATGAGGAGGAAAATAAAGAAAGCGATCATTTTTTTCTCCTTATACCTAGAAAAGCCACAAGAAATTTTCTTGGGAAAACCTTGGAAGCGCGCGTGGAGGAGGTCCAACCTTGAGAGACGAAACAACAAGAGAACGGAGAAAGGAGGAGACGTGACGAGAATGTGGGTTGATTTTAGTGATTATAAAACTCGATTTTTTTAATAATTATAATTAAAAAAAAATGTTAAGATTTTGTTGTTGTTTTGGGACTTATTTGGGTTTATGTACAGAGGGAGGGAGGGCGCGAATGTAGGAAGAGGAAGTAACAAGCATCTTCGCTTCTCCGATCGTTTATAAGGGTTTATGACACGTGGCAAATCTCGGCTAAAATTGGAGGAAAAAACATTTATAACAGATGGTAACAGAAATTATAGTATTTGATTAAGAAAACGATTAACTGACTTATAAATATGATTTTGGGTACAGCGACCAACGGAAACATTTAATAATTGGACGCCACACCACGTCGCGTTGTGGCTTCTATGTTTAACTTCGGATATTACTTTAAGGAAAATACTTTATAATTCAAACCATTGATTAACAAACAAAACCATAAGAAATCAAGTGTCAAACATAACAAGAGAAGAAGCAATAAAAAAGATTCAAAAAAAAAAGAGAAGCGGTAAACAATACCTCAATGACAAAGCATGATGAATTTTTTTCATTGACATTGATGGAGTAACATCCTGTGACAAAGGAATAATTTCTCACAAACGCATCATGAATACACTCGTTCTGATGATGATCGATAAGAAAACGAGCTCTGATAGATCCTCATAAGTTTTCACTGCACAACTCTCTCAGCTCAAAGGCTGCCAGCTCAGTGGAATAGTGGGCTTCAACAAGCTATAAGAAAAAGTTATTTGCTTAGGAAAACAAGGAAAAAACATAATAAGTCTAAGATTAACATCTGTTAGCTATCAATTGATGCAAATGTATTTGATGTTTGCATTGATTATTGAAATCGATGTCAATATGTGTCAATTACAAAAAATTAATGTTACTGTTTGCATCAATTTTTATTATTGATATTAGTATTTGTAACGATTATAATAAATAATATTAAAATTAATTTAGTTTAATATTATGATTAAATTCAGATGTCAAAAATAATTTAAATTTATTATTATTTTTATAAATATTTATAATAATATTTATGAAACTTTATACATCAATAATGCATAATCCGCTGGAAGAAATAAGAGATTTCCTCGACATTCAGGAGACGGTGAAGGGATGCCTCTACAATAGCCGTAAGAACAACGTTGTCTTCATACACACGATGCTGAAGATTTCCTCTACCATCTATTTGTCTAATCATAAAAAATAACTAACATCAGCGAATTTCATAAAACCTAAAATCGGAGATTTAGAATCGAATCGAAAAACAATAAAACGAGATTCCTTACCTTAGTGAGCTTGATAAACGCATGGATCTCCAAACTCAGATTTTTCTGGAAAGATGATTTAAAATATGAATATAGAATTTTATATCAATCTTATTTAAGTGATGTAAACTAATATAAATTTGTATCAATTTTATTAAACTGAAGTTAAATAATCAATAAAAGCATTAATTATGATACATGATGTTAAATTATATATTTTGTATTATTTATTAATAAGTAATTTAAATTTTATGTCATTTTATGATATAATTTAAATGATGTAGTCAATCTTTTTTTTGTAGTAATTGCATATTGAAAAAGTTATTTCGCAAAAAGAAAAAGTGATTTTTGTGTGCAAAAACATTCTTCATGCAAAAAGGGTTTTTATTTTATCTATATATAATAACAATCTGAATAAATGCCAATTGAACCTTCGAAAAGTTGTGTTATTTCAAAATTGGTGGTTGCATCCTTTCATTATAAATGGTTGCATCTTTTCATTATAAATGGTTGCGTCTTTTCATTTATAATAGTTGCAACTTTTCATTGTATCTTTTCAAAATTATTTATATTGCACAGAACTAAAAACTAAAATTATTTAGATCTGATATTTACATTTTTACTGTAATGGTTTATGTTTTTTTTGCAAAAAAATATAAAACTCAGAATAGTTTTGAAGATGTATCTACATCAAAAAAATTAGTTAATAATTATAAAAAATGTTATGTAGCAATAAAGAAGCAAAACAATTATACAGTTTGTTTATGATATTAGCTTTCACAAAACTGATACCATCAAATCTCTCAAAGATATATAGATTAATGATCTATAAACCGAAATCAGAACTATGATTGTTGTGTCGTTTCTTACTATAATGTGTTTATTATTACAATAAGCTGTAAAATAATGAAATTTTTTTTATGTTAGCATTTTTCTATGATTGTTGTGTCATGAAATGAGTAAATATCATAGCGGACTATAACTTTTCCCATCGACTAAAGATTGTGTTGTCTTTGAACATTATATTATACATATTACACAACCTAACGAAATCTCTCAAGTATCACCAGATCAATTTTAAAATCCCTGAGGATTTTTTTTCATTAGAAGGCAGCAATATGTATATTTCTTTGAATTTTCTATTTTTATTATTGAGGGTAATTCTAAAAAGATCCTTTTTTGCAAATTTCTGTTTTTTTAGTGAGGACCTAGCTACAAATATAAAATATGAGTACTCGAAAAGAAAAGAAAAACAATACGGGACCAAAATTAGGGTTTGCTTAGAGACAAATAGGAACAAGAGAGGGAAGAGGTTTGAGCTTGGTTAGTCTTTGGATTAATCGTAAAGATTGGATATGTTGTTCAAAGATGATGAACACTTTCACAGCAACATCATTACCAAACACGTATATTCTCTCTTCCTTCCCTTTGTTTTGTTTTTATGATTTTTCAATTTTTTACTTTCCAAAAATCCTTTAACTAAAGGAATTTCTTCAAAATTAAAAGTATGTATATTTTCAAATAGTTTGGAAATAACAAAATTTCTTTCTGAATCTTCTTCGTTCTCTGAAACCATCTTGATTTTACTCTTAAAGTAGAAAATATGTTATACAAAACCAATAAATATAAATTAGAAATTTTAAACACCTTCAAAAGTTGCAACGTTCAATTACTCTCTTTTCACTAACAATCGCGTATTTAAAGTACGTGTGTCTTCTAAAATCTATTTATATTGCTTGATAACATTAAAAAAAACTATTCGTTGTACATTTCCGTAAAATAGAATCATGTTCTCTCAATGGTTTGCCATAAATAAAGAAGATAAAGTAACAAAAAATCTATCATACAATCAATTAACCAAAAAATATGTATGGGACAAAGGTCTTAAAACTTGGACAGATGCATGTGTGACAAATAATCTAATTAGAAATGATGATGAATGATATGTGGCTATGAAAGAAGCATCATTTACTGCTACACCAAATCAATTGTGTAGTTTGTTTGTGAAATTAGTATATCATAATGAAGTTACAGAACCATTAACACTATGGAATGCATTTTGGAATTATTACAATGATAAAATGGTTTCCCGAGAAAACAAAAAAAAATTTTTTTTGTCTGAATGATTATAAGACAGTCATGACTCATGTTGAAGCGAATGAAGAGAATTGGTGTCTTATACGATTTAAGGGAAGACACAGAAACAAAAGGTTTAAAAGATAGTATTTTTAAAAAAATTATGGTTGTATCTTTTTATTATAAATAGTTACATTTTTTATTATAAATAGTTGTATTTTTTCAGCACAACTAAAATTTGTATCTTTTCAAATTTATTTATATTGCTTAAAATTATATAGAAATTCATTTTTGTCTGATTCTAATTTTTATTATTTAAATTTATGATACCAATAAAAAACACTAAACAGAAAAATTTGCATCCCTCACCGCCGAAGCTGCAATTCAACCGGAAGATCATGTCTAAGAAGAAAATCAATATGGATCCACATCGAAGTAAATAGGAAACAAATCTAACATACATGAAAGCCTTTCAGGGCAAGCTGAAACCAGAAGGGAGTAGAGAAATAGCATAAACAATACATCTAAAAAAGCAAAGCTAGCTTTTTCTTTTACCGTATGGTGTCAGAATCATCTATTAAGCATACACATAACCATGAACAAGATTTTCGTTGAGCAGTCTTGTGTCACACCCAATATGTATAACTTGGTTCATGGTTGGCTTTATTTGATTGATTTTTCTTCATTGGTGCAGCAGGTGACTCAAACTGGAATTATTGGTGAGGGAAGCCAAGAAGGATTTCAAGTGTGGTACGTTTAATTTCGTATCTCCATCCCAAATGCAAATATCAATTCATTAGTAAATATCTTATATCTTACGGTATTATAGCTTTCATTTATCTTACGATATTATAAAAATTAATAAACTACCTTATAGTAACCATATCATTTTTATTTGTTTTAATGTATAATAATTCAAATAAATGCCATTTACATTTTCACAAATCGCGTCGTTTCAAAATTTGTGATTGCGTCTTTTCCTTATAAATAGTTGTGTTTTTTTTCATCTGTTGTGAGCAACGCCTTTTCATTATGAATAGTTGTGTTTTTTCATTATAAATTATTGTATTTTTTCATCACAACTGTAATTTGTATCATTTTAAAATTATTGATACTACTCAAAACCATATTAAAAATTCATTTAGATTTGATTTTTACTTTTTTACTATAATGATTTATCATAAATGTAGATTATCTAGATAGTTTTCTGAAAATAAAAATAATAACAGAAAATCTGAAATATAATCATTTTGCAAAAAAATATGTATGAAACAAAATTTTAAAAGCATAGAAAATATTTAATATTGTTATTCATCTTGAAAAAATATTTAATATTTATCTTTATTATGATGAAAAAATCTACTCACTGCATGCAACTTTAGAAAAAGTTTGAGAAAGTTTTGTTGATGTTAATGGAAGAGAAGCAAAGAGACATGGGTCATTTTATTTAGGTTAGATATATAATTATAATTTTCTTTATTAATATACAAATTATCTCTTTTATCAATATATATGTATATATATATATACCTGTAACAAATCATCTCCAACTTTCTCAATGGATCATCTATTTAATTTGTCATTGTGCTTTGAAATCTTCAACTCCGTTGTTCTTGCATAAACTAATTGCCAAGACGGTAAGTATTCTTATTATATATTTTAAAATTTGTAAAGCGTCTGAAATTATATCATTTTTATATATCGATTTCTATCCAAAAGTAATAAGTTGTAACATTTTAAAAGTTGTAGTTATATTTTTTATTATAAATGATTATGTCTTTTCATTATGAATTATTATATTTTATAAATAGTTATATTTTTATTATAACTGTAATTTTTATCTTTTCAAATTTATTTATATTGTCTAAAACTAAAGAAAAAAATCAGTTAAATCTGATGTTGTGAACGTTAATAAAAAGACACATAGAATGAGGGTGGGTTTATATCTTCTTAGACCAGCTTTTAGTCATAGACAAATATATGTTGTATTATCTAAAGTCATTTATTTAAAAAGTTTAAAAATTTATCAAGGCTAAAAAAAATAATGTTTAGAAAAAGTTTTTAATAATATTCAGTATCTTAAGCATCCCAATTGGGAACCTGCTCAAAACAGGTCCACGTAAAATCAGATGGCAATTATTTCTTTTTCAAACATTTTTTTTTAAATTTAGAGTTTTGGAACTACATCGTAGCAAATAACAGTACTTAAAAGCAGTGAAAACTACAATAGAGAAAGCAGTATAAATATTCGACAACAAATCTTTATTTTTCATTTACAGAAATGTTAAGATATATATTTAGCAGGATACAAATAGGTAGATAATAATTAAAAATTATTCCAACAATTATAGGAAACAAATTAACCATTTTAAATGAATAGACATAATTCAAAAGGACGTAAATTTTTTCTTTTAAAGATTATTTAAGTCAACAGTTGCTTTATTTACTTAAAGAGCACTTATACTTATATACTTAATTAATTAGAAATAATATATTTTCACTCTTTGGTAACACTCATATTTACTAATTTTTTTTTTTTTAAATATAACTTTTTTTCCTATAGCGTTAGATTGAACGAACTGTTAAAAAGTGAGTGTGGTGAAACAATCATTATAATTGTCAAGTTATACAACAATTTAGTTTCAATTACCAATATTAAAGTTATTTACTTTTAGTGACGTTAATTTTATATCTGAAGAGAGGTCTACATATAAAAAAAAGATTTTAATAATTCTTTGATAAGTGAAGGAATTGAATTTGAAGAGGTAAACATGATTCTAATGAATGTTATACTTAGGGCTTGTGAAGTGATTGAATCTAGTGATTATTCCCATTCAAAAATCATGACACTATTATCAACATTACATATTCACTAAGATGTCACTTACGAAGATACTTGAAAGCAACAAACAATTAAAAAGCTTTTTGATTAATGAACTGTTGTACCAAAATCTTCTATTGAAAATGTAATTATCTAATCGGAAATAATAACATTTTTTATAGAAACAGAAAATGAAGGAAAACATACTAATAATATATGTGCGTGATTTGCGAAGAACATTTTGTTGATAAATAAATTCTTCTGAAACTACCTTGCAATCATATATTTGATATAGATTGTTTTCTAAATGTTTATGTTGTTATTAATTATCTTTTTAACTTATTAAATAAATATATTTAAATATAAATTTATTGATTTAACTATTTATGCATATTTTAAAAATATCAGTTATATAAAATAATTATTAAAAAATGAGCTTCCGTGCAAAAACGCGGATTATTTACCTAGTCTTTATAAGATAAAAGTTTGCTCTTTTAAATTTTGTTTTTTTCTCGATTACATCACAAAATGAATCTTTCTTCTACTTCTTCTTACAACAAAACAAAAGACCAAACAGATTATGCTTTTTGATGATTTGAAAAATTGAGAGATTTTTTAAATTTATAAAGAGTTTGTTAGATTTAAAGAATTTCAGCATGAACTTCAACATCAAGCTCAACACAAGCTTTAGCATCAAGCTCAACACCAGCTTCAGCATTAAGCTCAACATCAATCTTTATCCCCAACTCAATGTCTATTTCTTCATAACTCAGTTCTTGTGGAACTCAGCAGTCACCAAAAGATTTATCCAGGTTTTCAAAACAGAACCTGCATAATAGAAATCAAGCATCAACAAGCATTATTGTTACACACGCTTTTGTTGGTAAGCACCACCTAGTCAACATCTTTACCAAATATTCTGCTTTTTAAATGTAAATACCAAATTCCTATGTTTTTGGACGTGTACCTACGAGGAGCCAGGACCCATTTTGCTACAATAAGTAAGCAAACCCATTTTGCTACAATAAGTAAGCAACATAAGAGACGTTAGGTAAAAAGTTTATCAGTTAGGCTCTTGTTATGTGTGATCTTATGCGAATACATCAATCAAAGACCATACGGTATTGTGGAAAAGAGTCGTAAGCAATTTCTCAAGTGTGACGCAGATAGTCCGTTCACATCTATTTAAATCATTCTCTGTCTTCTCTTTGGCTTCACCACCATTCCCGCAATAAAGAAAGAACACCGCACATTATGACAGTCAACGAGGAAAAGAACGTTCCGACAAAAACTCATGTCTTGATCTTCCCATTTCCAGCGCAAGGCCACATGATCCCCCTCTTTGATTTCACCCACCGCCTAGCTTTACGCGGCGGCTCCGCCTTAACTATCACCGTCTTAGTCACTCCTAAGAACCTTCCCTTTCTCTCTCCTCTTCTCTCCGCCGGAGTTAACATCGAAGCTCTCATCCTCCCTTTTCCCTCTCACCCTTCAATCCCCTCCGGCGTCGAAAACGTCCAAGACTTGCCTCCTTCAGGCTTCCCTACCATGATCCACGCGCTTGGTAACCTCCACGCGCCGCTTCTCTCTTGGATCACTTCTCACCCTTCTCCTCCTGTAGCCATCGTCTCGGATTTCTTCCTTGGCTGGACCCAACATCTCGGAATCCCTCGCTTCGAATTTTCCCCTTCTGCTGCTATCTCTTGCTGCATCCTCAATACTCTCTGGATCGAGATGCCCACCAAGAAAAACGACGATGACGAGATCCTCGAGTTTCCGAATATCCCCAATTGTCCGAAATACCCTTGGTCTCACATCTCCTCAATCTACCGGAGTTACGTTCACGGAGATCCAGCTTGGAAATTCATAAGAGACGCCTTCAGAGACAACGCGGCAAGTTGGGGACTCGTCGTGAACTCATTCTCAGCCATGGAAAGTGTTTATCTCGAGCATCTTAAGCTAGAGATGGGCCATAGCCGTGTATGGGCTGTTGGCCCACTTCTTCCAGTCTCCGAGGGTAACCGTGGTGGCTTGACCTCAGTTTCTGTCGACCACTTGATGTCGTGGCTAGACGCACGTGCGGATGACCAAGTGGTGTACGTGTGCTTCGGAAGTCAAGTTGTGTTGACCAAGGACCAGACCCTTGCCCTCGCCTCTGCGCTTGAGAAAAGCGGCGTCCATTTCGTGTGGGCCGTCAAGGAAGACTCGACACGTGGCAACATCCTAGATGGCTTCGACGATCGTGTGGCTGGGAGGGGTCTGATAATCAGAGGATGGGCTCCACAAGTGGCCGTGCTCCGGCACCGAGCCGTGGGAGCGTTTCTAACGCACTGCGGTTGGAACTCCGTGGTGGAGGCGGTGGTTGCCGGCGTTCTGATGCTGACGTGGCCGATGCGGGCAGACCAGTACATAGACGCGACTCTGTTGGTCGACGAATTGAGAGTGGGCGTTCGTGCCTGTGAGGGACCTGACACGGTGCCTGACCCGGAGGAGTTATCCCGAATTTTCGCTCATTCGGTCACCGGAAATCAAATGGAGAGGATCCGAGCCGTGGAGCTGAGGAAAGAAGCGTTGGGGGCGATCCAAGAACGTGGGAGCTCGGTTAAGGATTTAGATGGATTTATCGAGCATGTCGTTAGTTTAAGACCAAACAAATGATTCAGTCAAATAAAATTCAAGTTATGGTAAATTTTTTACTCGAATATGCTCCCCGATAATGTAAAATCTCCATGACTGTATCTTTCTAATAAATTGTTGTAACTTGTAAGATGATAAATTAGAGTTTCTGATATGCTCTTATGCAGTAAGATTTTGCTCTATCTGGAATGTTTTGGCGTGGACATATAATTTCGATTCGTGTGTTATGTAATTTAAAAAGCTTAAAATGGCAAAGAAGCGGGTCAAGATGGATCGGGTTGGGTCGTGTCGGGTCAAGTTTTATAAGACCCGAAAACTAATCCGAACGTTTTGTTTTCTTATCTCTTATTCGACAAATCATATTCGCTTCCATCTCCCTCACACATCCACAGAAGTAAAGAAATGGCTCTCACCGTGAGCAGCGGTGGCGGAGGAGCGAGGATCCACTGCATCGACCTCACTGAGTCTTCTCGTACTCCCTTCTCCACATCCAGACTCGTAAACTTCTCTCATCACTCAAGAACTCGTCATCACGTTGTCTCTGCCGCCAAAAAAGCCTCCTCTCAAACCGGCCGGTTCGACAGCAGGAAGCGTCGAACCCTCGTGCCGACGACCACCAAGGAACAACCCGAAGAGCAGAACGGTGCATTTGACGGCGAGAATCCGCCGTCCGAGATCGAAATCGCCGACGACGATGGCGGGGATAGATTTGCGGTGAACACTCGATTCAGAGGTGATCCCAAAGACGCGCCGAAGTTTTTGATTAAGGATCTTCCTGGGCTTGAACCTGATCCTTTTGAAGGTCCTCAGTGGGATGGTCTAGGGTTCTTCGTTCAGTACTTGTGGGCTTTCGGAATCCTTTTCGCGGTAATTCGAAATCGATCAAATTCTCCAATTTCTTCAACACAATCCCCAAATTTGAAAGCTTGATTGAGTTAAAACCAATCGATTCATTTTGTAACAGCTTGTCTCCGGCGGAATTGCGGCGGGGACGTACAACGAAGGTGCGACGGATTTCAAGGAGACGCCAGTGTATAAAGAGGCGATCCAATCCCGTGACCTTCTGGACGAGGCAGAGAGTTCGAACTCGGAAGATGTGTTCGAGTCCAACCCAACAGAAGTGGCGCCTAGTTTGGAATAGTTTCAGTTCAGTGTTTAGAAAAATGGAAAAAAAAAAGCCTGAATCTTTTGGTTTTGGGGAGTTTTCAAAATGTCTTATTCGATGTTGATCTTCTTTGAGCTTGCTGTGTTTATAATGTTTACAGAATCAAAGCGAAAACCCGATTATTAAAAACACGACTACTGTTCTTCATTGTTCTGTTTTCCGATTTCATTTCATGAACTGCAAACTTCTTTACGAAACATAACAATAAATCTTTTTCTTCCACTTTTTTCTTGGTTCGTAGAGTAAACTCAAAACAGGAGAATGCAACTAAAAGGAGGTAGTAGACTGGTAGTTTAAGTGCAGAGAGACTTAGATGAGGAGGAGTGATCCAGGTAGGATAGCTGCGAGTGCGAGGATGCTTAGCTGAATCTTAGACTTGGAGCCAGAGGATCTAAGACCATAACCTAGCCCCATAAAACTGGTGGGTCTTTGTGCCACTGGAGCCACTGGAGTTGCTGATAAAAGTAAAATGAGTTCAGTAACACTTTCGTTGTGAGATGTTACAGTTTATATGTTTTGGTTTTAGCAACTTTGGTAAAAGTGGCTTACCCGCAACGCCTGAACTGTTCTTTGCACCTAGAGAGACTTGAGAACCGGTTGAGCTAGAAGGTGGTGGAGCAACAGAGGAGGATTCACTAGGTGCCTCTCCTCCTATAAACCAAAAATCTTACTCATAAGTTTCAAGAAAACTATTGAATCTCACAAACCATTTTTTGCAAAGAAACCTACGTACCAGGGGAGGATGAGCAAGAAGATGAATTGGCTGGAATGTTGCAAAGCGGAGGCAATTGTAGAGCAAGAGTTTGATTGATTGGGAAAGCAGGGGACAAAGTCAAAGTGTTGTTGAGGAAGAGACAGAGACAAGTTGGTTGTTGGCTGTAGATTTGGTTTAAGCCGTCACAGCAAGGTTGAGCCGGGAGCTGGACAAAGCCTTGCACGAATGGACCACATGGAGCCAAGGAAAGAAGCATGGAGGCACATGTAGCTGTGGTGCCTGGGACTTGAGCGTGAACCGGTTGGAGAAAAATTGGAGACAAGGTGATTAAGAGAGTGACGACGAGAGTAGGAGAAACCATTTTTCTTGTAGATAAGTTTCTTTCTTCTTTGTTTGAGAGAATGTGGTGGTTTTTGGAGTACTTAAGGCCGGAATCAATTAGTTTGGTGTGTGTGTGACTGTGGAGAGATATTGTTATTGCACACATGATGTGTGTTAATTTGGTTGCAACACTTGATTTCTTCATGTGTTGTGTCTTGTTTGGTGTTTTCTACTTCATTCATAAATTATGCTTCTTGTTTTGAGTTGACCGTAAGAAACTGACCTGTATCGCCAGCAAGCTACTACTGTCTACTACTGGCAGTAACAAAATCAATCACAATCATAAATAGTTTATAAATTTTCAGTTCTGCAAATCCTAACAACAAAGTCGTTGTAGTATAGTGGTAAGTATTCCCGCCTGTCACGCGGGTGACCCGGGTTCGATCCCCGGCAACGGCGCTTATTTTTTATTTTACTTATGTTCACTTTCTTTAGTTTTATTTTAGTCCCTCAAATTTCAGGTTTTTCGGTTTAGTCCCTCTCTCCCTTATAAAACTTCACAAGCTGAAATAAGTAAATCCCGACAAATCGAACTCACTGTAAAAGTTACTTCCGGTCCGTTCTTAAAACCCTCCGACGAATCTCCGGTAGAGAACCTCTCCGCCTCTCGCATTCTCGACAGCCATGTACGGCGGAGGTGAGTTTCTTTTTATCGCTTCCTAAAATCTCTTTTTTGATTGTAAAATTCAGCATTACTTATTTCCCTTCTCGCGTGAGTTCATCATCTCTTCAAGGTCTGATTTTTTTGTCGTTGGGTTTTGTGTTTGGACAGATGAAGTGTCAGCTATCGTAGTTGACATGGGTTCTCACACTTGCAAAGCTGGTTACGCCGGAGAAGATGCCCCCAAAGCCGTTTTCCCCTCCGTAAGCCTTAATTCTCACTCTTCACTTCCTCTCTTTGCAAATGGTTTTGCTTTGAAGTTAGGCCCTTTCGGTGTATAACAATTCGCGAAATTTAGGCTTTTTTGTGTGTGTGGTTGATGTGTGTCATAAGGTTGTTGGGGCAATAGATGGAATGGATATTGATGATGATGCAAATACGAATTCGAACACAGAGGACGCAAAGACCAATGCCGTGGAGTCTGATAAAGAAAAGGGCAAAAGGAAACTTTTTGTAGGATCTCAAGCCTTGAATTTTCGCCGGGATCAAATGGAGGTCAGTCGTTTTGTTGTCTTGGACTAAATGTTTAAACCTCGAACTGGTTATAAAGTTTCAGTTTTTTCTCCCAAGTATTGACATTTCTGTGTCGCCAGATACTTTCACCCATAAAAGATGGCATTGTAGCTGATTGGGATATGGTGGACAATGTATGGGAACATGCCTTTAGGTAATTTGTGTAACCGTTAGTTTTTTGTCTTACTTGTTTTAACTTTTACTTTTTTTTTTTACCATGATTTCATCTATGAAGATTTTATTTTTTTCAAGGAATTGTTTAATGATTGATCCCAAGGAGCACCCGATGCTGCTTGCAGAGCCCCCTTTGAACACTCAGCAGCAGAGAGAAAAGTCTGGTTTATCTTCTTATGTATATTTTTGTTTATCGATACTGATTTAATCTTGGAGTTTGTAGCTGATTTCCTCCTATGTATGTTGTTCATGACAGGGCTGCTGAGCTAATGTTTGAAAAATACAAAGTGCCAGCATTATTCATGGCCAAGAATCCTGTAATTGTTTCCCTCTACCTTGTTCCTTCGCTTTTCCTTTTGTCAGGGATTCTAATAATTACAATTCCTGTCCCTGTTGACCTCATGTCTGCTCTTTCTCTGCATGCTAGGTTCTCACATCGTTTGCTTCTGGCCGTGCTACTTCTTTGGTTGTTGACTGGTAAGACATGTGGACATTCGACTTTTTGAAAAGTTCACATTTCCACCCACTTCATGTTTTAGATTCTCTATATCGTCTTATGCAATTGGAAGCAGTGATTGTAGTTACCTTCTTGTTAAAGAGAGTATTCTCAACTCTTTTATCATCTCTGTTTTCTCTAGTTTTACATGCAAAATGCATCATGTGGAAAAAATAATTAGAATAGAGGCTGTTGTGCCTGCCTTCTTAACTTTATATACAGATTCCTGAAATGTTCCTTATTCTCGGTTTATGTCGTTCATCTGGAAAATCACTAATCGTATACAAACTTTATTCCTTTTCAGTGGTGGAGGATCCACGACTATAGCACCGGTGCATGATGGTTATGTTCTTCAAAAGGTAAAACTATTACCGATTTGATATGAGCTAAGTCTGTGTGTATACTGGTTTTTATTGTTTGTTTTATTTTCCTGCTGGACAATGGCCCATCTTTTGTTTCCAGACTATCTTAGCTCTTTAAACAATAATCTGCATGAAAAAAAACAGTACATTTCTTGGAGTGCTCTTTTTTGTATAGAGTCGATCTAGACATTGCATATTTACTTTCTGAATGTTGTTAGGTATTTTCTCTGCTTAGTTCAAAAAGGAATATAATGATAGGATATAGAACAGGAGCATTTTACTTGTCCCCATTGGCCATTCATATAAATTCTCATCCGTGTGGATGCTAGCAAGTTCCATCTTTAAGAGTACCCATGTCTTATTTTCTTGACAAAAAAAAAATGTTCACAGGCTGTCGTGTCATCTCCAATTGGAGGAGATTTTCTCACTGATTGCTTACTGAAAAGCTTGGAGAGCAAAGGGATTAAAGTAAGTTAAAACTATTGATACACCATTATGGACTCTGGAGCCAATTCATCTGATCTTTACTGGTTCCTTATTTTGTAGATAAAACCAAGATACTCTTTCAAGAGAAAGGAAATACGACCGGGAGAGTTTCAGGTAATTCTGTGCTTTTTGAGTTGCAGATACGTTTAAAACTGTAGCTTTCTATTTATCATCTGAAAGAGAAAGACAGATAGTTTTGAAAATAGATTTGCATGCACCGTTATGTGTTTTTTTCTACTGGAATTGAGTCAGAGCAATGATAATGTTAATCTCATTTCGCCCCTTTGAGTCCTTGCAGGTTACAGATGTAGATGCTCCTGATACCACAGAAAGCTACAAACTCTTCTGTCAGGTCTATAATTAATATTGGTGCCTCGTTTTAAAATTCTCTATTGTTTTCTGACTTTGGTGGTTTATTTTGTTCATCAGAGGATGATAGTAAGTGATGTGAAGGACTCTATTTGTCGAGTTCCAGACACTCCCTATGATGGTATATTTTTTTCGCTGTCTTTCACTGGTCTAATTTATTGGCTCTTCTTCACGGTTTATAGTTTTAGAGATCTCATTTTTTCTTGCTTATTGGTTTTATAGTAAAATATTAGTTTTGCTCATCTTATATGTAAGCAAAATCATTTTCGTGTGCTAAGAAGACACAGGGACAAAGATTTTTTGAAAGAATAGCAGACAGTAACTTGCTTAGTATACCTGACATTGTGCATTTTGTTTCTACAGAAAAATCATATTCAAACATTCCGATGACGTCTTATGAGCTTCCTGATGGCCAGTAAGCCCCCGTTTCTCTATTTGCCTCTAATATAAATGCTATTGCATAAGGATGATTAAAGACAACTGCTGTTTTTTTACACATTCCTTTCCCACAAGAAGTATTAATACTGTCTTTAGACTATCCCAGTGTCTTATAAACTTGTGGCTTGCAATGCAGGACGCTCGAAATTGGTTCTGATAGATTCAAAGTTCCTGATGTGATGTTCAACCCTTCCATAGTTCAGGTATCTGTACAACTTGTGCTTAATCCTGTAAATTAATATGTACTCATTCTCATGTTACTCTTTAACACTAAGTTGCCTCTATTTTTTTGCTACAAAATTGCTAGACAATTCCTGGGATGGAGAATTACACAGACATGCTTCCTTCAGTTCGAGGGTTATCAAACATGGTACGAGTAATTTCTCTACTTGTGCAATCCCACTCGTCCCTTTAATTAACAAAAATAATCAAATTCCCATTTCTACAGGTCATAGAGAGCATCAGCAAATGTGACGTGGATATTCGCAGAGAGTTGTACAGTAGCATACTGGTAAAAAGAAAACCAATTCAACTTATTTGATTCCCTTGGTTGATTTTATTTGATTCCATTTCTAGTCTCACGTAATTGTAGCTTGCGGGTGGAACATCATCAATGCAACAGTTGAAAGAACGCCTCGAGAAGGACTTGGTAGAAGTATAGCTCTGTCTCTTTATCTTTTCTTCTTTCCCTCCTGCAGGAGATGTCATCTTGTTCATGAGATGGCTAAAATAATCCGTTTGCCATTTTATCTTGCCTTTTCTAATAGGAATCTCCTCAATCAGCTCGAGTTAAAGTGTTGGCGAGCGGTAACACAACAGAGAGGAGATTCAGGTTTGGACACAAAGTTACTTCTTCCTCTCTAAGACTCAGAGTTTAGATTTAACCCGAAGTTTGCGAAATGTGCAGTGTATGGATAGGAGGGAGTATATTGGCGTCGCTAGGTTCGTTCCAGCAGATGTGGTTCTCAAAGTCTGAGTAAGTAAAGAACCTATTGGACTGTTGTGTGGATTTCGACTTACAATGTATGACAGTTTTCTCTTTGAACTCGGGTTTTGAGCTTTTGTTGTACATGTCAGGTATGAAGAGCATGGAGCTTCTTACATCCAGAGGAAATGTCCTTAAAGCTGCTTGACATCAAAACAAAGAGATGAACTTAAGAATTACTCTGTGTTCTTTCTACTTCAATGTATTATTTGTATTTTGTAGACATTAAGAGGGTTTAGGGCTTATTTAATTATTTGTATTTAGTCATGTCTTTGCATATACGCATGCTGACAAAGACATATGTCACATATCTATATATTTTCGGCAAAGGAAAAAAACAACTTTCTCCAAAATATTCACATGGTTTGGTTTTTTTTATAACTAAAACAAGTACACACCATAACTAAAGGTAAATAAATAACCACCAATATTTTCATATAGCCAGCACCAATTTAATTTGGTTGCTATCCATTTTGTTGACAAATGTTTTTTTATTAATCGAAAATTTATTTTCTTAAAAAGCCAAAAAAAATTTATGGCTGACTGTTTCTTTTTTCTTTGTTTCTGAGGAAAGTCATTTATTTTAAAAGTACTGTATTTATTAAATTTACTCTTGTGTGTTGGGGTAAATTGACCCTATCCCTCACGAAACGTTGAGTCTACGTGTCGTAGCTTGTCACATTCGACACAATCCACTAATACGTAGACACGTGTTGCCCATATGGTCCCTTTTAAGAACCTTGCAGACCCTTCTTCCTCTGGACGGCAAGAATCGCCGACGTGCCCCTAATTTATCGGATTCTCCCAATTTATTGTTTATTTTGGATATTTGATTCTCCGAATCTCGGCTTCCATTTTCTGGGTCTCTGTGTTTTCCTTTCCTTTTTTTTTTTGGATTTCGGATCACATCTCGATCGCGATTCGATCATATATCTCGAAGCAATAAGGAATCTAGATTTCTATTCCGGAAATTTTGTCTTTTTTCAGGTGGATTGAACTTTCTCGTTGTCGTTTTCCTGGAAAATTTTCGGATAACGGCGATAAATCATCGAATCAGATTATTTCTGTAAAAAAAAAAATTGCTTTTTTTGTAATTCTCTAAATTCTGAGTTGGGAGAAAAGTGATGCAACGGATCGTAGACAACGCTCTCGCTGTCACCAAAGAGTGAGTCCTTTCTCTTATCGTCGATGAGTTGCATTCATCTGTTGTACTTGCTCGTTCGTTACTGATAATGATCATCTCTGACTTTGCTATATAGTTTCACTATCCTAAATGTTATATCTGCTATGTATAGGTTTTACTCTGTAGAAATTCATTTTGTAGAGTTTTGCTATAATCTTTCAATCTCATTTGTTATAGGATTACATATATTGACACAAGACGTTGACATGGTGTCTTCGTATTAGTGAATTGTGTTATTCTGGTTTTATCTTGGGATTGTCTTCTTGTTCGTTGTGTCTAACAAGCATAAACTAACTATGCTTTCGGTTATGTCTTGGCTTTTAGTGCAGGTCAGTGAAAACTGTGACATATGAGTCTTTGAACAACATCGCAAGATGCATCAATGGAGTATCAGCTCTTCTTTTGACTGTTCTTCCTGGAAAGGCTAATATTCTTGAAGGACTCCATGGATGGGAACTCAGGCCCACACTGCGTGGACCACGTTTACCACGATGGATGCATAAGTAAAAAAAAATTTCCTGTGAATGATTCTTCTCTTTTGTTAGCATAGGCCTTAACTATAGCAATATATGCTAATTTAACTCTGTTTTGGCAGTGGGGTCTCTTCTTTCAATCACTTCATTCATGAGCTTTCTGTGGATTCTGATACTTCAAGCTTGGAGTATTCTTCTGGAGAAGATAGTGATGGTCCGTTGCCTGCATCACCATCATCTCAAAGCTCACGCCTCTCTTGGGCCAGCGGTTCCGCAAGTTCTGAATGCCACTGGACTGAGTGGATTACATTCGTTCTTTGGTGGTTGATATTTCCTTTACGGATCTTGATATGGATACCGCAGTTTTTTCTGCGTCTATTCTTTAAACAAAGTTCAAGAACTCCTGGGAGCCCAAGAAGGAACCGACATTCGTCTAGACCTCGTATTAGCAAGACTAACTCAAGCAAAGACCATGATGTTCCCAACCGAGCTACTGATAGAAGACGCGGAGTCGTTGAGGTTTGTGGAATGCACTAACAAATATTTCAAAGCATCTCACTGCTGTTCAATCATGTTTGTGTGTTTTAAGCCTTTTTCACACAGTCTTCCTTCTTAACATGCTTTGTTCTGCAGGATCTTCATCTTGCTATCGAGATCTGCATAGAAGCAATATTTGATTTTTTTCACAAGGCTACACATCTTCTTCTTTCTCCATCGGAAGCTTTTGCAATTATGTTATCATGGTTCTCTTCTCCCAATCGTAGCCGTAAAGAAAACCATGATGATGTTTCAGATGATGAAACTGTGCAGACTGCTACTTTAGGAGATGCTGATCCATCTCTTACAGAAAGGCCCACGCGCTTATACAACTCCATGAACACAGATACTCGAACGTGTAGAGATGTCATAACAGAGCTGGGGTAGGGGCAGCTCTACTCTTTTGTTTGTTTTTTTCTCTTTCTCAGGTATTTATTTCTCTGCTAATTTTAATAGGTATCCTTACGAAGCTATTCGTGTTGTTACATCTGATGGATATGTTCTTCTCTTGGAAAGGATACCAAGGTATAACATTTCTCGTGAGATATTATGCTCACTTGCGCGTCCTGTACATTTCCTGTTTTGTTGTCTCTTCCCTAAATATGAGATCCCTGACTGCTTTTCTTGTCTTTGCAGACGCGATGCGAGAAAAGCTGTTTATCTGCAGCATGGGATTTTGGATTCTTCAATGGGGTGAGTTTCATGGTCTATTTCTTAGATGACTTGTAAAAGTTGCAAACTTATTAAGCTGAAAGGTTGATGAAGTATTGTTTTCTATATCTACGTAGCATAAAACTCCAGGGCATCGTTAGATGTTCCTGACTCTATATACACCAGGAAAATTCTTTGCATAAATTGTTGTCATCATACTTTGCATCTGTGTTTGATAATTGATATGGTCAAGACATAAGAATGGATTTGGGAATATTTTTTTGGTAAGACTTGAGAGATATACGGCTTTCTGCTTCGTGTTTGATGTTGCTTAAAAGATAGACTTAAAGATTTCTGTTTTGACTTGGAATATCTCATAACCAACTGAAGTTTTTATCCACATGTGTGGGCTATGAAAAATTATTGATTTTCCTTTTTCTTTTTTGTGCGTTCTTCAGATGGGTATCTAATGGGATTGTTGGATCTCCGGCTTTTGCTGCATATGACCAAGGTTCAAGCTTTGGCTTATTTCCAATCTTTTATGAAGTCACATAAAAACTGCTGGGATTCTTACACTCCTTTCCTTCGCAGGCTATGATGTCTTCTTGGGAAACTTTCGTGGTTTAGTTTCAAGAGATCATGTGAACAAGAACATATCCTCAAAAGAGTGAGTTCTTGATTTCAAGTTCGCTTCGTAATTTCGTATCTTATCTACTTGCGTTAGCTAGGTTCCTTATGATAGTGGAGATTGGAGAAAAGGCTGTTTTGCCTGAGATATATGCTTGCGAGCTAATGTTAATTTGTGTGGATCAAAATGCAAGTTCGCTTAGTATCTTATCTACTTGCTCTGGCTAGGTTCATTTTGATAAGTTGTGTTAGGAGAAGAAGCTTTTTTGCTTGAGATATATGCTTGCGAGCTAGAGTTAATTTGTGTGGATCAAAATGCAGGTACTGGCGATACTCCATAAACGAGCACGGTACTGAGGATATCCCAGCGATGATAGAAAAAATCCATGAAATCAAAACTGCAGAATTGAAGCTCTGCCAACCTAATAGCGATGAGGAAATCAACGAGGAAGAGCCTTATAAGCTATGTGCCGTCTGTCATAGTCTAGGCGGTGCTGCAATTCTGATGTACGTCATCACTCGCAAAATCAAGGAGAAGCCACACCGACTCTCCCGACTGATTCTACTTTCACCAGCTGGATTTCACGAGGACTCCAACTTAGGTTTCACATTGGTCGAGTACATATTCCTTTTTGTGAGTCCGGTATTGGCTCGCATCGTGCCTGCCTTCTACATACCGACAAGATTCTTCAGGATGCTTTTGAACAAGCTAGCCCGTGACTTTCACAACTACCCTGCTCTTGGTGGACTGGTCCAGACTCTAATGAGTTACGTAGTTGGTGGAGACAGCTCGAACTGGGTTGGAGTTTTAGGGTTGCCTCACTACAACATGAACGATATGCCAGCTGTCTCTTTCCGCGTTGCACAACATCTTACTCAGATCAAACACACGGGTAAATTCAGGATGTTTGATTACGGGAGCAGATCAGCTAACATGGAGGCTTATGGCTCTCCTGAGCCGCTTGATCTAGGGGAGTCTTACAAGTTCATCGATGTGCCTGTGGATTTAGTAGCGGGAAAGAAAGACAGGGTGATACGGCCTTCCATGGTGAGGAAACACTACAAAGTGATGAGAGAGGCCGAGGTTGATGTATCGTTTAATGAGTTTGAGTATGCTCACCTTGATTTCACATTCTCTCACCGGGAAGAGCTTTTAACATACGTGATGTCGCGGCTTCTGCTTGTGGAACTGACGCCAGTTCAACAGAGGCAGACCAGTCAGAAAGGCATGAAGTTGAAGAAGAAGAAAAAGGAAGAGATACAGTAGTGTAAGTAGCTAAAAGCAAACTATGGCAACGCCTCAGTAGAGTTTGGTGTCTGTATCGCGATGTTGTGTGTTTGAGCTTCATGTATGTTCTTTTTGTTGATCTCATATGCATTCATGTACATATATATGATGTAATTGATATTGTTGTCAGAGTCTCAGAGATGCTTTTTACAGCTTATTTGAGGATGATGTTTGCGTATGTCTGTTTTTATTCGCTGTGGTTATGAGTATTTGATGTCATGAGTGTTTTCGATATTTTGATTTGGCAATAAAGAAAATCGAGCAGTGATCAGTGAATCTGGTGTTGCGTGATTCTGTGGAGAAAAAAACTAGGAAACAATTAGAGAAGATGAAGATTCTTTTTGGTTGACATAGTTAGAAAAAATGAAACAGAAGACAAGAGAAGGAAATCAAAATCCTCATGGAAGCCTAGTGAAGAAGATGATTCAATGGAGCTCTGATGGATCTTGAAGAAGTGATGCTCTTTGCGGATTTGAAAGCAGAAGCTCCTGCATGTCCCTTGGAAGTACACTGAACACCGCTTGTAAATCCTTCTTCAGTTTCTCAAACGTTGCTTCTGAATCTGCGTTTCCTCCTCCTGATTCCCGCGACTGCAAAAAAAAAATTGATTTCGAATATGTTTTACAACTTCAGGTTCTGCTGAGGGAAGTAGTCAATCTATCATCACAGACTTCTCAAAGAAACTACATATAAAGTACTATGCAGATCGATATATAGCTAAATCTGATATCGAAGTACACAACAGGTTTACAAATTTCTCGAATGCTAAACATGAGAGTTCTCCAAACCAGATAAAGCATTCAGGCCTAAATTAAACAATCTAACTCAGAAGAAACATGGCCATGCAGCAATTAAGAGTTGAAAGGGAAGATAGTCAGACTTACCTTGACTTCCTCACTAATGTATTTCTCAATGGCATTGAAGGAATCCACAGCTTCCAACTCGTTCATCTGAGACGTAACCTGCCGCATATCAGTCTTCATTCTAGCCAGCCTCCATAATCTACGCTGTTCTTGCTCTGCAACAGCACGCCGTCTTTGGAACCAGGGGATGAAATTAGGCCCTCGTAGAAACCGCCTGAAAACAAACGGATTAGCAAGAAAACCAACTATGTGATTAGAATGAGACAATAGACTGTGAAACTCAAACGACGTTGTTACTAATACATACCTATACAAATCTGGCCAGTTTGATTTCATGCGTTTAGACAAAAACTTCCCTACACCTCTCGCCGATAGATTCGAAAGGAATTCGTCAGCACCGAATGATGGGAGCGCAGGAGGGGTGACATATGGGGAAGATCCATCAGAAGGAGCGTTAACCTGGAAATATGGACCAAAAGGGGCCAAGAAATTCGTAGTTAACTCCAAGAAATGCCGTCGCAGAATCTCATTGTTCACAACTGACATTGATTCCTCAACCCTCGGCGACATCCCAGCATCGATAAGTCTATTCAATATCGAAGTGTCTGGCTTAGTTATTGCAGAGTATGTGGTCCAGACTGCTTCCTTGTGCTCCGTCATGAGACATAAAGGTCCATCTCTCCTAAGTTTTACTGCGTTTAGCAGATTTGTAGGAGAGAATCTTCTTAACGAAAGCTGCTGCACGCCTAATCCTTCAGACTTGCCAGATAATCTACCAGCCGACCTACTTGCAAAGCTTACGCGGTTCGAGTTCGGCGCAGGGGTTCCAACGGAGACAACATGAGGCATATTACGAAGAGCTTTGAGGAAAAAAAGGTTCGTGACACCCAAAACCATCGGCGGGAAAGTATCTCCTTCTCGGAGTGAGTTCAGCCGAGCAAACCCTGGATCGTGTATAGTGAAATACGGTCTAAAGTCGACGCTACAAAACAGTGGAGCAACCAAGCTCACGAGACAAGCGACCGCCTCTGAGCATTGCGGAGGTGTTGGCGCTATGATAAGGATAGGCTCGCCTATAAGCAACAGTTCCCATAGTGTCCATAGCTGCAGCAACAGTCCCCGGTAAATGCCAAAGAGATCCGCGTCATGGAAAAGACCTTGAGGTACAGACTGATTCGTAGGGAGTAAAGGAGCCATGGAAGAAGCAGATTCCTCATAATAAACCCCATTTTCCAGTGGTAGGCTATGAGCAGGAGGCAAGTTCACCTTAAGCATCGCATTACCAATAGGCAGATCCATGAGCTTACCAGGAACAGGAGCAGGCCACATTGAGACATAACCAGCGATATGTTCAATAGCCTTGTTTCCAACATCGAAATACAGAGGACCAATGATTTGCAGCAACGGTCGAAAAACACTCGAGTAAGGCGTATGCGATAATATCACCACAGACTTCTGTTCACCTCCTCTCTTCAGTCTCTCGTCATGCCTCTGCCTGTTAAATACGTAACCATACAAGTACCTATCAACGACATCTACCTCCTCGGCGTTCTTCTTCGGTCTACGAAACCGGAAAAAGAAAATGCAGTCATGTATGCTCGCGCGGTTGTGATGCTGCGAGACGGAATCAGGAAAGGAGTTGAATGAGACCTCGATTTCCTCTTCTTGCGAGAGACAGCCTGTTGGATAACACTCTTCTAGTATCTGCCCTTGCTCGAGATCAAACCTCATGATGCAGAATGCGTGAACCCATCGTTTCAAAGACTCGGGATCGGGCTTTATACTAAGCTCAGGCTTCACAGAAAACGATGGAGACCGACTCATTTCAAAGATAACCAAGAAATTCTCCTACCCATCAAACAAAATTTCCAGTTACGGGATCTTCTTCATCCCGTGTACTAATAAGATTCATCAAAAAAGCTTGAATTTTTAGCTTATGATACTGACGCCTGTTAAATGAATTCCCAGGAAATCTAGCTCTCAGATTTGGTGGGTTTGCGTCACGAAACACTTTCCCTGCTTGAAATTAAATCCCAAAGAAAGAAATTCGTAAGCTCAGAATGCTAGATCAGATCAACGCCAGCCATTATAGCAGCTCCAAGGCCATTAAATCGAATCACCACATCGAATACAAGAACAGGGACGGTTCTGATGGGCGTGCAAACTGTGGGAGAAATTAGGTGTTTCTGAGAGGAGAAGAAGCCTCACGCGTGATGATTAGAAATCAAAAGTTTGGGTTTTTCTTAAGAGAATTTAGCCATTTCGATTCGAAGGAAGGGAAGGATCATCGGAACGGAAAGCTAACTCTGAAATAAAATGATTCAGGGGGAGAGGTTGTTGTATTTTTTACTTAATTGCATAAAAGGTACTCCAAATTTTTACACTTTAATAAATCTTGAGTGCAAATTAGCAATTTGACTGGCTAACCCTGTTAGGATCATTCATGATTTGATCATTAGACGACGACGCAAGAGATTTTGTCTCCTTCTCTCATTGAGCAGAAGATCAAACACATTCTCTCTCCAAATGGGAGATGCGTAAATTCGGTAATATTGATGGTGGTAAATAGTTCTTGTGAATGTGTGTGATGCTTAATGAATTTATAATGTGAACCATCAATTAAAGGCATCATCTTGAGTTTTGGTGCATACTGCATAGTGTGATCTTTGGTTTTGCTTCTGCAAGTAAGTTGTAAATTTATTTATTCAAGGGAAAGGAGCAAAGGTCAAAACAAGTCTCTGACTTTCTGAAGCATTTCTACACCATCCAACTGTAACGTTGTCTCTAGAACAAGAAACAGATGAATAAAACACATTCATTTTCCTTGGAGACAGAAACAGATACCAAAAATAAATAAAAAAACTTGTCCACAGAGATTTGCTTTCTCAGGTCATCTGAGCGTGAAAGGCAAAAACTTGTGGCAAAACCAAGCGCGGTTTGATCAAAATCCCTATTTGCCTTTTCTCTTGAAGCCTTGTTTCTTGTTCTTGTCACCACTTCTCTTGAACCCTTGTTTCTTGTTATCAGTGGCAGCAGCAATAGGTTGATCTTGTTGAGGATCATCATCAGGTAAAATGGTGTGGAAAAACTTTTTGGAGGAACCAACTTGGTTGCAGATCAACTTGAGCATCTTCCTCCCTCTCATCCATTTCAACAATAGCTTCATATGCGTTTTGCTGTTCAATCCACTAACCCCAGCTTCCTGTTGTTACGTAACACAATCCACCAAAAACGAAACAGTTTCAGATATATCATCAGACCAATTCAATACTTTAAGAACCCTTGAGCATAATCACACAGCCAACAATAAACACTATGAATGTAAATGTAAATGCAAACGCAAACATAAACACAATCCATAAGTGAGGGCACAAGCAAATTACCAACAGTACCGAATGATCTAAAGAGCTTATAGTTCGTAGATAATCAGTAACATTTTGAGATCACGGGACTGTTGCAATTTCAGATCAATTTGATGAATATAAAACATAGAAATGAGAACCTGAGCGCGGAGCCAAGTGTTGGGAACGGAAAGAGGGCCATGTTGCTTGAAGAGATCGTAGAGAGAACTGGAAATGAGGTTAGCCTCTGGGATCGAAACCTTAGGGTTTATCTTCCGGACGTTCACAGCTCTCTCTCTCGACATGTATCTCACAAACAAAGAGCTACAGCTTAGCTCATTCGAGGTGGCTCTACAGAGCTTCCTCAGTCCTCCTCCTCCGCCGCCAGCGAACCACATCTCTCTCTCTCTTCCTCACCGTCACTCTCACTCTCGTCCTCGATTTCGTTCCGCCGGAATGTGTTAGGTCTCTCGCGTCGCCTTTGATATTTCCACAACAAAAAGCCGTTTTAGCCCACTGGGCTAGTTTTGGCCCAAACTATGTCTCTTTTACAAAAAAGCACCTGTTAATTAGTAAATTACCCACTTTGTCCAAAAAAAGCTCTCTCGCGTCGCCTTTGATATCTTCACAACAAAAGACGTTTTAGCCCACTGGGCTAGATTTGGCCCAATCTATGTTTCTTTTACAAAAAGCACCTGTTAATTAGTAAATTACCCACTTTGTCCCAAAAATATATTTTTAAAGTAAATTACCCCCAGATTTCTTATCAACATTTTGAAATTAGAACCAGAAAACAGAATATTATTTATACAAACAGACATTATAAGAATAAGAAGACAGAAACAGAAATTATACAGACAACAATATACGTATCTCCCTCTACGGGCAATCAATAATAAGCCTCACATAGATCTAATCCAATTTCCCGATTTCATTATCCTACAAATCTCTGCCTTTCATTTTCACCCTTTGTTATCTGTGTGAACCTCTAAATTCAATTTTCCTCTACAAAGTTTCAATCGGTGAGAAAAAAAAAATGGCACTTCCCTTCTGCGAAATCCCGGAGGATATCCAGCTCCGCATCTTATCCTTCCTCTCGCCGACAGAGATCTCAAGCTTCGCCTGCACTTCGAAACGCTACGCCTCGCTGTGTCGTGAAGACAGAAAAATCTGGCACGTTATGTGCGATCGGAGATGGGGAAAGAAAACGCAGATCCAGAAATGGGGAAACGGCCGAATCGCATATCGGCTCCTTTACAAGACTCTGAAAGGGTTGGAGAATCTGATTGGATTCTGGCGACTCTGCGGCCGAGCAAACCCGTCCGATTCATCGCCGCCGCTGGTTTTCTTCGAGTGGGGTTCCTCTTACGTTTTAGGATCAAGGGTTTTGGCTATCAACGATGACACATATCAGGTACGTAAAACTCCGTTTCTCGTGATGGGGATTTCTTCCGAGGGACGAACTGAGAATTTCCTCGATCTCGATGGTAATCTCACATCTGGTGCCGCTGATCTAAACGAATTAGATGATTCAAGAAGCAATCTCGTTCCAGTGGACGTGAATTTTATGGGAATTGGTCATATAATGGTGGAGGAAAATCGATCTTTTCGAGAAGAACAGAAGAGTCCTGTTTACAAGGGATCTAGCTCTGGTGACGATGAGAGCGATGATGTGACGTCGCCGACATTGCCGAGCTTTGTTGTATCGGAAATGTATACCCAGTTGGCGAATAGGACGAGCCCAGGAGGTGATAGAAGGAGACAGAGGAAGAAGGAGAAGGAGAGACAAGCGAGGATCAAGTGGGAAGCAGAACACTTTATAAAGGTTGCTGATTTCTCTCCTACGCCGACTAAACCATTACAAGGCTTATGGAAGGGCTTCTGCGAGGGAAGGAACATGGAACTGTATTTGGTAAAATACGATGAAGTTGGTGGCATTATATGCAGGAAAGTAGAGGACTTGTCGCTCTCACGGCACACTTCTCCTGTGTTCTGGACACAGAATCACGCCTTCATCAGATATCCGGTTTCAGTGGGTGAAGAGCTGATATTCGATGGCCGAGTCCATATCGCTCCTCTCATCGGAGAAGTCCATGAAGAGGTTGTATCTGGAATGTTGTACATGAACTCTAGCTACGACCTTGTGTTGCCAGGAGAAGTGGAACATGGCAATGGGTTTCCTAGAGGGGAAGGGCGTGTCTGGTTGTACGAAAATGGGACTTTCAGTTTCGGGTTTCTTCGAGATCAGTTCATCATTGATCTGAAACGTGTTGCCTTGGAAGATGGTTGTTTGGCTGATGTGTTAGAAGCTTGAAAGTGACTTGCTTTATTGGTTCTTGTGATGATCGCCTTCTCTGTACATCGGAACTTAGAAGACAGGTGAGTTTTGTGAGTTGGTATTTGCAAGTTTAGTCGCAGATCATTGAGCCTGAACTAGGACGGTGGCATTACGTTGTATATATCTGTTTTATGTACATTCTGTAACTTTGCAACAATTTGTTGATAAAATAATAGATTTGCGGAAAAAAGATGTAATCGAATAGATTTTCTGATTAATCTATATACAACATACTCAATACTCTGATTCACACAAATAAATAGACTTGGCAAAATGTGAAGACAAGTAGAGACTAGAGATGGTGATAAAAGGAGTGTGAATCATCATAACCTCTCTATGCAATCTACATTTATATACACCACTGAGTCTTTTATCCAAAGAGGGTCAAGTTAGACGTTAAACATCATATACAGGGAGCCGCTCTTCGATGGTTATACGGCAGAAGGGACATTTTTTACACTTATCTGAGCAGTTTCTGCAATAAACATGGCAGCAACACACACATGAGCAGATATGATCAGAAAGCTGACAATCATTTCAGGTTACTCTGCAATTGCACTTTGTATATAGCATTTAAGTTCAGTTTAAAGGCATAAGTACCTGCAGAGAACACGGTGTCTACATGGAAGCAGTACCACACTGATTTCTCTTTCGAAACAAACCCTACACAGCACTTTCTCCTGGATAACAGACAACACTGATACGTGAGAGGAGTCCAACGGATAAGCAAACACTGAAAGAAAAACGATTGTGAAAATTTATAATTATCAGAAGAAGAAGAAGAGTGGAGTGCATTACATTTTGCAGTCTCTCATATTCCTGCTGGCTGAATTTCGTGATTTCGGTTTGTTCACCGAGTGCTGCTTGAAGTCTCCACACCTGACGCAGAATTACATCAGATTTAAAAAAAAGGTGACCACCACTGAGAGATAATGAAACCAGATGACCAAAAAGACTTGACAAGAAAGGAACACAACGACATAATTTGCAATTAAGAGAAAAAAGTAGACACCTCCTCCGCAAGATCTTTCTTTGGCATTTTCTTGACTATTTCAGGTGGGTGGCCACAGAAGGTATTGTAACTGCACACATATATATTCATGAAATCTTCAGCAGATTGGATATAATAATCATTCTCGTTGGAAGATGTAGAAGGTTAAATTGTACTAACCAAGGGTCTTGATCAAAGTACAATCGAGCTTGCTCCTCTCGGCTTCCTTCATCAATTGACCACCAACCTAGTAGCCTGAGCACGTACAGGGTTAGGCATCAACTTGATGTATGTTACTAATTCAGTGGCAGCGAAAAAAAACTTCTATTTGGTGGTCAGTCTCCATAAAGAAGCCTATAAACATGTTTATCACCTGGATCCATGGTGCAAGAAACCCAAGCAATCATGTGCTCTGGATGAAAATCTAAAATACAGTCCTGTATCATCTTCGCCACGCAGTAATAGAACAACCTTCTCTATTAATTTAGAAGCAGCAAACAGAATACCAACGCCTTGCAATAGGAAGAGTGGAGAAAACAGGACTGGGACAGGTATATACTTAGCACCTTGAGGAGTCCCCTGAAAGTTCAAACCATCCACAAGTTTGATTTTTGGTTATGTCCAAACACAAACAAATTGTAGGATAGAGAGAAACGTTGTGTACCTCTAGATGCATGCAGAGCACCACTTGAAATAAAATGAGGGGAATTTTCATAAGATGACCACCAAAATCTTGCAGGCCACACGTTCCATCTTGGTCTCTTTCGTCTTCTGAAAAAGCCATAAGGCCACTGTTCCAGTCAACATATCTAGTTGTGGTAGAAGACGACCCGGTTTCTCTGACACGTGAGCTTCTATGAATTACTGGATTGGACCACTTTGTACATACAAGAAAAGCAAAGCACTCTGCAATTCTGCAGGCCAAACGTATACATTGATTACCTTCATGAGCAATTCCACCAGTTGCATTAGGAAAAATACATCTTTAACGGGAAAAAAGGCAAAGACAATGCATATACCCGAAGTTAATGAATAAATCCCACCAGCCAAGAGCAGCTACATCACCTGATTTTAATACAAAGATGATTGTGAATTTGCATGAAGTATATAACGCCCAAGAAACTTTAAATTTTTAGCAACTATTCCAGCGGAAGATTATTACCAGACAGCTTTAGAAGGGTAAAGATTGTAGCAGCCAGAAAGAACACCATGGAAATCGCAACCCAGAAATGCTGCAGAAAAGAAAAAGAAAAAAGCATCGGAAAACAAAATATTTTGCATAAATAGCTTCCCACCCACAAACAAAGAAGTGGAAATTATTCAAGCTTGACTTTGTGTAAGCTAAAATTACAGAAGTTGATGAAAAGGAAACTCTCAATCTATGACTTGAGAATCAGAGTCCAAATTTGCGTTATTAGAACATATGTAAATTGTTATATATGACTGAGAGCTCACATGTAGACATTAAATGCAACTTTGAACAGTCCTAGTCTTAAGCTGCTGAACAAAGTACTTAGAACAGCAGCTCACGCCTTGAATCAACAAAAGTAGCATGACTTACAGGAAGTGCTTCCCATATTGCTTCATCATTTATGCTCTCTTCATCTCCAGGCATCAGTGCCCGACACATTCTGAATAAAAAAAACGTGAGGTAATTAGGAACTTCATAGAAGAACAGTAGAGAAATAGCTCTTATCTCAATACCTGGCATTGTCCACCAGTATGATTACTTCAAACGCCAATAAAGGAAGAAAAACAATCTTCAAACTCACAGCTGGTGGCCAACGAGCAGCTGCATCTCAAAAACAATAGCACAAAATTACATTAAGCCGGGAAGAAATAAAACCAGGGCCACGTAGCAAGAAAACACTGCAGAAGCTTGAAAATTCTGTGATGTTACCAGTATTATCCCAAAAACCAAAAGTCGAGATTCGAGAAAGCTTTGAGAATCATAGATAATCATTTGCTTCACCATATGAGTACTAACATAACTCAACTTCTTTTTTTCAAGATACGAAATTACAAGAGGCTTTAAACATCATATCACAACTTAAAGCGAATCCGATGAAGTATGAAACTGTGAGTAAGCCGTGGTTATATACCATATGCACTCTCGAGGTATACACAGAGGAGCAATTCGAAAGCTATAAGCAACGGTGTTGCGACAATAGCATGACATGGAGCCCACTGTACACACACAAAAAAGCAATCATTACAAGCCAAATTATCACAAAATGCCATCTGAAGATTAATCATGATGAAATCATAACTGTGAATGATACTGTGCTAATAGAAGAAGGGACATACATGACGGTTACGAGGAGCGATTGGAGCAGGAAGCGAGAATCTTCCCCTTGCGACAACAGCATGGAAAGCCCACAGAGGTAGACACACAACCCTGCATGACCGAATCAGCGGAACAGTTACATTTTGTTTATGTTATAAACGATTGCACAAACACATGAATGATACCAATACTAACAAAATTGATAACCAACCAAAAACACACACACAAAAAAAAGGAGGCAAAACCTAGACTTCAAAGAAAGCTGAAAGAGTCTGAAACCCAAAGTAAATATTCCCTACGACTGAATCCAGACGACATCATTTCTTATTCATAGGACTTTGGTGAAGACATTTCTATCAACACGCGACACGATCTGGCAGGTTTCCCTGTCATAGTACCTGATAAGGAAGGATGTACTTTTATGTCTTCTACACAAATAAAAAACACAGAGAGTTCCATCAAACGGAAGATTTTTATTTGAGTAGAAATTATCGGCGTGAATTCCATTATTCAAAGGAGAATCGATACAGACGATCAAGAGTTTTCAGGCTCGGGAACCAAATTTGATTTTGCTCACGGAAAATTAGTCTTTGATAGTTAAGCAGTCGTCACGTGCGAGAAAAACATCGCAGTTCTCAGGATACATAAAAAAAAAAAAAAAACAGAAAATTTAGCCCTTATATTCGAGTATTCGAAGCTCTGGATTCGAAATTGAACAGGTAAAAATGCTGTGCGAACGCAATAACGATGTGAATATTGAAATCGAAATCCAACGAACAAGAACAGTTCCGATTTATGCAGCCAATTGAGTCTCAAGAGTTTGATGGAGAAAAAGAGGAGAGAAGACTAACCACCAGGAGTAAGAGACGGTGTGGTCGAGCTTGAGCACCAAAGCGAGCGTGAAACTGAAGAGGAAGCTGTGAGCCGCCAACGCTTGTACGGACTTGAACACTCTCCGACAGTTCATCCTGCGTTTGTCTCTTTACGGAAAAAGGTTTTCTCGCTTTGCCTCCATTCTCTCTGAGAAATCTCTCCTTTTTCCTCGCTCTCTCTCTATCTCTCTCACGAGTCACGAATCACAACGAGTCACGAGTCACGAATCACAACGAGTCACGAGTCACGAGTGAGGATTGGTTAGAGAATAGCCAGTTGAGAAATGCAGTAATGTTTTCAATTGCTCAGTGCTTTCCTTTCCCCTATTTGGCTATTTCTCTTCTTTCCTTTTTGTCAAAATCTCTCTCTCTCTCTTCTTTCACCCTCGTTTTCTTTGGATTATTATTTTATTGGTAAACATAAAATACAAAAAAGTTGTTAAACTTTTAACTTTTTTCTCCAAGTCACACACATTTTCGAAAATACAAAAAAGAGATATTTTTTGCAAGGATAAAATTTAGGAAGATGATATTACAATTTATTGTGAAAAGAAATCAAAATCATTATACTCTGATAATTGTTTTAATATATCAACAGTATTATGATATTTTAAAAGCTAATGTGGTTTTCTGTATAGTTTTGGATAAGGAATGCATTAGCATTAGTTTGGAATTTAGATACACGTCATATAGAGTGTGAATTTTGTGGGGCTCAGCTCAATATTGAACTATTTATTTTGTGTTCACTTGTTCAATATTTTTAGTTGTATCTATAATTGCCACATAAAAAAACAAGAAAAATATCTACAACTTACGTATAATAGTGAAATTTCACACTAAAACCAAATCAAAAGCTTGGGGTTCCTATTTTCTTCAATGAGCGTAGCTCTCTCTCTCTCTCTCTCCCCTTTATAGCTTTCGTTGCACGCCAGAGTTGAAGCGCGTTCCACGTTAGTATCATGATCCAACGTTACAATTGAAACAAGTGCGCACATTTATAACTAATGGACCGATCTGATTATTTATTGCCTGCAACTTTTATTTAACAAAAAAGTCAAATTCCATGTATTCACCGACCAACACCTAATTAATGAAATCACAGTTTTTTTATCCGAAACCTAAATAAACTATTTCTAGACAAATCAAATCAACTACTCTTGAAGTTACAACATTGACATATCACACTTAGCGGCAACAAAGCTAACACACACATCGAATCTATGCATTACTCAGATCGCATAAGAGGACCATAGAGACATATTAGTGGCGGATATGGAAAAAGAAACAAAAAAAAGGGACTTTCTTGGATCGAACCTTAGGGGTTGTCGAACGCTTTGCTTTTCAGCTTGATCCGGAACTTGGTAACGGGGCGAGCTTCTGATGGCTCAGCCTTTGTTTCTGATGGTGCTGATGCCTCCGCCTTTGTTTCAACTCTAGCCAATATGGCACCATCACTTGGTCCCTCTGTTTTAGCATCTGTAACTCTCTCTATCTTCTTTGTAGCTGGATCCAATGAGCTGTTCAGAAGCTTCGCCATTTCCTTCTCCTTTTGTTTCTTCTCCTTCTTTAACCGTTTCTTCTCTAGATAAACCGGGTCTTCTCTTTTCCTCTTCTTCTCTTTCTTTTCCTTGTCTTTCTTCTTTTCCCTTTCTTTACCAACCGAAAGTGTTTGAAGGCTCGCGTATTTCTGTTGCACCTCGTTGCCCACACTATGGTCTTGCGGCAAGAGGCTGGGCCCTCCGGTTTCTTGGTTATTAGTATTATCTGCTTTTTGGCTTGTGGAAGTTTTCCCAGACTCAGCAGTGCACTGCAACTCTTTCCCAACAGTATCGCCTTCGTTTACAAATTTTACACTGCCAATGCTTGCAGTCATGCGAGACCCAACATCATGACACGAGTTTACTTCCTCCACGTGGTTCTGATTGCTTATGCTCACAGCATCGGCTGAGATTCTCTGTGGAGCGTCTACAGAAGCTGAGCTAGTTTGTCCTCGGTCTATATTATGGCGTACTACAATCCCTTGAGATCTTTCCATGGATCGTGCTGATCCCTCGGCTCTGCTGGTTGCCCTAGATGATTTGACCTTGATCCGTAACTTCTTGATCTCGTGACTAACAGACACCACATCAGGTTCTTTTTGAGGTTCCTTTGTTGGAGGATTTGCTTCCCTGTTAGCTAACTCGTCTGTTCGGGCTTCACCATCCGATACAATCGCATGAACAATGGGATTTTCTTGCAAAGGTTGGTTTCGATTTTCCATGCGAGGTTCAAGATGCTGTGTCTCATGAACTGATGCTGCAACCGGTTCTGGAAATTCTAGTTCAGGAGCAATAGGCATGAACATTTCCTGTGATCTTACCGGAACACCAAAAGGAGTAACATCCAGAGATTTTCCTTCGGAAGATACAAGTGAAGGCCCCCCTGCTTCTGCTCCTGGAGCTGAAAATACATTCTTCGGCTCAATGCAAGCCTCCACATCAACAAGTTGCAAAGGTTTTTCTCTGGGCACTCCAAACAACGTTGGGGGTCTGAAAATGAGAGAACATTAAGTATTATTCTGTTCAGAATGTCGATAAATATGGTGATACACGCTACCATAATGAATAAGGAAATAAATGCACCCCATGAGAATGAGTACTTGCAAAGATAATCTGGCAGAAATTAATGTAAAGGCTACAGACCTTCCAGCAAGGATTTGAAAAATGCAGAACAAATGGTGGCGAAGAAATTCATTGTTGAATACTACATGGCTCTTGAAAAGATGCAGCAAATCCAAAAGACTAACAGTGTCAACACAATCATCTGAGTCGCATCCAACTGCAATTTGACATAACCGCATTGTGTGTACGCACAATTTAACCTGACCTGTAATCAAGCAGGAAGTAAATAAAACCAAATGAAAAAATAAACTCTACCAGAACCAGAAAGCAGCTATGTTCTAGCAAGAGAATGTAACCAACCCCTCAAAGATGACTCTTCCACCACGTATTTCATAAACAACGAAAGTGCAGAGCTTATGCCTTTGGATTGGTACTCGATGTCAAGAAGTGCCCTACTTGCTTCTAAACGTACTTGCAATATCGTATCCGAATTTCGGAAAGGTTCAATAAGTTTACAGATGTGTTCCTGAAGTCAGTAAATTGCAAGCTTTTTTATTGCTATCAGTTATGGTATTTATGTTATAAGGAGCACTTGGAGAAAAAAGCGAAAGGAAAGAACTTACGAAACTGATGGAGTCAGAAAGCTTGAGAGCAGTTTGTGCCAACGTTCGGATGCAGCTAATTGTTAAGATGCCATTGTAGCTTGGCATCAGCCTAGTACAAACATACTTTCAGTAATAAATTCAGTTAAAAACTATAAAATCATAAAATATCAAACAAGAAGTTACCTGTCAAACTGCAAGAGTCTGTCAATGCGCTTCAGAAGAGGGGCCAAAAACGTTAGACTCTGCCAGAGAAACAAAGAAACGAGAAGTACTGAGCAAGCAACACATGTATCACGGTAACATACTGAAGTCCTGAATTCACATCTTTGCAAATAACTAAATGAAATGTTGCTCCGGTTTTTCTCATAATGTCGGCCTCCAAGACCAAATCTTTTCTTTTTCATAAAAGTATGAGACGTCCTTAAATTTACATGAAATAAAGCTCCAATTTTTTTTTACAGCTAATAGAATACTGCCGCTAAATCGTAGAGTAGCTTTTTCAAGATAACAATCACACACCTGTTGGCCGAATTCAAGATCACCAACTGACTGAACAAGCACAGCAAGCCAGAATACATCAGAATACGGATTTCCACTGTTGTCATTGTACTATAAAAATGGAAAAGGAAAAAATGGCGAAATCAGTAATATGATCAAATGAACTGGAAATGAGTAAAAGAACCGTAGAGAAACCTCATCTTTCATAAATGAAAGAAAATCAAATCAGCGCAATACAGACTAGCACAGCTCTTTTTTGAAGGCCCAAACTTTACCCTAATTTTACATGTTACAATGATAGAATCAAACTATGAAGATGTATACCTTTAAAAGCTGTAAGATAAACTCAACAGCTTCTCGAGGGCTTTTCGCCTCAGCACCCCTAACCATTGCAATGGCATGTGGAATGGCCTAATACGTAGCAAGTGAAAATACGTTTAGATAAGCATTAGCACATTCAAAGAGACCGCATGCTAATACTACTGCGAAAAAAATGAATAATACGACTCAGGAGATCCAAGTGAGAAACCAGGAATCACCCTCCCCCCCCTCTCTGCCTGACTACTCTTCCCAAAAAGTTGAACACGAAAGAAAGCTTGTGGATTTATGTCCTTATGGTCATTACTTTCTATTATGTTCTTTGTTGGCTCAACATTCATTATTTTGCTATTTCACGATTACATAGTACTAAGAAGCCTAATATTTTTTTTCCAGGAGGTACCCAATTTCTATAGTAAGCAGGAGCTGTAACAGTTTTTGTTATATCAAAATGATATTTCATAGCCATCTCCAGCTAACAGCTGCGATCAATGCGTGACATTATATCAAGTTCATACCCTACCTCAATTCATTACCTCAAGCACAAAATATTCTGGGAAATCGCGGAAGTCGTTTGGCCTGAAAGGAAAATATTGGTACTATGAGAAACCTTCCACTGGTGACCAAAGAGAGGTCCAAAATATTATAAGGCTCCAAACTTACTTGGGGAGTCCAATCTCTGCATCAAATCTTCTACTTTTATAAAATTTTATTAGGTGTTGCAAACCCGCCCAGTCGGTCTCCTGCTAAAAATAGAAATGAGCCTAAATCATCATAGCACTAGGACTTGCTTCAAAGGCACAGAAAGCAGTGCAGGTGACCTTCAGAAAGATGCAGTTTACAAAAATAAGTTGAAAGATGGCATACTCTAAGAATCTCAAATGAGAAACAGATAAAAAAAATTGTAAACGATGATCTAATACTTTTGTTGCAACGCCTTTTTCATGCTATGCACTATTTCGCAATCTCAAATTAGCTGTTAACATGAACAAGTTATATAAATTTGATTATCATACCTCTAGCACACTTGGAACAGCAGATTGAACAATTTAAATCATACCTCTGATGCTGTTT